ATATCGCCTGACCCTGCTGAGTCCTGTGCAGTTCGCCGTCAGGGGTATCTGTGGCGACCTCGCGTTGGCGGGTCATGCTGACCATATTGACCATGGCGGAGTTATCGCCAGTGTCCTCACCGTCTGCACTTTCAATCGCGAAGTTCTGCGCCCCATCAGCATTGACGTCAAGGCGATTCCATGCCCCACCACCCTCGTTCCTCGTCCTAAGAACCTACTCGAGGATTCACCCGACTACTGGTGGAAATGGGATCGTCAGGTTGGGCCGGCGGGGAGCCCTATGGAGGCCTGGTGGTACAAACTTGGTGATCCCTGGGTGAGTGGTACGTTCCAGCACCTTACAGTCTTGCTGAACCTCGAGAACGTAGGAGAAGGTGTACACCATCTCCGAGTCTACACTGGTGCAGCTTGAACAGCTGCATGTTCGCGTCGCGAACCTCACTAGTTGGTTGCACGAGAGGACAGATCAGAACCTGGATGTGGTGCTGGAAGAGCTGCAGGAGGCGACGCGGCAGCTGCGTGAGTTAGGAATGTAATCGCCCAATGCCAGGCGTCCGTTCGTGCTGTAGTGTGTCGAATATAAGGTTGTCATGTCTTTGAACCGGGGCAATGTACCTGGTGTGGTAAGGCGAAACATAGTAGCCACATACTCTCCTCAGGAGGGCACATCCCCAATGGTATCTGATGCATGGCTCGAAAGCCAATGCCACATGGGAGAGTTTGGCGAAGTCATTCTGGACTGCATGTTCAGATGGCGAGTGATATCCACCACAGTTCGCCAACCCTTCCCACAGTGGGAGAGAGTGTGATACTGCAAGGAGAGCTGATAGTGAGCTAACCAGAATTGGAGGGAATGATGGGTGGATTACGTGGAAATTATTGGCCGGCGGTAGCTCCATCATTGCCCTGTTAGGCGGTGGATCAATCACTGAAAAATATGCCCATGGCGGTTGACTGATCGCTGAGAACTACACCTATGGCGGTGGACCGATAGGTCTGAGCAAGAGGTGCCGCATGAGCAACGACTCGGCGTCGGAGCCCCCTTCTTCTGTGGTGTCCTTCGGCTCGTACGCTGATTTGCACACGTCCGCATCCTCGTCTACTTCGTGCTCTTCGGTTGACTTCGGGTACAATCCGTTCACTTCGTATGGTCTACTTCTTGGCTCGGGCAACCAGGTGTGGCATCCGCCCATGCTTCCCCCTGACCAATCTCCACGTTTCATACATCCGCCCATGCTTCCCCCTGACCAATCTCCATGTTTCATACATCCACCTATGCTACTCCCTGATGAATCATCTGGTATGTTCCTTCACCCACCCATGCTTCACCAAGATGACACGGACACGATACGAGCCCAGTTGACAACCTAGGGCAAGGCAAATAACTCAGCTATGCCCGGGCTAGTCAGATATTTCAGGCGACCCATGCTTATGGGCTCAGAAATATACCTATGGCGGTGGGCCGATGGCTGTATAATAGCCCCGTGGTGGTGGGCCGATCGCTCAGAACACTACCTATGGAGGTCGGCCCATCGCTCAGAACCCTACCTATGGGGTTGTGCCGATGGCTGTATAATAGCACCGTGGCGGTGGGCCCATCGCTCAGAACCCTACCTATGGAGGTCGGCCCATCGCTCAGAACACTACCTATGGCGGTGGGCCGATGGCTGTATAATAGCACCATGGTGGTGGGCCGATCGCTCAGAACACTACCTATGGAGGTCGGCCCATCGCTCAGAACCCTACCTATGGCGGTGGGCCGATCGCTCAGAACCCTACCTATGGCGGTGGGCCGATCGCTCAGAACACTACCTATGGCGGTGGGCCCATCGCTCAGAACACTACCTATGGCGGTCGGCCCACCGCTCAGAACACTACCTATGGCGGTGGGCCGATGGCTGTATAATAGCACCGTGGCGGTGGGCCGATCGCTCAGAAATATACCTATGGCGGTAGGCCGATCGCTCAGAACACTGCCTATGGCGGTCAGCCCACCGCTCAGAACACTACCTATGGCGGTGGGCCGATGGCTGTATAATAGCACCGTGGTGGTGGGCCGATCGCTCAGAACACTACCTATGGCGGTGGGACGATCGCTCAGAACACTACCTATGGCGGTCGGCCCACCGCTCAGAACACTACCTATGGCGGTGGGCCGATGGCTGTATAATAGCACCGTGGCGGTGGGCTGATCGCTCAGAAATATACCTATGGCGGTAGGCCGATCGCTCAGAACACTACATATGGCGGTGGGCCGACGGCTCTATAATAGCCCCAGTGGCGGTGGGCCGATCACTCAGAACACTACCTATGGTGGTCGGCCCATCGCTCAGTACTACCACGGTGGTGGTGGGCCGATGGCTGTATAATAGCCCCATGGTGGTGGGCCGATGGCTCAGAACACTACCTATGGCAGTCGGCCGATGGCTCAGAACAGCTCCAATGGCGGTGGGCCGATGGCTGTACAATAGCCCCGTGGCGGTGGGCTGATCGCTCAGAAATATCCCTATGGTGGTGGGCCGATCGCTTAGAACACTACCTATGGCGGTGGGCCGATCACTCAGAACACTACCTATGGCGGTGGGCCAATGGCTGTATAATAGCCCTAGTGGCGGTGGGCCGATCGCTCAGAACACTACCTATGGCGGTGGGCCAATGGCTGTGTAATAGCCCCGTGGCGGTGGGCCGATCGCTCAGAACACTACCTATGGCAGTGGGCTGATGGCTGTATAATAGCCCCATGGCAGTGGGCCGATCACTCAAAAATACACCTATGGCGGTGGGCCCATCGCTCAGAACTATCACCGCGGCGGTGGGCCCATGCCTGTATAATAGTTGCATCATGTTGGTGGGCCGATCGCTCAGAAATACTCCTATGGCGGTGGGCCCATCGCTCCAGCATTTCCTTCATCGCCATGAGCCGATCGCTGACAGCTCCTTACACAGACCGATGGGCCGACGTCCGCTGGCTGTCCAGTTCATGACAATGTCAGGGTAAATGGGAGTCCAGTTCACAAACATGACTGAATGGGCTGTCAGTGGGCATGTACCGGGGCCCGTACGAATATTGATTGACATTAGCATATGCAACTACATGGAAACAAGGATGAGCTCGAGTAAAAAAGGCCTGGACAGAGTAACAATTTTACTCACAGGAATGTGGTTGTGACTGGTTTGGAATCAAAGGAGGGTGATTTGCTTGAGGTCCTAACAAAGGTGGTGCATGCAAAGTGGCCATATCAGCCTTTCGAGGCTTGTCAGAAAGAGGCTGTAGGCCAAAAAAGCCCAACACTTTGCGCAGCATGGAGCATGCATTATAGACTTGTCGCGCATTTCGCAGAGGTCTCGGAAATGACCGTTCAGCCACACGAGATGGAAGCAAATTTGCAGGCACGTCACTAATTGGGAACCTCGTGGTGGCGTAACAATCTGAAGTCGAGGAAGTCATGCAATTAAAGTAATCTAAATACAAGAGGCAATAGTACCTTCGTACCCACTGGTGTCAGTAACAGTTGATTGAAGAAACAGCAACTCAACTTACAAATCTGATTGTCCTGTGCAATCATCACGAATGACAACACAAGGACAGTTCATCGCAGCTGTGCACTCGCCGAATAAGTGTACGCATAGCTGTTCAAGTGCTGCAGAATGTCTCGCTCGCAGCGTGTGACATTATGAGCGAGAAGGGCAACATACTGAGGTCTCGACTGGGAATATGCCACTGCTAGCAGGTGCAATATGGATGCTTGGATTGCATAGGACGACGACTGTTGCGAAACGGGTCTGCGTATATCTGGTATCAATGTATTGTTCAGCTTCAGAACGAAGGCGGTGGTTCGTACCTGGTATGACCTCACGTGGACTGCCGCATCGGAAAATTTGGTCAGGAATGTTAGGTCCCAGCCCCGCGACATTGAGAGCCTGAACGTGTCAGGACCGTGACACGCTTCGCGGCTGTTCGTACAAGATCCATTCTGAACGTTCCAAGATGAACGCGTAATGCAATTGTGCACCAGTGAGCCTGGGAGTCTACAACCCTCCCATGGCATGGCTGTGCCCGAGCCGCACTAAGTCCTATTTCCTGAGGGACCATGTACGATGACAAGGGCCGTCAGCGTCAGTCCTCGGGCCTCGAAGATATTAGCATGGAGCCTCCATGCTGTAGGCTGAAGCTCACGCTTGAGTATACTTGGCTTAGCTAGCTTAACTTTCTTGGCTTTGTTAACTTTTATTAGCTTTTCTAGGCTCTTGTCACAGCAAAAAAAAGCCAGGGAAAGTAAATAAAAGCTAATGTAAGAAGCTAGCTTCAAGTGACTTAAAGTTACTTTTGTAAGGTAAAAGCTAAGAACAAAAGCAAGATTGTGAACCGTCAGTGAGATTCACCAATGTGAACAAGTGCCGAGAACTTGAGGTTCACCGTCTTCTTTACCGTGAGTTCTCAGATCTCAACATTAGTATTTGGATCCGAGATAGTGCATGCAGCACTGGTGAGCCCTGTGTACTACGTCATTGTCTTATTCATGGATAGCTGATGATGCTTTTGTTTGCCATCTTCAGGCTTCAGGATTCACACCTGTAGAACTCTACAGTGACTGTGGAAGGTGGCATCCAGAACAGGATGGTAGGGGACTGGTTTGGGAAATTCTGGTGTGCTACCACAGGTATGTTCTCTGTGATATCTCACTTCATGTAGTAGATACTGGTCGGGATGGTACTAAATATATGGCATTGAAGATTCTTGGGTAATACGAAGGATTATAATCAAACAGTATTACCAGGTTATTCTTACGGTATGTGGCATAAATGAGATTCTGTTACCATGCATACGGCGCCGTCGTTGGCATCTGGTTGGTGAATCGGACAGTTTCTTAGTGAATTCTACCGATTCAAGCCGCCTCCACAATCGGTGAACCAAAAAGAGCTCCTGTTATTTTCTAGTGAATTTTCCGAGTTCAGAAAGTGAAAATTACTGGTTGATACAGTGAGACTTTTGGTAATTTTCATGGCCAGCGGACCGACTCGTGGATCTCGACTTCGACGTCGAGGATCTCGTTTGCCATGAGAACCTGCTTGCACTCCTTGACAGCGGCGAGACCATCTTCACCGGAGAGGGTGCCAGGCTTGATGCCGATCCAGACAACGATGGGGGCGACGTACTCTCCGGTGAAACTGATGCGAACAATGTCCATGCTTGTCCACTTTACCCCCTTGGAATCGAGGATGTTGAGGATCCGAGGAGCGAGGTTGTCCCAGACCGCGTTCAGGGGGTGGTTGCTGCTGATGGGCCTAAGCTCCTTGCAAGGGAGGTATGCCTCAGGGTCGGTGGGTGGCTCCCAAGTATCGGTGCCCTGAAGATTTCGCTTACTATCGGAGTCTCGGAAAGTGGTAAGACCTAATAATATTTCAGGGGGAAAGTACACACTGCCCCCTTCAGCGCATTCCTCGCCCTCTTTTATGTACATCGGTGGAGTCTGGTGGAGCCTTGCATTAAGTGCTTGGCTATCGTCACTATGAATTCATAACTACATATGTGGACGAACCGCTGTGGAGTAATGACGTTGAGACTCGTATCATACAAATACAGAAGATTAACATACATATCGGGTCGGAGTAAATACTGGCAAATATCCAAGTCCAACATTACCCCCTCGTTAAGATCTTTCGTCCTCGAAAGAAGGAACATCAACTAACTATCGTATACAAGAGTATCTCAGCGATAAAAGAAGACAAAATAATTACCGGTACAAGAGACATTGTTTTTCTGGAGCCTCCAGAAAAAATAAGCGCATGAAACAAACAATGACAAACATACATTCAGTGCTGTCCTCAACGTCTCGCAAGGTCAGCTTTTCGTCTCGCTTCAGCATCCTTTCGCTGTAAATCTGCACTCGCATACCATAATGGCGGCTCGGGATCAAGTTTTGAAGGTAAGTACCATTTCAAACGCTCTCCATTGTAGAGTCGATGAAGGATATATCCGTTGTGGGTGCTAAGCTGATACGTGTTTTTATCAGTGACATCTCGAATAATGAACGGTCCATCCCAGCGTGGGTGGATTTTCGAATCAGGTTCTGACCTTCGAAGAACAAGATCTCCAATTCCCAAAGCACGCTCGCGATAGGAACTTTCGCGGCATTCAGCCTGTTCTTCAAGGCGGCGCCTAGCACGTTCATTAGCCTCTTCGCGCTCCAAGTCCTGGATATGTTCAAGTCGTTCGTTCTGTAGCTGACCAATCTCCTCATCAGTAGGAGGCACTTGAATAGTGTCAGCAACGAGATCGTGAGGCAGACGAGGTGTGCACCTGTAAGTCAAATAAAATGCGGAGGTCCCCGAGCGGCGATTAATATGTGCGCGGTGTGCCAGCAAGGCATCGTCAATGTAAGTATCCCAATTACCTTGTGAATTCGGGGCACAATAGTGCATTAACATCTCTTCCAGCTCGTAGTTGAAACGCTCAAGGCGACCATTCATTTGCGGGTGGTAGGGCGTCGTGCAAAGGTCATTGACCGAAAGACGGCGGAGGAAATTTTGAACCAGGTAGGATATAAATTCTTCACCGTTATCAGTCAGGATACTCAAAGGTTTCCCATGCGCAGTAATAATTTTCTTCAGCATCGAAACAACAGCTTCCTTCGAGTGTTGCGGGAGTGGATCTGTGTAGGTCCAACCAGTGCCATGGTCCATTGCGGTCAATAAATATGCATTACCGGCGGCTGTGCGTGGGAGGGGACCGACGAAATCAAGAGCCCAACGGCTCCAAGCTCCAATGCATGGAAGAGGATGCAAAGGTTGAGTCGGGACAGGGCCACTGCACGAGAATTGACAATGATCACAGGTGCGAATAACGAAATTGACAACCTCCGAAAGATCGGGCAGCCAGGCACGGTCCTTGATGGCTTCAACAACCGGTCAGAAACCAAGGTGACCAAGATCCTGATGAACGTTCTATACTAACATCTCCGATTGCTTGAAATTCATAGGAACCACCAAGACCTTATTATCAAGAAGGCGATACATCACATCACTGCACATGAAGAAGCCGCGCTGGTCAGGACTAGAGTCACCACTATCGGCTTTTGCGCGTAAGCTATCATACCATTTCTTCAGTGTCTGGTACACTGACCTAGGTTCTTCTGTCTGTTCTTGAGATGATTTGGGTGCAGGTTCGGCTTGGTTGTTGCGATACAACCATTCTTCGGAACCAAAAATCAAATCCGCACTATTCGTGTGTGGAAGCGTAGGTGCTGGCACCACAACCATAGGATGAGCAAAGAGCGGGCCCAATGTATCGGAATCCGGTATATCTTCACCGTCGCATCATGATAATGCATCAGCAGCGAGCTGATGCTTCCCTGGACGATAGACAATCTTCATGTCAAAATGGCCGATATTGTCAGCAAAGCGCTGTAAACGACGGCCGAGATTCTTTTGAGTAAGAAAGTATTTCAATGATTCATGATCTGTCCTGACAACGATAGGTGACCCCTCGACGTAGGCATGCCATTTTTGAAGTAAATAATCAATGGCCAGCATCTCGCGCTCCTGCGCAGAATATCTCTGTTCGGTTGATGTCAAACGACGAGATTCGTAGGCAATAGGGTGAAGATCGCGATCACGAAACTCAAAGCGAGCGTCAGAAGAATTGCTATTCCTTCCCCCTTCGCTAGACGCTTCGAGTGGATAAGATGTCTGTTGCAAAACTCCTCCGATACATTCGCCGGACGCATCGCTATCAATGACGAAAACTTGCCATGGAACTGGATAGATAAGCAGAGGCGGACTGGTGAGATGATGTTTCAAACTTTGAAATGCCTGTGCACAACTTTCAGGCCATTCAATAGTCGATCCTTTCTGCGGACGTCCTTTTAAGAGAAAGTAGAGAGCTCCAGCTGTCTTCGCAAAACTCCGTATGAAACGTCTGTAATAGCCAGCGATATTCAAGAAACCCTGGAGCTGGGTTATGGTCTGGGGACGAGGCCAAGTCAATATCACTGATATCTTATCAGGGTTTGGACGTATACCTTCAGCAGAAATGATGTGTCCGAGATAGAGTAGTTCGGTAGCTCCCCATATACATTTGGCTTCATTAAGGACGAGTTCGTGTGCGGCAAGGGTGCTAAGGATGGCATCAACATGTTGGATGTGCTGCTCCAATGTCAGTGAGTAGATTATGATGTCATTGAGATAAACCATGGCGAACTTATCGAGCTGGTTACGTAGAACGTCATTCATCATGGTTTGAAAGGTGGCAGGAGCATTAACTAGCCCGAAGGGCATGACACGAAACTGGTAATGACTGAATCGAGTTTGAAATGCGGTCTTCATTTTAGTATTGTCGGTGAGACATACCTGCCAGTAACCTGATTTGAGGTCGAGAGACGTAAAATAATGAGCTCCCGCTAAATTTTGATATGAATTATCAATGCGCAGTAAAGGGTAACTATTGCGGATCGTCTTTTCATTCAGTAGACAATAATTCATGCAAATCTGCATAGTTCCATCTTTCTTCCTTACCGGCATCAATGGAGATGACCAAGGGGACTCACTCGGCTCGATGATGCCTTCTGCTAGGCCTTCATTAACGAAATCCCGAATAGCTTCATGTTCAAGTGGCGAAAATGGTCATCCACGAGCTCGGATAGGCTGCTGATTTGGGTCCTTTAATTCTACCAAATGCATCTATTGACGCTTCAGTGGAAAGTCTACCTTTTTTCGAAATAGCTTAGGGAATTTGTTCTTCACGAAGTCCTTCAACTTCGTACCAAATGACTTCTTTTTCTCTGATCTCATATTCAAACTATCCCTTTCTTCGGCCATAACATGCAGCGGTGACTCGGCCGTTACTAACGTGGGTGACGTGTGAACAGCGTCAGTCGACGAAGACTTAACCGGAGTCTGCTTACTTGGGTGAATCTCCGTGGTTCTCATGTTTCGATCATCTGAAAGCATCCAAGAGTTCTTCGGCCAGCAGGGTTGAGCGTTATGTTGCTTCATAAAGTTCTGACCGATGACGAGACCGTAATGAAGGTGGCTATTTGGATCAAGCACATATGCATACATTCTGTACTTGATACCACCTAACATAATACGGAATTGTGCAAAGGCAGATGTCGTAGTACTGCCGGCTCCTAATATAACGCGGGTGTCAATGGGAAAAACTTCTGCACGAATCCGTCGAACGAGTTCAAGCTTGATATAAGAGCACGCTGCTCCCGTGTCGAGGATAGCATCCGTTTCATGCCATTTACGGCAATCTCAATCACCTAGTTTGACGCCATAAGATGGTAATTTTGTATGACCACCGTCAGTAAGTACAAGATTGTGCAGTTCCAGACAACCGAGCTGATCCTCAATGTCTGTCGACTCCGGCAGAGCATCTTTGAACAGCAGAGCATTCTCGAAGGCATGTAAATCTTGGCATGGACGAGAGCACGAAGGTTGCAACTGTCGAGGCTTTCTTGGTAAGCGACAATTGCGAGCGAAGTGACCAAACCCATTACAGTTGAAACAACGTACCCGGGAATCGGTCCTGGCCCCGCTACTATTCCTCGACATAGGCTGCATCACATCGAGATCCATCAGCACTGGCCCAGTGCTTGCCACGGGCGGTGTCGATATCGAGACAGGTGGTGTGAATGATTCAGGGATGGCAGAAGAACGCTGCGGGTTTTTGCGAAAGAAGTTCTTGGCCTTTTTCGTTAGTGAGGAGCCATGATTCTGCGTGCTGCAATATAGATTCGAAAGTCGGTCGAGTTTGCGGGCGGCATGATACATCTCCTCCGGCTTGGTTGGCTTCTTGCGACGGAGATCCCTAGCGATATTGGGAGGGAGATAGCTAAGGAAATGGGAAAGCCGATCACCAAAAGTCATTTCCTGAACAGGAATCTGGGACTCATACGTTCTAAAGTTCTCGCTGTAACGTGCAAGATTTCCTTTATACGTTATCGTGCGAAGCTCATTATGGAGGCTTTCAATTCGGAGCAGCGAATCATACTTGCCTTTGAGCCATCACTTCATTCCGTCCCAGTCCAACACTTTCCCTTGCTCCTTCATTTCCTTTTTTTGTGCGATGTAGCTGCGCATCACGTCGTCACGAAGTAAGATCAAAATTTGTGTGACCCAGTCAACCGCTGAAACGTGCTGGGCTGTAAGGTAATCTTCAATAATCGAGATCCAGGCATTCACGTCGTCCGAATCGCATCCTTGGAAAAGCAGGAGGTCAGCCTTGATACTCATCGGTCGCATAGCAGTCATCATAGAGGGCGAAGCTGAGCTCTGTGGAGGTGCCTGCACAGTTATCTGCGCTGTAGACAGAGCGTTCTGTAAGACGTTCTGCATCTGAGCAGCACTCACGGTACTTGCCTGTGCCGCGGCCGCTTCTGCAGATACCTGTGAAATCCTTTGGTCAAGCACATCCAAAATTGGCTGCAAGGCTTGAAAACTCTCAGGTGAGACTGCGGCAGCAAGCACTGCAAGTAATGGATGAAGGTCGGCCATAGCGCTAAATAATCAATGAAGGGATGAGGACGTACGTTGATTAAAACCCAGATAGAACAAAGACTAGAGAATGACGTAGAATAGAGGCAAAACTAATAGATAGCTGTTGAAGTCGGCAACAGGGTAAGCGTGTCGGAATGAAGGAATCAATGACCCTTCATTTGCGCAAATGAAGATTTCGCTTACTATCGGAGTCTCGGAAAGCGGTGAGACCTAATAATATTTTGGGGGAAAAGTACACACTGCCCCCTTCAGCGCATTCCTCGCCCATCAGTGGAGTCTGGTGGAGTCTCGCATTAAGTGCTTGGCTATCGTCACTATGAATTCATAACTACATATGTGGATGAACCGCTGTGGAGTAATGACGTTGAGACTCGTATCGTACAAATACAGAAGATTAACATACATATCGGGTCGGAGTAAATACTGGCAAATATCCAAGTCCAATAGCCCGTGCGAGCCATGAGGACTGGCTTGGAGTACAGCCTGTAATAGTAGTACTTGGCCTCCAGATAGGAGACAGGGAGGTGAAAAGAAGCAGTGGTGCTGTGAGGAGAACCTAGTTTGTCGGTGATGGAGTCGCTAAGGGCGAGGCTCGAGAGTTCGCCCCAAGTGGGCACAGCCTTCTCCTTCTCCTTCTCCCTCTCCCTCTCCTTGTAGAGGGCAATGCACTGAGCGAGGAAATCGGGGCTCATAGCTGAAGGAAGAGGTTAGAACGGGAAACCGAGCATATAATGGCAGGTACGAACAATCCATGGTTTATGTATATCAATGAGAATCGGTTGAGAGACGAGCAAACTGGTGATAGCGGTTGAGAAAGCTGGTTGCAGAGAGATAACTGAGTGGATGACTTCCCATAAGCAATTTAGGGGATAGCAACCCGGCGGTTTCTACACATTTAGAACTCTTCGGCTGACCTCGGCAGTGAGTTTAGTCCCTGACAACCTTCCTGAAATAGATATTCCATTTGTCGGAGATGATTTATGACTAAGCTGCCAGACCGGCATAAGGTTTTGGAACTCCGTGAACACCCCTAAATCAGTTAAGTCTGGATAGAACAGAGGCCAAATTTATTAGTAGTATCGTTGACCCGGATATGCCAAACGGTACAGTAGTGCCAAATCTTTCCTACGATTTTCTCTGTCCTCCGGATTCCTCTGTAAAAATAGGTCAAGTATTCTATAGGCTACACCATCATACTATAAAAGTTTCAGGAAGATCCAGAGAATATTTCGTTCTAATAAATTCTAAAGGTGTATTTTTAGAGGTGACTTGAGCCAATGGCTTTTGCTCCATCAACTTTGGTCGTAGAGAGGCCCTTGCACTCGCCTAGCCAACTGACTTCACTACAGGTTTAGGACCCTGGGCTAAGTCCCACAACACCACCACCTCCCACAAAAGGCACCCCCGCAGTCCGCGCTCCTCCTGTGCTCCTCCCATGCCCGTCCCCTGCGCTCCTGCCAAACCTGCCGCTGCCCTGCGACCTTCGTCGCCCCCGCCGATGTGTCAGCATCAGGAAAAATTCCCCTGATTCTGTAGGGGTCCATAGTTGTAGTAGTCCGCATATCTGTGTCATCAACCCTCAAATCTGTAGCATCATGTAGCATCACATGACAACACCGTAGCCCATTGTAGGATCGCGCGGGAATGTCATAGCAGGCTATAGCTTGCATACCTCCCCGCGAGCGTATGTTACAGCAGTTCTGCAGTAGCTGAGTAGTGCGACGTAGAAAGACATATCAATATAATATCCGGTTCATTCCCCTGTAGCATGACTAAATTCCCTTCTGGCTTACTTTGCTTCATAAAACAGATATGATTTGCATTCTACTCATTAGGCTAAGGTAGTAATAATACTAGTGGCCAACTTTCTTAGATTCTAATGATAACTTGTCATCACCATTATCAAGCGCCTTCCATGCCAGGTACCGCCTCGTTGTCACTGTCGTTGGTCTCGGATTCCTCCCACTCGCGAATAGCAGCCTCAAATGCAGACATATCGAGTGCAGGCACTGTCGTTTTGCTGATCGGCTCGGCACCAGAATGGAAGCTGTCAAATCAACCATCAGTACTGTACAGCAGTCAGAGGAAGGTTCAGGGTGTACCGTGCATTGCCATGCCATAAGTTGCACCGCTTGCGAAGGATGCCATAATTGATGGTATGCTTCTCAAAGTCATGTAGGCAATGAAGGTGGGCTTGATAAACTTCCTTATAGCTGGCGGCAGTGAACGGGACATCTTCTTTGATACCCGTGGCCCATTCATCGATGCCGCACTCCACCTAGATGTTGTAGACATAAGCAACAATACAATGAAGAATGCATGCACTTACTGCAGCGAGGACCAATGCAATAGTCACCACGGGCATTGGGTTGAAGTACCCATGATAGCGCACACCCTCATCATGCTTGTTGGCAAACCACATGTCGTTGATCACCATCTGGATGATCTCCGACTTGTAGAGGCCCTTCTTCATGGCCGGATCCTGTGGAGTGAGATGAAAGATGAAAATAAGATTCTCAGACACAAGTGCGTATAAAAAAGGAGTAGACAGACCTCATATACAAAAGAATATCCATCCTTGAGGTCCTCAGCGCGCTGGCAGTTGCGCAAGATAGCGCTCTTGTTCTCGCCACTTTGGAAGCCGTAGAATGACTGGATAATGCCACGGACCTTCGTTTTCAACTCACCGCGAATGTGAGATGTGCGCTTCATGATCTATTATGGAAGGTCAGTCAATGCACCAGTAAAGACGGATGAAATACCATTTTGATTAATGTGGTCATCACCATAACATTGAGGCCTGTCTGCTCGCAAGCCTTCTTCCAGGCTTGCTGCGCCATCTCGATCTCGAATGTACTGGTGTCCGGGAAGGGAGCCTCCGTGCTAACCATGCACCGAAAGATCGCAATCGTGATTGTGAGGACCTCCTGAGTGGCATCATCAAAGTCCTTCACCCTCGGACGGCTTGATCCATCGGAGCCCTTCTGATACTTAGGCTGCATGGGGCCATCACACTCGCCATCGCTGCCATCGTCATTATCATCATCACATCCGCGCTTCTTGAAAGCGGACAGTGTGATGGTGACAGCATCCACGTTGTCCTCGATCACAATGCGAGTGACATTTGCCTTCAGGACATGGCGACGTATGACAACGGGCTCATCATCGTCATTGCGATCATCGTCACTGGGCACAACCAGTGGGGGAGTCTCATCTGGAATGAATCAGATGAATCATGAGCTTTGAAGAAATATCGGACAGAAGTACATACCTGTGTTCCTGCGCCCCTTGTTGGTGGTAGCAGCAAGAGGGAGTCTGTCTGCACGATAAGGAAGAGCCTTCTTGGCAGAGAGCTTTGTGGTCACAGTGCGGTCCGTGAACTGAGCAGTCATCAACACCAGTAAGTTGAGTAACAACGTGTATCGGCTCGACTTACCATGTAGTCTTCAACGTCATCCACATCGGACTGTTCAATTTCATCTTCGTTGACTTCTTCCCCATTCGCTTCTTGCTGGTGAAGCCGTGCACGACGCTCTGCTTTCTCAGCCTTCTTTACTTTCTCCACCTTGCGGCGTATAGCATCCACCTTCTCGGTAACCGGAAGGGGTGGGTAGAGGTCAGAGTATTCCAGTAAGAGACTATCCTACGGTGAACATTTAAGATATACTTACCACATTAATTTTCCTTCTCTGTGAGACGGCGCTGGCGAGCGGGAAGTGCACGTGCTGACTGGGTCGACATCACAATGGAAGATGAGTGCAGAGAGGAGAACAGCGGTGGGTTGCGGAATTGAGGAAGCTGACAAGAGTATTTATCCTACAACCGGGGCAAAGAACGCGTCAATAACACGCTCTCCCAAACCTTATGCAGTTGGTTGAACCGGATTCAACAAGGTCACGCCATGTCCAGTTCCGGAGTCATCGGGAGCCCTGGATTCTGCGAGATCGATGTCGCCATCTCGGCCGCATGCATGGACAGGAGTTGGCACCACAGTCCGAGGAGACACATTCGGCCCCCTGATGATATCTGGCAGACTGGGAGGGCTTCCTGCTTCGATCATGTCAGCTTCGCACTGCTGTAACTTTTGTTTTAGAGAACTACCTACCTTGGGTGGGCTGAAGAGACACATCAGCAGCCGTCGAGAATGTCGCCGTAAATGGGAGGATACCATCGCCAAAAAGACAGAGACAGTTTCCGTTTTCGACACAGAGGAGCAGGAAGAAAAGACTTACCACACGCTTCCTGAGGAACCTGTCATGGTGTCGCTAGTTGACGGTCCCCCTGGAAACTGTAATTCCACCTTTGACAGCTATATTCCTGCTCCTGTATGGGAGCTGTCTCCAGATGAAGAGGAAACCGAGGAATTGAACGCGCGCACCTCCAAGTGTGCGCGAGTTGAAGACGTACCCGATGAAGATGACATTCCAGCGGGGCGCTTCTACACCAACTACAGCTGTCGTCCGGTTGCAATGGTCCAAGTGCAGGGGAAGATGGTGTTCGAGAGGCAGCATGAGGAAGCACGGGAAATGCAGACCAGCGAGTATGCCCCCTTTTCAGACGAGGAGGAATGGCAACTGGCGGAGTGGTTAATGAAGCATCTGGGGCAGAACAGGATAGATGAATATCTGGACTTACCAATTGTGAGTACTCTGCCAGTGGTTTGCACATCACTTTGCATGGTCTGAAATGAGGCAGATGAAGAAGTGCATGCAGCCATCCTTCCACAATACTCGCGCATTTCTTCAGAAGGTCGATGAATTACCTACTGGTCCCGCGTGGTCCTGCAAGAAAGTTGTCGTCCAAGGGAATGCTGTGGCAGAGAATGGTGAGGTATTGAAGGAAGAGGTGGAACTTTGGCTTCGCGACCCAGTCGAGTGCATCAAGGAGCTGATTGGGAACCCGCTCTTCAAGGATTCAATGGCATATACTTCCGAAAAGGTATTCACTGACAAGGAAGGAGCTCGTCGTATTTACGACGAGATGTGGACAGGTGATTGGTGGTGGAAAACACAGGTTGGATCAGATCATGATCTCTGCACATGCACAGAACACTTACCTTTTGTAGGATAAACTGCCCGAAGGCGTGGTCATCGCCCCAGTGATCTTGTCCTCAGACAAGACAAAACTCACTCAGTTTTGTGGGGATAAATCTGCGTGGCCTGTGTACTTGAGCATTGGCAACATTTCGAAGGAGACCAGATGTCAGTCGTCTGCACGCGCAATGATTCTGATAGGCTACCTACCTGTGTCGAAGCTAGAGTGCTTTACAAAAGACTCACACTCTCTTGCAGGATACTGCCTGTTTCACCACTGCATGTCGCTGCTTCTCGTGCCGCTAGTGAAAGCCGGTAAGGATGGGGTGGACATGATATGTGCCGACTCCTTCATCCGACGAATCTACCCCATTGTTGCCTCCTATATCGCTGATTACCCAGAACAGTGTCTCGTCGCTTGTTGCAGCGAAAACCGCTGTCCCCGCTGTATTGTGAATCCGCGGGAGCACAGTGAAATGCTGGATACACTGCTGTTCCAAGATCCCGACGAGACATACGACACCTTGCAAAAGCAGAAGAAAGGTCTGGAACCTGCTGCATTCAAAGGCGAAGGCCTGTGCACCGTGTACAAACCCTTTTGGCACAACCTTCCCCACTGCAACATCTTTGCGTGCTTCACCCCAGACCTCCTGCACCAGCTACACAAAGGTGTCTTCAAGGACCATTTGGTCAGTTGGTGCATCGCCATCGCCAGGGAGGAGGAGATCGACCGGCGATTCAAAGCACTTGCAGGGTATCCGGGCTTGAGGCACTTCAAGAAAGGGATTAATACCATCACGCAATGGACGGGAACTGAGCACAAGGAGATGCAATGCATTTTTGTCGCGTTGTTGGCAGGTGCTGTTCCAGAGGAAGTTCTCACAGTTGCACGGGCACTTTTGGACTTTATTTATTACTCCCAGTTGCGCCTTCACACCACCGCCACCCTTGCATGCCTTGACACGTGTCTAAAAACATTTCATGACCACAAGCAGATCTTGATCGACTTCGAGGTGCGTTCGCACTTCAACATTCCAAAACTTCATGCACTGCAGCACTATGTCAATGCCATCCAACTATACGGTACTCCTGATGGCTTCAACACAGAGCTGCCGGAACGCTTGCACATCGACTATGCCAAGGAGGCCTACCGGGCAAGCAATAGGCAGGATTACGAGGAACAGATGGCATTATGGCTCCAGCGCCAGGAAGCCATCTACCAACGCAGCGCGTACCTGGCGTGGGCCACCCGTGTTTACAGTACAACTCCAGCTGTGCAACGAATTTCCGTTCAGGTCGATGAAGGGTATGACACAGACGCCGAGCCAGAGGAGGCTGATGTAGTGCCACCACCATCAATATCAGTTGACACAGAGCCTGTGCATAAGCTTGCAAAGACATGCCCAAAACCGAGGACATCGGTTGAATACTTGCAGCAAGTGCATGGAGCAGGCGACTTTCTCCCTGCACTGAAATCATTCTTGCAGAAACACCTACCCCATAACATAATCATTCCTGGTGCACAGGACCATTTCGATGTTTACAACCAGGTGGTCGTCGAGATGCCTTTCAATCCCGTTATCGGTGACAAGCACAGCCGCATGAGAATTCGTGCTGTCCCTTCAGTTCCACCCTCATCCACAGGGCGCAAGCCGGGCTCACCTGCACACTTTGACATGGCACTGGTTTACACAGATCGCGGCACAATCAAGAAGTGTGGGTTCAAAGGTACGTCCCTCTTAATGTGTTGCTGGTGCATTGCTGAATCTGTCACAGGTCTACAAGTAGGGCAAGTCCGTGCCATATTCTGCCTCCCACGTCAGTTTGGAGCCTATCTGCACCCTCTCGCATATGTCGAGTGGTTCACCGAGTTTTGGCCGCAACCAGACTCTACACTCAACATGTATCAAATCAGTCAGTCCACTCACAATCATGCACGTAATGCGGAGATCGTCCATGTCAATGATCTCATGCGGCCATGTCACTTGGTTCCGAAGTGTGGTACCAGTATTGATAACACTTGGACTACTGACAATGTCTATAAAAAGGCGTTGACATTTTACTTAAACCCTTTTATTAATGGTCATATGTTTTACAGAAGTACTGGCAGCTGCGCGGAGACGTAAGGCCCAACGGCTGGTCCACAAAGGTCGTATCGCGCTCCTTACATTTTCGCACCCGTGCGTTCGTTGGATGGATGTCGCGCCAGCCCGCCACCCCGTATGTCCCTGCATGCAGTGCTTGCGACTGAGGACACGAATGCGAGTGTGATGGCGGCAGCATCGGGCACGGCGAAGGCTCATAGGGGAAAGAATATGCATAGGCGGAGGTAGGTGGTAGAGGTGGTAATGTGTGGAGTATCATATACTGCCATGTACAGCATATAGTCTACAAAGCCATGGCTGACTGTACATGCCCCTGCTACTGCTATAGATCATCGAGCGAAGGCTACAATAGCTACAGTGAATGCTCGGAGAAGTGCCCCGAGATACAGGCATGCCATCGTGATACCGATCACTATGATCGGTCGCCTGGAGCTACCGCCTCTGAGGTTTTTCCAGATGAGAACCTGCGCCAGGTCTATGAGCTGCCGTCACAAACAATGACATGCTCCGGTCGCATTTCCCGACCCGCACAGCTGAGCCTCGCGTGCCGCTCGCCCTTAGGAAGGAGGTGATATAACGGCGATGCCGTTACGTGTCCGAACACGGCCAATGATTTCTCGATGATGCACGGTCTGTTCTTAGTTTCTTTATTCGGTATGCTAGCTACCTTGTATGTACAGAAAGTCCTACTTACAATCGCGCACGGACATTCTTAGTCAGCATGGGTTATAGCTCGCGCCCCGCCCGTTTGTATCCCATTGAATCAATGCACAAGTGTCCATTCCCATTAATATTGTTCATGATTCCTCCGTCCGAATTCCTGGAACCTCTCCGAGCATAACGGCTCACCTCTGTGTACTTCCGTGACTTCCGCCGGCATGGCCGTTATACTTCCCTCCTCCCAAATGCTTTCCATGTGCACGCATGGCAGGCTATGGCCCTGTGAATATTTTTTGTAGACCAAATATGTAATGGAGTAGCTCGACATCTCGGATCCCCTCGCCTCCTCGCGGTCTTCGTATCTCGCTCTATGCTGCATTTCGTGGTGCACTTCGCCGGATTGGTCGCTCCAATCCATCAGGAAAAATCGGCTTTGCTAGGTAGACCTATGTAGCCTCTGTAGCAGTGATAGCGCGATAGGAAAGTCCCCATCTTCCTAAACCTCCAGAGTCACCCGCATGGTCCCGATAGTATACTGTAGTCGCTGTTACGCGGCAGCGAAACACGAGCGTCAAGTTGAGTCGTCACGAGACAGGGTCTTAGTCTAAGACACAAGTCCGTTTAAGTGACACTTCTGGCGATGTCCTCGCACTGAAGGTCGATCAGAGTTCGTTCTTATGACTCGTAGTAGCTGTCTGCTACTAACGGTCGATTTCAGTTAAAGGCAAGTGAAAAGCTGGTTTAATGGTAACCAGGTCGAGATGGGGATCCAGCTCGACAAGGTTGTCTACTTATACAAAAGGTATCCGCAGTACTACGCAGTAATGCGAGATCGTTCATTGGCTAGATAAGGTGAAACGATATCTGGGCAAGGTAACAGCGAGGAAGTAATATGTATGAGAAAGCTGAGTAAGGTCGTGAGAGATAATCAATACTAATGGGGATAACGAGTCGTGTATCAGAACGAGGTAAAGATGAGGCGTACATGCACGTCTTGCATGCGCGATAAGAAGAAGGTCCGGAGTTGGATCCGGTGTAACCCTAGACTAGGGGTTCTGGGCATCTGGGTAAAGAATTGGAGGTTGCGCTCCGATGAGTCACATGTTGGATCACGTGGTCTGGTAACGTAAAGGGAACAAGGAAAAAGAAAAAGAAAAGATGTGCCACAAGTGAGAAGCGTTGTAACATCAGCTCCCGTCTAACGTTTCTTGTCCCACAAGAAATATTGTGATTTTCATCGTCGTCGGGGGCAGTCGCGGACATAATGATCTCCTCCGCATCTGTAGCATGTCCGCCAGTTGGTTCGTGATCCTTGTTCGGGGATACGTCCATCCATGTAGGGATGAATGCGATGTGAGGAAGTGGATGTGGTCGAGGAAGATGGTTGTGATAACGGAGATCGTCCACTGGGTACATGCGAACGAGGAGGGCGAGGTCGAACGGGAATTGGTTCTGGCGACGAGCAAGGAGTGGACGCGGGTATTCCATTAGTGGTGTATCCGAGGATGTGTCTGATGTCTTCATCCCCATGCTCCCTCCAAATCTCCTGTGCTGTACGAGTGACTGTACTGTGCATCAACAACCAGACTTGGTCGACTCTGGTTCGGGCTCTACTCGTCCTTTCCTCTGCTGCGATGAGCTCTTGTCTGGCCGTCTGCATCCACTCGACCATTTCTAATGCTCGTTGCATGGAAACCACCGCTTGTCGATCTTGCGGGCGATTTCGTAAGGCGACAAGGATATCTGTGAAGTCGACAGGAACATGGATAGCCGAGACCAGACATGTGGCAAATTCTTGTTCGTCCAATGCGTGACTGAGTTCGATAGAAGGTGAGGGTGATGAAGCGCAGATAAAGGGTGTCTGCGCTCGAGAGGGTACTCCATTGACAAGCGTAGGCGATGCGGGTATGCTCATAATTGTGGAGGCGACTTCAGTGAGTATATTGTGAACAAGGTCGTCTATAGCGGAAGTGGGCATTGATGATATGTCGTCTTCTCCTCCTTTTATACCTTTCGGTCGTTAAGGGGATCGCGGTTATCTGTGATGTGAAATAGAATGTCGTGGATCTGGGTAATAATCAAATAGATGAAAATCCATTGGACGATAAAGAGTATTCCCACAGAGATAAGAGCTGCCTGATCAGTTCCAGGCATCGTTCTGATCACCCCAGCCGTTAGCGTGCGGGCTGTCTCGCGTGAAGAGTGTGTGTTCGACAAGTCGTCTGATAAGGATTCGGTGGATGATCCAAAGAAAAGTGAGGGTTGTGCAGTGGAGGACGATTAGGAAGATGATGAGGAAAACCGTCGTGGTAGTCATTCCGGGTTTCTTCTCCTCTACTGGATTCCCCTGGTCCTTTTATGCATCGAGGATTCGCTTGGCATTCTGTAAATTGTGGGTAGGTTCCCACGAGTTTTCTGCTGAAGAATATCCCTTCCACTTGACTAAGTACCTCAGATGACCTCGGTATGTCTTGTGATTCAGGATGGCTTCGACTTCGTACTCTTCTTCATTATCAACGACATCAGGTGGTGGGTTCACGTAATTCGGACCATGTATGTCGTTTTCGCGATAAGGAGATAGAAGGGCGGCGTGGAATACGGAATGAACTCGCCAGGTCTTCGGGAGTTTGAGACGATAGTTGGCTGGTCCGATGACTTCGACAATTTCGAATGGCCCCTCACGCTTTGGTGCTATCTTGCGCGAGGCGTAATTGACCTTCAGGTTCCTCGAGTCTAGCCAGACCTTCTGTCCTAGTGTAAACTTCGGCGATCCTTGTCTGACTCGGTCCGCCATCTGTTGTCGGGCTAACTCGTGCATGGCTAGTGCTTCTAGTCTTATCTTCTGCAACATGTCAAGCCTGGATTCAACCGATGGAATGTTCGTGGTCGGAAATACGGAAGGGAGCCCACGTGGTTCATATCCCATCATGATGCGGAATGGGCTCATCTTCCGTGCCAAGTGTTCCCTTGTGTTATGACAAAACTCGAGGTCTGGCAGGCGGTCGGCCCATGTTTCAGGGTTGTTTCCGCAATAGAGTTGAAGATAGATTTCCAGCTCCTGGTTGACTCGCTCTGTTTCTCCGTCCGTCTGAGGGTGATAAGCCGTGCTCATTGATGATCTGATCTGGAGTAGTCGATTTAACTCTTGGAAGACCTTGGATGCGTATTGAGGTTCTCTATCCGAGATGATTCGGTTGGGTAATCCAAATCGCGAGTATACTTTGTCATGAAAAATCTTGGCCGTTCCTTCGGCTGTGATCGTTTTGAGGCAGGGTGTAAGAATCACCCCCTTCATAAGGTCATGGTCTACTACGACCATAATTGAATCAAAACCGTTGGAAACGGGGAGGTCGGTAATAAAATCGGTGGTACAACAGGAAAATGGTAATGCGTGTGGGTCGGCGGGAATTGGTTCCAAAGGAATACGAGTTGGATGAGTATTCGGTTTCATTTGTTGACAGGCGGCACAGCCTTCAACATAATTGTAGACAAATGTATACATGCCGGGCCACCAGAATTCATGACGTAACAGTTCAAGAGTATTAAACTTTCCAGGGTGACCCATGGCAGGGGAGTTGTGATGTAGTCGAACGAGGTCATGACGAAGAGTTTCGGATGGTGGAACGTAAATCTTTCCCTTGTAGAGGATGACACCATCGCGAACTTCCCAGTTGGAAAGTGATGATTTCATGGGGAATGGCCCTTTGTGCGCAATCGCTTCGAGGGCTTCGTGAACAATGAGGTCTTTTGCTGCGTGATTTCTGATTTCGTCGAATAGTGTCGGGGAAATGGATCGCACGAATAGTGCGTTGGGTAAAAGAACACGATCTTCGTTGTCACTTTCACTGTCATCGAGTCCATTGCGACGAGATAGCGCATCAGATTGGATCATCTGAGTGCCAGGGACATGGATGAGGTGAAGATCAAATTGTGATAATTTGAGACTCCATCGTGCTTGTTGGCGGTTTAACTTCTGAGCTGTACGGAAGTACGTGAGGTTCTTGTGATCACTGCGAACTTCGACGGGATGGGGAGAGCCTTCAAGATAATGGCACCATTCAGTGAGGGCTCGAATGATTCCGAGGAGTTCACGGTCGTAGATTTTGTAGTTCCGTTCAGCTGAGTTGAGCATCTGTGAAATGTAGGCACAAGGATGGAGGTCTCCATTGATGTCGGCTTGGCGTAAAACTGCACCCGTAGCAAACTTGGAAGCGTCAGATTCAACAATAAAGGGTTTTGCCTTGTCAGGCAGTAACAGTACTGGGGCGGTACTGAATCGTTGCTTCAATGTGTCGAAAGCTGTCTGACATTCTGTTGTCCATTCAAAAGGTGGAGATCCAGCGGCAGTGCGCGTAAGATTCGTCAATGGTTTGGCAATATCCGAGAAGTTGGCAATAAACTTCCGATAGAAGTTTCCAAACCCTAGGAAAGAGCGAACACCTTTTACCGTGCTTGGTTCAGGCCATTCTGCGATTCCTTTAAGTTTGATAGGGTCCATGCCAATGTAGTTTTCTCGAATGATCATGCCTAGGAATTCGACTTCTTTAACATCAAAGAAACACTTTTCCGGTTTAAGGAATAAGTCGTTGTCTTTGAGTCGTTGGAGTACGCGTCGGGTTCGAATGTGATGTTCTTCCAAATCGTTTGAGAAGATGAGGATATCATCCATGTAAATGACTATCCATCCCTCATCGATCATGTCCTTGAAGAGTGCGTTCATCATCATTTGGAAAGTCACCGGGGAGTTGCAGAGTCCAAAGAACATGACCATAGGTTTGAAAAGTCCACGATTTGTCTTAAATGCGCCCTTCCATTGGTCACCATCTTTGATTCTGACATTGTTATATCCGGAGCGTAAATCCATTTTCGTAAAGATCGATGCGCCTTTGAATTGATCCATAAGGTCAGAGATGAGCGGAAGAGGATAGGCGTTCTTCACCATCCCTTCATTCAGGTATCGGTAATCCTGACAGGGACGTAGTGCTCCGTCTTTCTTTCCTACGAAGAAAAATGGTGAAGCCATAGGAGATTTCGACGGTCGGATGTATCCTTTTCACAGATTTTCTTCCAGGAAGTCATCCATCGCTCCTTGTTCTTTGAGCGATAACGGATAGACTTTACAGTCGCGTGGAATAAAATTGGGTTTCAAGTCAATGGCGTGGTCCCAAGGCCTGGTTTCTGGAAAGCATTCAGCTGCTTTCTTTTCAAAGACGGACTTCAAATCGTGGAGGTAGTTGGGGACCAACTCCTCGACGGTTTTGGGTTTGTCTACAGCTGATGCTTCCTTGTGTGCCTGTTGTGCCAATTCTTGTGATTTACCGGATGGTTTGTAAAAGACCGTATTCTGTGCGTTACAGAATAATGGGGATCGAGTACTGTGTGTCATTCTTCCAATGGCGGGGCCTCTTCGTATGGTGAAGACTGCGGTTTCAGTCTCTTCATTCGTCAAAGGTGACGCCTTCCTGATGGGTTCAAATATCCCAATAACTGGCTCTCCTGCGATATAGGATATAACTAGATCGTCGTCATCGAGCTGATCCATAGGGGGTTCTAATGGTGGGTCATCTGGTTCGGTATCATTCCGCACTGCGGGTAACTCGCCACGCTCAGTGTTATCGGCCATGATTTCTCTGATAGATTCTGAATGCCCAAACGAGGTAGGGGAAGTTTCGGTGGTGATTAACTCTGGGAGTCCATCTTCCTTGAAAATCGAAACTTCTTCATCTGGTGCCTCTTCGATGGTGGGTTTCGGTGGCCATTTGGCGTCTTTACCAAACCAAAAGTCACCGGTTTCCCAGTTGATCATCGGATTGAGGCGTTTAAGCCACGGCATGCTGAGAAGTATGTTTTCTTTGCCAATGCTGGTCAAGAGGAAGCGAGTAAGTGTCTTCCTTCCTCCGATTTTCATCATCTTCCAGGTATAATGAGTAATGGTGCCCATTTGATTTGGTGTGCCATCTGCATTTATGACTTTAATTGGTTTCGGTAATTCCCATCTGATGAAATCGTTTTCTTCCGCAAAACGAATGTTCATGAACGTTTCGGCTGCACCGGAATCGATCAAGGCTTCTGTTGTAACGTCTTCCTTCTCTCTCAACGAAATATTCACAGTGATTGAATTTCCGCTAGTGTTGCAAATAACGAGGGGAGATACGGTAAGATGTGATGGTCCATGTATTACTAGTGGCCGTTGTCTCAAAAACCCAATTGGGTTCGTTCTTCATCAGTCATGTCGTTGAAGATGTTTCGCACATAGGCGATCTGTTCCTCTCTGGTTTCTTCCTTCGATGTCTCCTTCTTCTGTGCGAGGTCTTCTCACATCTTCTTGATCCATGTGATCGTGTCTGTGTCCAACCCGGGCTGTATCGTTCTAGCATGGGTGAAACTTCCAGACTGGGGGTGAAATTGTCTGTCGTTGGCTATATGGCCCTTCTTTCCGCATAGGAAACATAATCCTTCTTTCATTCTCTTCTGTCGCTCATCCGGGGATAAGCGCGAGATATTGACACGATCAACATCCATCGCGTTTGGATCCCTTGCAGAAGCCGAGTAGTAGGGACGATGGACAGATCGGCCCTTTCCTCGCGTCGTCATAGTGGCTCCTCACTTGAAGATCTGAGCAGATCTCCATTGGTTATCAAACTGCGAGGCATATTCGTACCACTTGTCAAGTGTCTTGGGCATGCTTTCCATCCCATATATCCTTTGTCGGAGTGGGTCGTTAAGTCCCCACTTGAAATACTCGATATTTCCGGCATCTTCTAATTTCGCCTTGGATTCAAGCGATCGGAATTCGGCAATGTAGTCGTCTGCAGTACGAGTTCCTTGCTTGATGTTACGCAGCAAGGTACGAGCGGTTTCTTCAATATTTTCATCGCCAAATGCTTTGTTCACACTCGCAATGAAGTCTTTCCAATTCCCATAAGAAAGGAAGTCATTATTGGTGAGTTCCGTTTCTATGAAGCTCTGTGCCCATGATCCTGCTGTTCCTCCTTGCATGTGCGATAGCACGAATGCGATCTTCTGATTGTCCTCCTGGTAGACATGGCTATTTCCGGCCATGTAATTCTTGCATTGGTTTATAAATTCCCTAAGCTTCGAACGGTCTGAACCATTGAAGATCTCGGGTTTTCTAAAACCAAGTTCCTTCTGGCTGACATGGTGACGTCCTTCATCCATGATAACTGTAGCCATCGGTGGTATGTAATCGGATATGATTGGTGCAAGAATCGGTTGGGGTACGGGATCCTGGACAGGGAGGTTCCAAGGGGCGTCTGGTCTTTCTCCTGGATAAGAGATAGGTATGCCGCTGTCTGCGATGTGTGATAGTACGAGCCCTCCAACATTATGGGGTAGGCCTGCTTCGTAGTCACCACTTGGGTGATCAATGTGTTGATCTGGTCTGATGAGTAAAGGTCGTCCGTTTAAAACGTGTACGTTCCTCTGTGCATCCCACTCTGCCTGAGATGGGAGGAGATCGATGTATTGCTTGGGAAGAGCAGTCGGGTTGATAAAGTTCAAATCCAGCGTGGATAAATTCCCCTGTGTGGCCTACGTCTACACGTAGACTGCACACCGTCCTTAACTAAGTGGGTTCGTTCATCGTCGGCTAACAAGCCCATAGAGTGTCTTCTGTCTTCAAACTGGTACACCTATTTGCTGATTGCTCGAGTGATTACCTCAGCCTCCTCAGCCTATTGGTCTCTCGGACAGACCCCTCTCCGAAGATGAGTGATCAGTCTATCCCTTCAGCTACCTCGATTACAGAGTAATCTCAAACGGTGCTTTAGCAATCGAATCAGGTGTATCGTTCAGTCTTCAAGGTTCGGTCCGGTCGGTAGTTCATTTGTTAGACTTTAGGAAGTCACAGAGAGTAATAAGATCTCGACCTAATGTTACGCGGCAGCGAAACACGAGCGTCAAGTCGAGTCGTCACGAGACAGGGTCTTAGTCTAAGACACAAGTCCGTTTAAGTGACACTTCTGGCGATGTCCTCGCACTGAAGGTCGATCAGAGTTCGTTCTTATGACTCGTAGTAGCTGTCTGCTACTAACGGTCGATTTCAGTTAAAGGCAAGTGAAAAGCTGGTTTAATGGTAACCAGGTCGAGATGGGGATCCAGCTCGACAAGGTTGTCTACTTATACAAAAGGTATCCGCAGTACTACGCAGTAATGCGAGATCGTTCATTGGCTAGATAAGGTGAAACGATATCTGGGCAAGGTAACAGCGAGGAAGTAATATGTATGAGAAAGCTGAGTAAGGTCGTGAGAGATAATCAATACTAATGGGGATAACGAGTCGTGTATCAGAACGAGGTAAAGATGAGGCATACATGCACGTCTTGCATGCGTGATAAGAACAAGGTCCGGAGTTGGATCCGGTGTAACCCTAGACTAGGGGTTCTGGGCATCTGGGTAAAGAATCGGAGGTTGCGCTCCGATGAGTCACATGTTGGATCATGTGGTCTGGTAACGTAAAGGGAACAAGGAAAAAGAAAAAGAAAAGACGCGCCACAAGTGAGGAGCGTTGTAACAGTCGCCGCGTGTGTCTAGCGAGTGCTATGGAGCACTACCGATTTTCAATGGGCTGCTCAGTAGTAGTCTTAGTTCAGGTGCTCAGGAGGTGAATTCTTGCTCTATAGCTCACAGTAGTACTCCAAAGCATGTATGAAACCAATAAATTAAGTGCGCAGAAATCATACTAAGGATCAGAACTGGAACTAGTACATGATCAATCATCTTCCGCCTCACTATCCATTTCCCCTGTGTGTCCCTGTAACTCCTTCTGTGCGTCCTCGATTGCTGCGGCCGACAAATGCCCAGTTGGCGCATCATCATCTGCAACACCTGTGGCACGGCTGGAGAGAATGTTATCGAGGGACATGAGCAAGCCGAAAACAAGTCCTTACCGAGCGTGGTCGTGCCATTTCTTACACAGGTTGCATACAACACCAGGAGATGATCGCGCCCACTTTGTGATGTCTTCCATGTGGTTCAGATACCATGGCTTATTCTCAAATTCTGAGAATGCTACCTGAGCATGAATGCCGGTAGACCACTCTTTGATGCAGTGTTCAACCTATCCATGAAATATGAGCAGCCTCAAATCGAGCCAACAGTCTGAGTCTATGCACCCCGGTCAACAACAGAGCTAGAGTCGGCGTGCGAATCGGGTCAAAGTACTTCCGAAATTTGATACCGACGGAGTTCTTGTTCTTGAAAAAACATTCCTTGATCAACTTCGTGACAATGGTATTGCGCAGGAAGCCGGAACGACTTCCCACGTCCAGATCAAAGTCCTACAAGAATAAGAGAACAGCCCAATTGGAAATGATGAAAAGAATGTACTTTGTAATGGAATGTTGATTCATGTATCAGACCTTGATAGAGCTTAACGTTCTTTCGTTGAGCTGCTGGTTTGTCGCCAGGAACAAATCCATAAGCGGCAGCAATATGCTTGCGAATCTCGTTGATAAGGTCTCCGCGTGCATTTGATTTGTGGCTTATAATCTGTGGATGGGGTCAGATTCAACACGCAACAACAGAGAAAAGAAGACATAAGATGCTTATCATCCTCTCTGACAACTCATACTCCTCTCCTTCTCCGTGAGTGCGACAAGTCTCGGACCAAAGTTCACGGGCCCACTGAATAGTGATGTCAGTATCGGGGAACCCTTCCACTGCGCAGATGCGGCAGCCGAATTCGTGACATGTCTTGAGCAGCAAAGTCCTGACGTCATCTGTGTATTGAGAAGCCTTCGGACGCCCGCTTGGAGACTCATTGTTGATGAATTCCGCGGCTTTCAATGCCTTTGTGACAGGGGCATGTGAGGAACCTGAGCGTGCCGCGGAAGACTTTGGGCAGTCTTGAGTTGATGCGGAAAGAGAATTTGAGCCTCCCATCGGGCAGTGCCACTTGTGAGTGGTTGTGCGGGGGGTAGGAGTTGCACAGACATCAATGTTCTCCGGGTCTGAGGAGTCCAAGACCATTGGCTGAGATGGTGGATGGTTGCGCATGGATGAAGTGTCATCCTGATCTAGGGGTGTATTTGTCACTGTGGCCAGAGAGTCGGACTGCGTCGAGTGCCGGTTCGGGTCTTGCAAGGCTTGCGTAGGCGGTGTGGCCACCGCATGCACTGAGCCTTGACGACGCAGGTGTTGAAGGGTCACTTGAGGGCGCCGAGTTAGTTTAGCCTTCTGAATGGGAATTGTCACAGCAGGGCCCTTTCTGAACTATTGGCGGTAGCATGGCCGCCATCAAAATGATGTAAGTTCGTGTTAATAAGCAAACAACAGAACGTACTGAAGATATGAGGTTGATGCCCATTTCAGCATCACTGGCCGGCTCTTCCTCCTCAGCAGGTATCCTCTCAAAGTCATCTTCAGTCGGTGCTTGTGCGACAGCTAGCGCCTTCTTCTGCTTGGCGAGCTGTTTGTTCGCATTGGTGAGCTTCTTCTGGAGTTTTGTGATTTGCACCTGGGCGACAATGGCTTCATGTTCATCTGCAGAGAGATTCATATGACGATCAAGCTGTGAGGCCGCAGAGTGCTCACCTATCTCTTTCTGCTTCTTCGAAGCCTTACGGGGCCGCTTGTTGCACGGAGATGTTCTCGTTGTTTTTGCAGTCTTCTTTGGTCATTCAACTTCTGATGCCATGCTGGAGTCCTCAGAGTCAGTTGGCTCGGAAACAGGAGAGGTGTGTGGTTTGCATTTCAGCATGATGGTGAATGGAGTAGCAGAGTGACTGAGTGTTGAACTTGCCATAAATGTAAACAATGAATGACCGCACTGTGGCCATGCCATGTTGACTGGTGCCAGCGTTCATTTACCTGGTTTAACTGTTGCAAATTCAGCGAAATCTCACCTCTCTACTAAACTCTCTCATATCCCAAGATGCCAAACTATGTCTGCTCATTCTGCCATCACCACAAAAAAAGCACCAAGAGCCTGCACTCGCACATCTCACAAAAGCGGCCGTGCCGTCTAGCCTTCTACCGGAAGCTGCAAAAGGGCCGCGTACCTGTTATAGTCAACACACGTGTACCGGAGGGAGAATTGGAGGTCAGTGGTGATGCGGAGAATGGTCATGGTAGTGAAGAGTCGATGGAAGTGGATGAACTGCCATTCGATGCAGAAGACCTACCGGTGGATCCTCCTTTGCAAACACGCACTTCAATGGAGATAGAAGAATTAGTACAACTGGAACATCCTGCACAGCCGCATTCACGATGTGTGACTGTTGAGGAGGTGGAAGATGAGGAGTATAGGGGCTTACTGAAATGTCCCTGGATCCAAGACTTCCCGCCAGAATTTGATGTGGCTGCTGTCCTTTGTGAGGCGAAGACAGAATTTGAAACCCTGCGCGATGAGAAGGCAGCTGCAGGGGAAGAATCCTGGCATCCGTTTGCCAGTCGGGATGAGTGGGAACTCGCGCACTGGCTAATGACTGCGGGACTCAGTCAGACAGCTACCGATAACTATCTAAACTTACCCATAGTGAGTCTGCTGATTCTCTCAGGCTGTGAGCTAAACTGACATGAGAACTTCAGACCCGAGAACGCACGAACCTGTCATTCCATAACAAGCGCGCCTTCTATCAGAAGATCGATGCACTTCCACAGGGGCCCTCCTGGTCATGCGAGCCTTGGGAAGTCACTGGTGATTTGCTGGATGAAAAGGGTCAGCCTCGCAAAAAGACCCTAGAACTGTGGAAGCGTGATCCTGTTGAATGCATCAAGGAACTGATCGGCAATCCCGCATTCAAGGATGCGATACGATATGCACCAGAGAAAGTCTTTGCAGACTGCAATGGAGACACCAGGATCTATGATGAGACATGGACAGGCCAGTGGTGGTGGGACCTCCAGGTACATGCAGATATTCACTCAAATATAGTATCAGGCAGTGAACTGACCTTGTGCCAGGAAATAATGCCAGATGGAGCGACAATTGCACCTGTGATTCTGTCATCCAACAAGACGCAGTTGTCAAACTTCAGTGGTGACAAGTCTGCATGGCCAGTTTACCTCTCCATTGGAAACATCAGGAAGTCGACTCGACGTCAACCCTCGGCACATGCCACGATCTTGATCGGCTATCTCTCAGTCACAAAGCTTGAATGCTTCTCAGAAGGGCAAAGATCAATTGAGGGTGTGCGTCTATTCCACTCATGCATGAGGTCACTTCTGGACCCTTTGATCAAGGCAGGCAAGGATGGCATTGAGATGGTCTGTGCCAACGGATGTGTGCGAAGAGTGTACCCTATTCTGGCAGCATACATTGCGGATCACCCTGAGCAATGTCTTGTCTCAGGTTGTCGTGAAAGTCACTGTCCAAAGTGTACTGTCAGTCCAAATCAGCGAGGAGAACCACTTCACTCTCTTATGCGCGACCCTGATGTCATCGAAACTGTGCTGTCGGAGGCCTCTCAAGGACTCAAACCAGATGATTTCAAGGACTTGGGCCTGAAATTGATTGATCCATTCTGGAGGGAGCTGCCACACTGTAACATTTTTGCATGCATAACCCCCGATATTCTCCACCAGTTACACAAGGGTGTCTTCAAAGATCATCTTGTCAACTGGGTCACTCAGTGCATGAATGGAAATGCTGCTGAAATTGATCAACGCTTTAAAGCTATGACAACTCACCCAGATTTGCGTCACTTCAACAAAGGCATATCACTGATCTCACAGTGGATGGGCGCAGAATACAAAAATATGGAGAAGGTTTTCCTAGGTGTTATAATAGGAGCAAGTGACCCAGCTGTTCTTTGTGCAGTGCGCTCCGTCTTGGACTTCATTTATTATGCTCATTTTGAGGCACATACTGATGATTCCATTGCCAAACTTGAAGCTGCCTGGAAGGGATTTCATGCAAACAAGCATGTCTTTGTGGAGAAGAGCATCCGGAAAGATTTCAACATACCAAAGGCCCATTCAGCAAAGCACTATGGAGGGTCCATTCGCAGTCTTGGAACAGTGGATGGATTCAATACTGAGAACTCAGAGCGCCTTCACATTGATTTCGCCAAGCGTGCATACAGTGCAACAAACAAGAAGGCTTACCTGAAGCAGATGACAGCCTGGTTGACATGACAGGAGGCCGTTCACAGGTTTCAGGTATATCTGCGGTGGGCAGAACCACCACGATCCAAAAAAACTCAGGCGAAGGGCAGATCAACAGATACAGATACATCAGGAAAAAATCACTTCAGTACATGAGGCTAGGTAGCCTAGGTAGACCCGGTAGGTTGGTAGACAAGTCCCGGAAAATATAAGCACCTGTAGCCACCCGCGAGCCTCTGTAATGCTAGGTAGCATCTCCGCAGCATCTATGTAATACCGGGTAGTACTCAATAGGGACACATGTCGCTTATGCTAGATTGCACCCTAGCTTGCATTCTCAACATCGGGCACAGAATATATCAGAAGATGGTATAGTTCATTCACTACTACAATTCAATAACCTAAAGCTCAGCCTCCGGCTCACTATCAGTGTCCCCAGTTCGACCAGCTAGTTCCTGTTGTGCCCGGCGACGAGCTTCCGCAGATAGGCCTGCAGGTGCTGCCGCTGCCGCTGCTCCAGTCTGACACCTTCAAGGGAATAAGATACATAGTGCGCGAGTAATCGATCACTTATCGGGCACGCTCATACATCTTCTTGCGGATCTTCGCAACAACGCCCGGATTGAGATTGCTCCATTCCTGAACATCCACAAGATGCTTTTCGTACTTGTCCTTCCAGTGCTTCTCCTCGAAAACTGCTGGGGTCCAGGTGCCATTACTATACTCATCAAGGCAGAACTCAATCTGCAAGACTCTGCATTAGCAACGATAATAACAAGTAAAAGGAACTCACTAATGTCATCAATAGTGCTAATAGTTCAAATGGAATAGGGCAAAACCGATCTTCGAAGATGACGCCGACATCCGTCTTGCTCCGAAACCATTCAGCCTGGATCACGTCCGTGATGATCTTATTCTGCGCGAATCCGATAATGTTCTCAACATCCTAAACAAGAAGTATATAGCGCTAAGTTATCCGCAAGACGAAAAGCTTCCAGACGCATACCTTATAGTGGAACCGATTCTCTTCCATTAAATGTGTATACAGTCCGACATTTCTCTGTATAGCGTGTGTCGTCTTGTCCCTGGAGAACCCGTGGGTGAGGCGGACAGCCTCATGAACCTTTGTCTTGATTGTTCCGCGTGCATGGGAGGTGCGCGTCTTGATCTATTGGTAGGAATGTAATTTTTTGTGTCAGCGAGCAGAGTGTGAAGGGACGGCGAGCAGCATGACATCAGTGGAAGCTTGCGAGTATATAGATGTGAATAAAATGCACTAAACCCAGTAAGCGATCTGTGAGTTCGTAATCTTCATCGGCATCCACGCAGACCTTTCGCCATGCTTCATGTGCCCACTTGACATGATCCGAGAGGTCACTGAAAGGGCCATTAGTGCACACACGCGATTGGAAGTCATTGATAGCGGTGAGAATCATCTTCTTGACATGGGGTTCATAGTCGCTGACCTTCGGATCACCCTCGGGGACACGATCATTGCGAAACCTGAGCTCCTTGCGTCCAGGGTGCTCGCGAACCTTGTCCGACTCAGAGGTACGTCGAGAACTGTATGAGGAATTTCCAGATGTATCAGAGGGACCTCGAGGCCCATTGGTTGAATGCTGAGGAGCGGCAGCCGGTCTGCTAGGTGGTCTGCTCGAGGGATGGTATCTTGTTGGAGATTGTGCACGGCGTCGAGTCAGGGAACGAGAACGTCCGATTGGGGAGCGCGAATGGCGGCTGATTGTCGGGTCAAAATGGCACCTAGCTGGGGAGTGTGAGCGGCATCTGTTCAGGGAGAGAACAGTACATCTGATTAGTGAACTTTGATGCCTTCGTGGTGAAGCAGAACGCCGCCCAAGTGACAAACTTGAACGCGAAAAGTGGTGCAAAGGGGATAACGTGGGAGGTCGGTTTTGGCGCCCTCTTGATGATGCCCCAAGCAACGAGGTGGCCAGGGGAGAGAGCGGCGAGGATGGATGCAAGTCACACGAGGAAAACCCCTCCGGAGACGCGCGTACAGAATGCACTTCAGTCAACGGCGTCGCATTGGTTATGGCATTGAGTATATCCAGGGCCTGCGAGGAGGGCGGGTGTGCATGTGAAGTATTCGCCGGCTTTGGATCGCCTTTTCGGCGACCTTTCGTGGGTGCTGGACGAGTGACATCCACTACACCCCGTGATTGGAACTGTGGTGGAACGAGTTACATCCGAAATATTGAAAATAATAAGTCCTGAGCCTACCGAGGACTTATAAGTGTTCGGTGGAGGACTCTGCGCCTCTTCACTCTCGTACTCTGGCTCACTGACGTGCTCCCGTTCATCAGTATTGTCATCGGCATGTCTAGCTGCGTTATTTGACACCGGGTTGAGACAGGAGAAGAAAAAATAGGGGTCAGTGTCTTTACCTTGCACCGTGATGCTCTTCTTCTTGAGCTTCGCATTTTCCTTCTCGAGGCGTGCCAGTTTCTTCATCAATGTATCTTGCTTCTCCTGGCCTGTCAGGAAGGGAAATCCCTGTACTTCAATTTTGCAAGCGAGAACTGAGGAATTTCACCTAGTTGTTTCTGCTTTTTCGTCAGCTTGCGTGTGTGCTTCCCTCACTCCACTCCGGGTTCTTCGTCGTCTTCCGAAGAGGCATATTCTTGAACATCGACATTCGCCCGCCCACTGGTATGCGAGCTACGAGGTGGCATGGCCCTGTAGTGAGGCGGAGGGCCTGCAGAAGCGACACCGGATGCAGGAGAGATGCACGAAAATCAACGCACGGGCAGGTGGTTGGATTTTGTTTAGGGTGGTCTCTTGCCAGACATGGTGATCGCGCGTGTCCTCCCAGTTAACCTAGAGTGCGAAGACTTCAATCTACTGCACCTACACAACTCACCTGGTCAGAAATGCCCATCTTTATTTGCCCATACTGTCATAGCTCGAAGCCTACCCGACAAGGTCTTCATTCCCATATCACCCAGACTCCACTTTGCCGGTGTGCATGCAATCGCAAAGCCGCAAACACTTTGCCTGTGACACCTCCACCAAACGATGAGGATTCTGCAGACAACGACATCAGGAGGGCGGCCGAGGATGTGACACTGCAACTGGACACTAACCGTACACTGAGTCCCCCACCGCTTTTTGATCCACTGCATGCTTCTGCCACTCTCACATCAGAGGCGGCGGCCTCGTCAGAGTTGCAAGAAGACCGCAATGCTAATGACAGTGAGTCTCCTCCCCACAGCAAGTTAGATAGCAGCTTCACATGTACTTTGTAGATCATGCTCAGCCATCAAGACGTGTGTGCATTGAGGAAGTGGAGGATGAGGACGCAGGAGGCATGCCGAAGAAGCCTTGGCTCGGTGAATACCCAGATGAAGCCGGAACAACGCACAGTACTGCAGAGACAGTATTTGAGAAGCTTCGCAAGCAAAAGACGTCGTCAGGAGAGAGTTCCTGGGCACCATTTGAATCTGAGGAGGAGTGGGCACTGGCTCGGTGGTTGATGACCAGCGGCCTCAGTCAGAAGGCCATTGACAAGTACCTACAATTAGAAATTGTGAGCCTGCTTTCGAACGTCGTTCCTTGATTTGCGCTAAGCATAGAACAGACGCGTGCACGCTCACGGCTGTCATTCAAAAATAAGTATGCATTCTTTCAAAAGATTGACATGCTTCCCCGTGGACCTAAATGGGAATGTGAACTGTTCGAGGCAGTGGGCGACGAGCTCGACAATGAAAACAAACCTTACACAGAGGTCCTAGAACTCTGGAGGCGTAATCCTGTGGAGTGTATTCAAGAGCTCATTGGCAATCCCACGTTTCAAGAACTTCTTCACTACACACCGGAGCAACTGTATGCAGATGAGGAGTATCAGAACCGAATCTACGGTAACATGTGGACCGGTGACTGGTGGTGGGAGACGCAGGTATGCCATCATGTCCATGCGGAGCTGGCTTCTGTGTTCATTTTGAGTAGCAGCGACTGCCTCCAGGTGCCAGTATTGCACCTGTCATCCTTGCATCGGACAAAACATCCCTGTCCCAATTCAGCGGTGACAAGTCAGCATGGCCAGTATATCTCAGCATTGGAAATATTGAAAAATCTATGCGCCGCAAGCCTTCCGAGCATGCAACAGTCCTTATCGGATATATCCCAGTTTCGAAATTGAAGTGCTTTTCGAAAGCTCGACGCAGCATCGAGGGTCACAGGCTCTTCCATGCGTGCATGACATCTCTGCTGCAACCACTGGTGAAAGCCGGTCAGGATGGCATTGACATGGTGTGCGCTGACGGATTCATTCGCTGAGTCTATCCAATTCTGGCTGCATACATTGTGGACCATCTGGAGCAGTGTCTTGTGTCGTGCTGCATGGAGAACCGGTGTCCTAAATGTTCAGTATCTGCAAATGGCAGAGGCAAGCCAGTGTATTCAGTCCTGAAAGAACAAGACAACGTGGCAAGTGTCCTGCGCAGGGCGTCAGAGGGCGAGACATCTGAGGAATTCACAAATCTAGGTCTAAAACCCATACTCCCATTTTGGTTGGACTTACTGCACTGCAATATATTCACCTGCATCACTCCCGACATCCTCCATCAGCTCCATAAAGGAGTTTTCAAAGACCATCTTGTATCATGGGCCACTAAGAGTGCCAAAGAGAACGGAGGTGCTCGAGAGTTAGACCTACGCTTCCAAGCAATGACGAAACACTCCGATCTTCGCTACTTCAAAGATGGGATCTCTGTGATATCTCAATGGACTGGGACTGAGTACAAGAACATGGAAAAGGTTTTTCTGGGAGTTATCGCAGGTGCAGCACCTCAGCCCAATGTCACTTGTGCAGTTCGTGCGATCCTTGATTTTATCTACTATGCTCACTTCGAGCTACACTCCGAAGAATCACTGAAAAAACTTGAGCATTCCTGGCTCGAGTTTCACCGCTACAAGCAGGTCTTTGTCAACGAGGGGATACGAGACGATTTCAACATACCAAAGGTTCACTCATCCGAGCACTATCCCTACTCCATCCGCTATCTCGGCACAGCAGACGGGTACAGCACAGAAGGGCCCGAGCGGCTTCACATTGATTTTGCGAAGGTCGCATATGCTGCCAGTAACCGAAAGGTGAACTATGTCAAGCAGATGACGGTGTGGCTTGAACGACAGGAAGCAGTTTACCGATTTGACTCCTACCTTGCATGGATTATGAAGAATAACCCCGATGCCGATGAGAAAGACGATGAGGAGGATATCGATGTCGATGATCTGATAGACGCGGAGACTTTGCGCACAGAGAATCAACCTCAACAGTCCACACAGCCGCTCAAGGAAGGTCAGTTTGCAAGAGGCTATGCTATCGCGAAGGAACCTGCATATCCTCGTATGACGGTGGCTTCATTGATGCACGATCTTCATGCTCCGGACTTCGTGAAATGCCTTGAAGAATTTTTGCAGAAGACTGGATCCGGTGGCTCCATACTATTGCCCATTCATAACAAGACGCGTGTTCCGGTATATTCCCAGATGAAGGTGCAGCTCCCTGTCGCACAACAGATCACATCGGAAGTGGTGGTCGACACAATTCACGCAAGCACTCCTCGACCCACAAAAGGAACTCGAACTGAAGTACCTGCTCAGCAGTCGACGGTGCTTGTCAAGGACTCTAGTGCACAGTCTGCCTCAGGTGGCCCGCTTCATGGTGCACTTTCATTCCCTGTGCAGTATTTATTATGGTTCTTGCTGACTGTGCATTCAGGATTGCATGTAGCACAAGTTCGTGCCATCTTCAAGCTTCCAGATGTGCTCGCTGTTGAGCATTCAGACGCCGCTACTGTACTGCTTGCATACATTGAATGGTTCACGCCATTTCATGTGGTTGACGCGGACACTGGGATGCACGTTGTGACATGGTCAACACGGCAACGCCGCCAGTTCGCATCTATCGTGTGGGTGACTGATATTGTGCGTAGCTGTCAACTAATACCACTCTGGGGGAAAAAAATCGATCCGGCATTGCGATCACATACTGTTCTTGATGTCTGTGACAGATTTTATGTCAATCCGTACTTACGCCACCATGACTTTGTACTCTTTCGCTATCTTGTGGATCGAGCTAAAGATGATTAGACCTAATTGTGCCATGACAGAGAGTGAGCCTAAATGATATTGACATTATTTTACGGAGGCGTATGAGTGATCTACACAGCATTACAGAGACTACATCAGTCGCGCACCTGGCTACACGTCCTACAGAACCTTACACAATGGTCACCATGGCTACCTCACTCAGGGCTTTTTCCTGATGTGCGGATCAAGGAGATAACGATTCAGAGGATGCTCCGCTGTCATACTCAATTGCCAAGCAGCCCGGATTTGGGCAAAAGACAGTCCGAACATTGATTAAAGATTTTGGATGCACTGATTTCTTGCATAACCTTGAGGATTTCCTCCGAAAATCCACACGCAACCACCAAGTTCCAATTGCCGCTCAAGGGATGCATGACAGGACATGGTTTGCGGTCTACAAGTGGATGCAAGTCAGCCTTCCAACAGCACAGCAAGTCTCACATACCCCGAAAAAGGACACTATCCGTGCAACACCAGCAGTTCCAGCGAGGGCATTGCAGAAAGAAGTCCCAGCTCATTTTGACACCGTTATTGCGCGCGAATTTCCCGGAGATCCATTTGACTCCAACAAGAACAAGACTCCCCTGGAAGGTGAATTCAGTACATGCTTGTCATGAGAATGATTCTGACATACCATCCAGATTTGCGTGTTGCACACATTCGTGCAATTTTCAGACTTCCGGAAGAGTATGGTACACAATTCAAGCATCCCTTGGCCTACGTAGAATGGTTCACACCCTTTCACTCACCGGTTCCAGATATTGGGATGTACAAGATTGCGTATTCACGTTGAAACAATCAACGCTGGACATCAATTATACCGGTGACACAAATTGTTCGCAGTTGTCATCTGATACCGCAGTGGGGGAGAAAGATGATATATTCTTGGACATCCGCTGAGGTTCTCGAGCAAGCAAATTTCTTCTATGTAAACCCATACCTGCGTCATGAAGATTTTCTCCTGTTCCGTTACTTACATGATTCAAATACATAAGATTGCTGGTGAGACTGAAAGGGGATCGTGCCTCGAGTAGCATGGAAATGAACTTCTCCACTTCTGATGTCAGTGGGGGAGGTCAATCACATGTCTTCTATCATTTGACTGCCCATGCAATATAAGGACACGTCATACAGCCCCTCCGACACTACCTAGTACTATAGTGAAGCACACCACTACTACCTAGAACTCTGGAGGACTATCTTGCAGCTACCGGAAACTACCGAGCCTAGGGCGACTAGAGAGACGAGAGGTGGTGCTACCTAGGATTGCGTTTTTCCTGATGTCTACAGGATGCGGGTGCCTTGGGACGTGTTCCTGTGTGGAGGAGTGCAGGCTTGCATAACATGCTCTTGTCTCGCAGCATTTGGGTCTATTCACTTGTGCCTCGTGTTCGGCGATTTCGTGGAATGTGGATCGTATCCGGCAGCGGAAGCTCTGGCGCTTTTCCGTACTGCAGCATATGAGACTGATAATTCATTACATCTTATGAACTCTGGCTGCGGAATCGTCGCAGGACTGTGCAACTAACCTGAAAGAATTCCGCAGAATGCGCAATCGAGTCGGGCATCTATTACAAAAGGAACGACTGTCTTCCTCCAGGTAACTAGAGGCTGTATCTATGAGCCTAAGTCGGGCACACTGGTGATAACGGCAGTGGCTGATGATGCAAATGTCAGGTTGTAGAGGTGCAGTTAAACTTCCTTTTTTCTTATTGTTCTCTGCGTGAAAGTACCTGTACGCTCCATGTCGGAAGAATATTCATTTCGTCTTAGACGAAGATGTTCTCCTCGTCATCAACTTCCTACATATGTACATGTTCTCACGTCATTTCTTCACGACTTCAGCAGTTCGGCTGGCCCTTTCGCACCGTTCTCCCATTCCATGTGTCTCGGCCTCGAGGTGCTGCCATATATCATCTCGTCCTGCAGACGCTCTCCGACAGGGTGGGGATATGCCGGCTCTGTTGCATGCTGAACAATGCTCTGCAGAAGTGTCTCCAGGCTAACTTGCTCTTCGAGAAACGGGAAGGTCTTGGCGTTCATGCCAGATGCATAAATGCGTAGACAGGAATCCTCTTCGTCCGGGTCGGCATATCCAAGGCTGTTAAGGCGAGGTGACTGTTTAGCAGAGAATGTGGACCGGACCTCCGTCTTCACAACTCCCATATCGAGAGTTACAGCGATACACGGAAGGCCGGTAACACAGTTGATAGAGACGTGCTTGGCCTGGATGGCGTTGACGTCGGTGGGGCTCGCGGTCGCTCCAGCTTTGTCCGATATCATCATGAGCGACATGCTGTCCTGCAAACTACGGCCCGCGTTGTGGAAATAAATTGGTATCACCTTGTCAATGAGTGGTTGACCGTGACAGCACTGGATCGCGGCTGTGCGTGCCCAGTGGCGCAGCAGCCACTGCTTGGCGCTGTTGGCATTACTTAGCCACGTCACCAAGTAGAAGGACAGGACATACCACCAGTCGCTGCGATATTCGTCACAAATGTTCTCCTCCATCGAGATCCAGTGAGAGAAATTGACGTAGGCATTTTGGAACGCGTTCTTCGCCGCCTCTGCTTGCTGCTTGTTGTCGGGCCAAACTGTGTTGCCAAAACATTTCTCGAGGTATTTGGTGAGAGGAACCTTTTGGCAGTACAGCAGGTACGGGCTCTGAGTACGATCGGGGACCGTGGGCGTGTACAACTGGCGGACCAAAGAATCCTTGCCAAGGATCCAGACAATACGACTAACCAACTGTCCGCTCTTTCCAAGCTCGATCAGTCCATCCTGGATCTTCCTCTCCATGCATTTGAGTGCATCGACGATGTAATCTGGTTCATTATGCAAGAGCCATCCCGCAACGTGTGACAGGATCGGCTCAGATGGATAACTTGTGAATCTCCACATCCGATCCTCGGTTATTGCGTCACATACGCGTAGATGGCTGGCCACACCTGTCTCAAGAAATTCGGCAGCCTCCGGATGCCCAAAACAAATATCCAAACTGAACCGTTGGCCAAGGACAGCGAGTACTTGGTTGGAATCGTGGACGTTGAATGTACGACCGTTGCACAATTTCTCCTTAGCCAGCATCACGGTATCTCTGAGACGATTTGAATGCCATCTAGACTAATCGTGTTAGTTCAATCACACTGCGAATCCTTGAAGACTAACAACGGGCGTCCATAGCGAATGAGGTGTTCAGCTTTTGACACGTCATCCGCATAAGTGATATCGGCGAGAGGAATGGCATGTTGATCCCAGCCCGTCAAAGTGTAGGGAGGAAACAGCCGTGATCCAGCTGTGACTGCGCGCTGAGAGTTATCTGTGAAATGGGGAGTCAGTACAGTGATGGGCAAAGCAACTTCATCGCTAAGATACGCACGAATCTGAGATCGAACAGAGAAGTCGGCAATCCTCGAGGAGGTTGAGGCGAAGACGACCCAAACAGAACCCAGATAACCTCGAATGCACGAATATGCACTAATCACTCTACACAGTAAGTGAGATGGACGAAACCTATCGTTAACCATAGTGCTCAAGCGATGTGCTTCGTCGATCGCGATTACCAGCTTCGGATCATCTGTAGTTCCCATAAGGTCATCAAGCGTGTAGATGAGATTCGAATACGAGTTTCGCATATTCTGTTCGTAGTCTAGAAATTCCTCTTCGTAGTTCTCTGCGGTCAGTGGTTTGGGACTCATTTCGGAAAAAAACACTGGGTCCATCTTCTGCAGTAACTCCTCGATGCAAGCGCGCGCGGATTTCGGATTCGTTATCTGTTGAAATCAGCAACTGATGGCCAACCGCTTCATACATAGAAACGAACCTTCCAATAAGTCTCTTGAACGTCCTGGAAAAATTGTACTCGTCTGTTTCCAACAAGTGTGCCGTCCATCTCATTCCGCCAGAGCTCGATTGCCCGCGAAATGCGGCATCCAGTAAGGTCGAACAATTCTCGCAAGCGCGTGCCGAGATGTAGGAAGATGGCAGTGAAGAAAATGCAGCAACGCTGCGTATAGCTTTCTTCTGTCAACCTGCCCAGATCCTCAGCTAAGATGCGTGCCGGAATATCATCCCGCGGCGGCCAATTGTGCTTGTCTGCCTTGTCACGGATATTCATATAAAGGACCATAACACCTTTGGAACCCAACTGAATATTGTTAGTAATGAGCCGCTTTCGTGGAGCCCAGCGTGGACATGGTCTACGACGGGCATTGTTGCAACCTGCCGGCTTGGGGGAAATAAACCAAATGCGATAATCAACTTACCTCAATCATCGTCCTGGACTTTCCACTCCCGGAACTTTGAACAATGGAACAAAATTTTCCATAGTGTCCTCCTTCGCGGTGAAATTTTCGGTTATTTTCTCTCAGATACTCATACAGTCCATCCACAGCAGCACCGACATATGGAGTCTTGAAGGGGTTAATCAGGTAGTCGAGTGCAGCTAGGAAGTGATGAAGCCATGGTAACTTCACGAATAGTGGATAGCATACCTGGGGTGGGTGGTTTTGGCTGAACAATCCGCAGAAAAGCTGATTGAGGTTTCAGAAATGTACGAATCTGATGTGGTGCCACTTACCGCTTGCGAATCTATTAAAATCACCCGAGAGGCATGCTTCCTTCAGCATCTCCACCAATTGTGGTTGGTTCTGGCATAGCTCTTCGGCATTGGATACATTCAGGTACTCCTGGGGTAGCTGGGGGTCACCTTTAACGAGCATCATAATAACGTAGTCCGCAGGCATTCTGGAGGCATCCTCCAGGGTCCCAAACTCCTTCTGGAGGAACGCAACCATGCGATCGAGGATGTTGCTTCTTTCTTTGGCCGCCATCCTAGGGGCTTGTCTTCAAAGCAACACGCGAAGAAAATGCTGTCGGAGAAGTGCTGCTAGTAGTTGCTGAGAACTAATTCCAATACGCCGGGCCACCGAGGAAACGAGTGTGACGGCATGTCACCCTCCCCGTGACGTGACCAAGTAAGAGTACGTACGCTGCAAGACGCTGCACTGTGCTTGAATTTCACCCGGACACCACTACTATCTACGTTCTGCTATCTTCTCAAAATGTCTGGCGATAACGGCGAGGGACAACACCACCACCCGCGACAGCCTTGGTCGCTGCCCTCAAACACGGGTCCCAGGGTCGGCCGCGTCGGCGCCTGGAGCACGTCTTCGTCCTCCACGAGGTGAGTCCAGCTCATCGCGCCTGAGTGATGGCGAATCTAACATGGCTTCGTTAGTAGGAACAGCTCTGACGGGCGGAGGATCGCCACTCTGCGCGATATGGGTGGGAGCGCGTCGTCTGGCGGGGGACATGCCCATGGCGGAGGCGATGATGATGACGAGGAGGACGAGAATGGCGAGGACCAAGGGGAAAGCTGGTTTGCTGGAGGAGAGAGGAGGTATGTTTCTGTATCCTCATGCATTTTTGTCCATCGGTTCTGTCCCGCCGAGTGTGGCGCGTGCGTTCGGGTTCATTTGCAGATACTTGCTTCCCCTCATTGGTGTGTATATGCTGATGAATGCGTTTTTGCAGTGGGATTTCAGTGCAAAATCCGGGTAGACCCGGCGCCGTGCCAGGAGGAGATATCGTCCGAGACCTCTTACGCCGCGCGGCCGAGTATGTATATCTCCTGATTCCGCGATTTCCGCTCATGAAGCCACCGCAGAGCTGGTCCTCCACCCGAGGTCGAAAGTGGACCACATGTGCACAGCTCGGTGTTCACTGGCGGTGGCCACACTCTGGGCAGCGATGAAGTCGAGAGCGTCTATGTGCCCGATCCGAACGCCCCAGGTGCGCTCTTTGCTCCTGAGACCACTTTGCCCACTCATCGCTCGACACAGAACCAGAAGAAGAGACTGCGATTCGCCACCTCACATTCTGGCGCGAGGGCTTTAGTATCGAGGATGGCGACTTGATGCGCTATGACGACCCGGGGCATGCGCAGGTTCTCGCCGAAATTAACTCGGGGTACGTCATTTCTTTCTGTAGTTCTCACCATGGCTCTCAACTGGCGTCGTTCGCCGTAGCCGCGCTCCGCCTCACGTCTTGAATGTCCTTCCCGGCCAGCCTGTGGAGCTACGCGTGGTGAAGCGCCTGCAGGACGACTTTGTGCCTTCGGCGAAAGTGCAGGCGCGAACCTTCTCTGGGCATGGCCACCGTCTCGGCTCTCCCGTCCCCTCTTTCGCGCCTGCCCCTGCAGCGAGCGGAAGCAGCAGCGGTGGAGGAGCTATGCCAGGCTCGTTTCCTCTTAGCACGAGCAGGAGTCCCGCCCCTCCCGCTGCTGAGCGCTCGAGCATCAACACGCGGTTTGAGGTCAATCAAACACTGCCGACGACCAGCGTGCAGATCAGGCTCGCGGATGGGACGAGGTACGTGTCGGATTTACCCTTTGTCATTTGGCTCCTTATTTGAGCTAATGCGGGCGCGAAGGATGGTCTGCCGAATGAATCTCTCACACACGGTGGGGGACATCCGTAACTTCATCAACGCGTAAGTGCTTGTTTATCCGCTATTCACGATTTTGTGCTTAAGGCGAGGTCACTGCCGCAGCTCCCGTCCCGAGAATAACACGCGTCCGTATACGATTCAAACGACATTCCCGACCCGTATTCTGGAGGACGACGCACAGACGGTCGAGGCTGCAGGGCTAGTCAACAGCGTTGTCGTGCAGCGGTGGGTATAGTTGGAAATTGGGGAGGAGCACTCAATATTCAGTGGTGGCTCCGTCAGAAATGTCTTGTAGAAACTGTAGAGCAAATGTTTTGGGTGCCTTTGATGTGTAGGACTACGGTGAATTGGAGAGGTTTGACAAAGACCTATTCGCAGTGATTTTGCTCCAGCTACTAAGAAGAATATTTCCCACTTGTTTGGTACGGCAGTGTCGTGAGATAACCTGCAGGAGATACGGTTCGAATATTAAGTGAAAAGGAGCAAGGTAGGTTTGAGGAGGTTGTGACGCGCCTCAACGCGCCTGTGGCGCGCGTTTACATCAATTTGCGCCAGTCGCGTCGAAGCACCTTCACTGAGCGCTCTTTCTTCCACGACGACCACCATGGCTCGAGCGACTACCCGTTCTCAGAAACAACCCTCACAATCTCAACGACAGCCCCCCCAGTCCCAACCACGCCAGACGAGGGGCAGCCAGTCTCAGCGCCGGCGTGGGCGTGACGAAGAGGAAGAGGAGGAAGAGGAGGAAGAACAAGAGGCGCAGGATGAGGATATCGAGATGGACGGGGTGGGAAATGTGAAGAAAGTGAGTTCTCAATGCTTCGACATGTGGATTTTCTTGGAAAGATGATAGCTGGCCTTTTGCGAGGCTTGGACGCCCTCGTGTTGGTAAGTATGTCGCGGCGAACTTTCTTACTCGTGGAATGCGAAATTCTCGAATGTCCTGATGATCAGACCGTTGGTCAGCGAGGCGGAGTGCGTGGTTGTTTCGAGCTTTTTGGGATGCCCGAACGCGTCGGGAACATTCTTGCTCGATGTCATCCATCTTTTCGCCGAAGACACTAAATTCCGGTTGTTTTTTATATGAAGGATTAATATTTTTAATGTTGTTTCGACACCGACCCAGCTCTGAAATTTGGCGTACAAATCTGATGCTCATGTCGTGCAGGATCTAGACAGGAAAGCTAATGACCTCGTCCGCCTAGCGCTGTTCACGGAGGCTCGGCGTGTCCCCCTACGCAGAGAAGAGATCTCTAAGAAAGGTATTCCCTAGTTCTCGTGTAACTTCTAGCGGACTCAAACGGGCGCACACCAGCAGTGCTAGGCTCGAGCACGCGTGCCTTCAATACTGTCATGGAGCGCGCTCAGGACATCCTGCACAAGGTGTTCGGCATGGAGCTCGTCGAGCTCCAGGCGCGCCCGGAGCCGGACAAGGACGCGAACGACAAAGATGCGGAGCTGCTCAAGGGCACCGGCGTCAAGAAACGCGGTGCGCTCCTCCTTCCTCTCCTTATGTATGTCGTTGTTGCTCATACATTCCACAGCTGCGCCGACGGGAACGAAGACGTACATCCTGCGCTCCGTACTTGCACCGTCAATTATTGAGCGTGCGTGTGCTCCGAACGCGGAGATTCGCGCAGCAGAACAGGCCGACCGCGCAGATGCAGTCGCAGAGGACGAGAACGACGACGACGACGATAACCGCGTTGGAAAACGCTCCACCGGCAGCATCTTCGCATGGCACGCGGCCGACCAGCTTGGTTCCGTCGGCATGCTCTACGTGATCCTGGCGCTAATCCTCGTCGAGGGAAAGGTCATCAGTGACAGTGAGTCTAGTCTCTCGTACCTACGTTTCATTCCCCGACTGACCAACCACGGTCTCCTTCATCCCGCAGACGACCTCCGGGGGATCCTGAAGCGTCTCCGGCTGTCCGGCTCCGCGCACGTCCCTCTGAGCAGCCAATCAACGCACCAGGCGCTTACCGTCGACGCGTATCTGACGCAGCTCGCACGCCAGGGGTATCTCGACCGGAACCGCGTGGGCGAGCAGAAAGGCCAGAAGCGTGGGCGCGTGCCTGCCGCGACGCAGGCGACACAGGGCGAAGATGGCGCGAATAACTGGGAGTGGCGCTGGGGTGCCCGCGCGCGCGCCGAGGTCGGCGAGAAGGCAATTGCGCGGTTCGTTGCGGAGTTCATGGTCGCAAAGACAGGCGGGGACGAGACGGATGGCGAGGGCGAGGGCGAGGAGGGCAGAGCGAGGGCTGATGTGGGAGAGAAGAAGAGGTTCGAAATCATCTTGAGGGGCATCGAGAGAGCGGCGGGCACAGCACTGGCGGATGTCAGGTCGTAGAGGTGTGTAGACAAATCTCCTTTTGTTTATTGTTGTGCGTGAATGTACCTGTACGTTTATTGGCCTGGGTGCCCACATGAATGTCCATTTCGTTGTATGTCCTGCTTGTCATATTTCGACCAAGACTATTTACGGTACTACTCAGCTTCCTACATGAATATGTCTCCATACATCGTGCCTTCGCGACTTCAGCAGTTTGTCCGGCAGCATTGCATCGTTCTCCCATTCCATGTATCTCGGCATGGAGGTGCTGCTGTACTTCATCTGGTCCTGCAGACACTCTCCAACAGGATGGGCATATTCCAGCATTACTGCGCGCTGAAAGTCCTGCGCAGAAGTTTCTCTAAGCCATCTCGAGGAATGGGAAGGTCTTCGCACGCGTAGACCTAGAGATTGTTCACCGGATCCTCTTCCCAGTTCCCCAGGTCTTGCATGTTGGCTGTCAAGGCGGGGTAATCTCTACTAGGGAGCATGGACCTTCTCCGTAACTAGCTAACCCATATCGAGAGCGACAGCGATACACGGAAGGTCAGTGCCACAGTTGATGAGTCCTACATGCGCCGATCACGTGCGGAGCGCGTCGCGAAGTCACGCTTCTTCCGAATTCCGATGCAGACTTGTGCCCCGCTCGCCCTAATAATATTCTACACTAACTCGGGTGGACATTTCTATCTAGCTTCTGATCATAATCGCAGTACCTGAAAGTTACTTTTATGATATCCGAGTCGGACCAATTCGACAGACTTGCCGCATCACCAACATCCAGCTTCAAGCCTTTGTACGCCTTTGTCTTCCCGGGACCAACAAATATCTCATTAATTTATGTATTGCGAAGTAGCAGTGATGCCTTCAATCTCAGCACCGCCACGCACCCCTCTTCGCCGAATATCCCAAGGCTCTCTCTACCGCCTATCGCGGTCCGGCGCGTACCCAGACGCTCCCCACGGTCTCGGGTTTCTTGAACCTGCACTATCCGAGCTGGTCGACGAGGCAGAGGCTCTAAATGCCAATGTGCAAGGGCTGAAGTCATTGAGCGACTCACTTGGGACGTTTAATGAGAGTTTTGCAAGCTGGCTCTATGTCATGAACATGAATGCGCTCACAACCGACTGGCCTCAGGTGCGGTGTCACTTTTTTTTCTTTTACCTGTGGTGGCAAGCATATACTGTCCTTTTTAGGCCCCTACCGCCGCGTCATATGCTCTTGCTGCACGCAGAGCGGGTACGTCTACGCGCCCTCTTGTTTGCCCGATTTCACCCATTTCGCGTAGAGGAAGACGCCGCGGCGGCCATGGCTACACTTCACGCTGCACAAGCGGCGGCAGCCAGGCCGCCTTCTCCAGAGCTATCTACCGCAGACAAGACGACTTTTAACGCCGACACCACTGAGGCCGGCAACGAGACGACCCTAGCTACTGGGAATGCTACGACCGTATCGTCAGGCTCTGGGACAAAAGTACTGGTGAAAAAGAAGGGCAAGCCGAAACTTACTTCGAAGGAGAAGAAGGAGCGCGGGCTCGTCATAGACCGAATTGTGACAGTGCTACCCCTCGAGTTCCGTGGAAGTGATCCGAATCTGCGCAGACACATTGAGACGGTGATTGAAGTATTCTTGGACAGTCCAAGTCGAGGCATGGGCAGTGCGTGCTGATGTTCTCTGTTGCTACTGCTGAAATTCACGGGCATCGCTCGCAGTTCTGGAGTTCGTAAAACCGCCTGATTTGGCGCAAGCCCGAGCGAACAAGTGTCTTATCGCTCTTGTTAACAGAAAGGTTGTACGGAAAGACAATAGCTCTGTGAGAGCCTCCAAAATTACTCCGGGTACGAATTTACTAACAAATCTTCAGGGTGCTGTTCTGTACCACTGGATCGGACTCCCATAGTGCAGACTTACTGTGTACTCTCTACCACCGATGTAGAACACCTGTATTACCCTTGATCTACAATAATCACAGGACACGACCCAGTATACAAGGGGAGTAGACGACAGCGAACTATAACTTCGGGACATGGTACAAAGGCCTACATCAGACTTCAGAAGTATCCGATTCCAGACTGACTTCCTGTTTCCGTGTATTACCTGTCTTGCCGAATGAGATTCTATGAGCACCGAGAGTTGAACGTTGAACCTTCGGCATCATCTATCTCGTTGCCATCATCTTCGCTCGAATCACCGGGCGGCGAGTGAGGCCGCACCTTTCCGCGCGCCTTTATGTCTTTCTTGTTTCCTGATGCGTTCTTCCGGGAGTTTGTGGCATCGTCAAACGGATCGCCCACATCAACCGCCAATTTCCTGTTCGTGCATCAGCGAACAGAGGGAACGTCTACAAGATGGTCAACTCACTTGGGAGTCTGCCTATGGCTAATCCTCTTGTGTACGGGCGAGGCGAACGCCGGCTGGCCCGGACTCCTGGTTCTCCTACGCAGTTGTCAGAGTAAATCTCATCATCGCAAGTTTCCACACACTTGGTCGCCCGCGGCTTCTTGGGCGTAGCAAAGGCTGGTTCCGGTATCGCGGTGTTCTCTTTCTGCTCCTCTTCATCCTCAGAGCTGCAAGTGCAAGTCAGTAATCTTGTGCTTTCTCTTGAGGATCTGTCCACTCACCTTGGTTGGATGACTGCTCGATTCTGGTCACGAGCGGTGCGGACCGATCCTGCTTTCTCCTTCCCTTTGCGTGTTGGCGCCGTTGAAGCGGGAGAGCTATACCAATGACTGTGAGTTCTCAGAGGTATAAAGCATAGCGAATGGGCTACCTGGATGCTTCTCGGTTTACCGTCACGTACGATAAACTGTCTTTGGCATCTTCCGCAGTCCTGCAAGGTTGAAGGAAAGAAACGATGAGAATCTATCGACTCCAAAACCAATATAATTGTATACCTTTCTGGACTGCTCGGCCCGTTCGCAACCAAGTCTTCCTGGACATCTCTGCCTTCATCCTCGCTCGCACTGTCGGCTTCAATATCTATCCCGACATCCTTGCACATCTCCCGGAAACGCGGTTCCTTGAAGTATAATCGCTCGTCAAGCTTTTCGAGCTGCTTCGAGAATAGCTTCGTGAACCGGCTTCTAAACCGATCAATCATCTTCTCCAGGGCAGGGTCCTCGAGTAGGTTTTGCTGCGCCTCAGGAGTCAGTGTTTTCTTCTTTCGTCAGTTTAAATCCAGGACACTGACCTCTTCCAGGTTGGCGACGAGAGTATTCAAAATGAGTAATGAAAGTGGGTTCGGGTTGTCAGGGAAGTATAGTTTCCCAAGCAGCTGGCATAAGACCTTCTTGTCTTCCGCTAGTTATCGTCTCAATCCCATGATAGTGAAATCGGTCATAAAAGATGATATACGTACTCAGTCGTTTCTCATCGTGCAGCGCCTTCACGATGTCGATCGCAAGATCAACGTGCACGTCTGTCACTCCAGTGCTGGCCGCCTCTCTAAGATTAGCGTGCGTCACTCAGTTGTCAGCGAGCATCAATTATGCTTTTAGGGACTTACACATTTACCGACTTTTGCGGGTTCGTCCAGTCGATAAGCAGAAGCCCGAATTGGTACGGCGTGATCATCTCTTCATCTTCACCAAGTTCTTGATGTACACGGACTACCAGATCGTATGCCACCATCGCAACCTGTAAGCATGGAAGTAATTTATAAGTCGTAACATTAAATGGCAAGGATCGCGCACTCACAGATTGCATTCGACTCTGGTTTGTGGCCGAAGAATAACAGTAGGCGGGTAAACAATACGCCAGGCATTGACGCAACTGTTGATTTTGTGCGGTCACAGGTGACACATAAGCCAACACGAGACTGGCGAGGACCTAAGTTCAGGCTTAGCGGAGGCGTTTCTATGAGCAGAGTGAAAAACTCACTCTTTCATCAATCACCAAGCCGCAGAGCACTAGTTTGGATATGCCGATACACAAGATCGCCTGCACAGTCTCGGATTCTTCCACTTCGAGCGTTTGCAACAGGAACGTGACGATCTTCTCCGCCTGTGAGCAAAGTGAGCATCTGCCTGTTTTTTATAACAGGTTCAAGGAGATTACACGCACAACGTCTCCCGAACGACGAAGAAACTCCTCTTCGTACACCATCAACACATCAAATATAACCTGCAAGACTTTGACCTTCAATTCTTCCGGTGCACTCTGCACCTGATTGAGAAAGAGTTGGAAGGAGCTCATGGCCATGTTCTGGATGAAGCTGTCATCAGAAATCGAGATGCACCAAACAAGCTGCCTAATACAAACCTTCGCGATCAGGCAGCACAGGCCAAGACTGACTAACCCGCGTTCTCGGAGAGCTAGCTCTTTCCTCCTCACGGCAGGAATTATTAGGTCAGCAAGTACACCCTCTAGCGTCGAGTTCTCATCAAAGCTCTGGGGCTTAAATGAGGTCTTCAATATCATGGAGAGGGGAGAGGACGTACACCGTTTACGCGACTCAGCATGGCGATGCAGAGGGCAAGGCATCGCATATCCATTGCATCTGCCTTGGCACGCTCTTCTGATGTCATCTCTTGAGCTTCTTTCGACCGCTTCTTTGAACGACTTCTGATACTGCTCTGCGTAGTGTCGAAGGATGCGTTGCTATTTGACCGAGACTAGACAAACTATGGGTTGACCAGTTGTCAAAGATTCGCGATAGGCAACCCAACTTACAATTTGATCGAGCACATTATCCTCCCCGCCAATGCCATCTCGGAGCTCATGGACCATTTCCACAACGATTCGGATGAGCTCTCTCTCGCCAGCAGTCGTCTCCTTGAGCACGTCGAGACAGGGTTCCATCAAGTTTTCCGGCAGGAGCTCGTGCGTAAGCATCTCGCCTGCAAACAGAATGCTCTATTAGAGGAACTCCCGGAAAATGTGGTCGAGCACTGACGGACAACAGCAAAAACCTTGCGCCGTCCGATCTCGTCGGTGAAGTCACTTCGCGCTGCCAAGCGCAGCATCTCACCCACAACGAATCCGCACTCCAGGACCGCATCCTCTTTCCTATCCAGGTCTTCGTCTTCGTCTTCTGTTCCATCGGCACCTTCCGACTCTGCCGCCATACGCGCCTCTGTCAATTCCTCGATCGCATCCAGTAGCTCATTGCATGCTTCCTGTAAGTAGAAAGCAAGCGCAGTGACCACAGGTAAGCCGGTGTTCTCTAAATATTTCTCTGCATCGTGATCGAGGCAGTACGTGATAAAAACACGAGCGACGAGAGCAGATTCGGGAGCGAGGTTCTTCCAGAATTCATCTAATAGAGGGTATTTGAGTCCTGCGAGCGAGGTCAAAGAAGGAGAACGTACCGCTAAATTCCACTCCGTCGAGGATATCGACCCTGGTTACACAGAGCGATTTCAGCGCGTCAACCGCGACGTCCGCACCTTCCGGTCCTGCGACATCAAATAGCTTGATAAACTGGATCAAGCCCTCGAAAACGGATGCGCCCTCTACGCCATCGCGCATGATATCAAACCAGCTCCCTACCATCCTCCCTGCTACAAGCCGCACCGCGTCTTCTCTGTCGCACAACCCATCTCGTACTGCTTGTTCGCGCTGAGCAAGCGTCAGCTGTCGCGGATGCGTTAGCTTCAGCTCGTCTTCATGTGTACTTTTCCCTTTTGATGTTCGTGGGTCTGTGGGAAAAAGAACTGTAGAATATAAGAGCTTGCGGAGGCCTGGGTCCGTGTCGCGCGTGCGAGATAGTAACGTAGGTAAGGTCTGCGGCATCAGCGGTATATGCAAAAGCGCTGCACGGCGCACTTCACTGGATTGACATAAATTCTAAGCTACTGCACAACAAGATAGAGTACAGCCTTATGACTCACGGTACGGTGTCATAACAGAGACTATCGAGCAACACATCGAGGATGCTCGGCTCGTCCTCTGGGAGATCATTTGGATCTTCGCCGCCAAGTAGTTTCGAAAGACCGACGATAGCTAGCGCACGGATAGAGGACTCTCTGTCTCGTACACGTTCGATCAGGTTCTCTCTGAGGGAGGCATACATATCTTCACTGCAGAGGTTGCCAGGTAGTCAGAGATATCAATGCAAAAAATTGAAGTTTTCACACACTCAAGTTCTCCGAGATGTACCACTAGTTCGGCGACAAGACTTACACTCCGGAGACGCACTGTCTTGTCCTTTGCCACGAAACCTTGGAGGAGCCACCTAAGGAGACGCGAAACAAAGCGCACCGCCAGAGTATCGTCGTCATCTGAATTAGATGATGATCCGACACGACGTCCCTCCTTTGGCTGAGAACCTGAAGCGACCATAGCTCATGGAGGCAGTAATGACGACAGTGCAAAACACTCACATTTCTCAATCAAGAACTTGATATATGAGCTAATAAAGCGAAAAACACGCTCCGCTGGCGCTGGGCCTTTCTTCACCACAAGGACTCGACTGACCATGTCGATGAAGACATCGCCGAATTTCTTCTCGCCGGTGAGATTTACCGCAGCTCGTTGTTTAATAGGTTCCATTACCGCGGCTGCTTGCACCTGAAGTTTGTGCAATGCAACGCAATTCTTGCGGTGGTTTGCCATTGAATGTTGGGCTTGATCAAATATGGGTGGGATCAACTCCGGAAGCGACTCCAGAACAAATAAAGATTTCCGAGGGGCCATACTCGCAGAATTGGCAGGTGAAGAATGTCGAGAAACACCACGTGGTTGAAATTCAGTCTTCAGTGATGTCTTGAAGGTGCGAATATAGCGTCAGCTAGCGTGAGACGTATGACGTCGCAGCGTTGACTCGCCCAGATTCACTGACAGTACACCTGTGGAAAGGATGTAAGTTACATAAATACTGCTCGACATTGAAAATATTTCTCATAATTTTGAACTTACTTCAGCGGTGTGCGGTGGCAAGCCCAGAACGAGGTTGAACATTGTCAGAACAACACTTGACGCGACGCGTCATCCACGTGATCTGCGCGTCCTCTCACGAGCGTCGGGCCCTTTTCTCTCTTAAAGTTATGCTTAAACTTTATACTCCTTCTGTCGGTTCTGCTCCTTCAGGATATCACTGAGAGCAGTAGAGCTTGAAGCACAAGCCTTGTCTCGTGTTCTATACAGCACTTTGTATGATCCTTTCTATGCATTAGATCTGAGTCTACGCCCCGAAACCACTAATGTCGTCACTTCGGAAGTGCAGTCTTCAGTCCAGCTGATCCACGACCAAAGAACGGCCACACGATCTGGTGCGTCATGGTAATAGTGGTGCCCAGCTCCTCTGCAAATGTCCACACAAGCCCAGGGTTCTTTTGGAACCCACGCCCCACAAAGACCACATCGGCCTGGCCCTGTCGAGCGAACTCAGCATAGTACAGCGGTCATGTGTATGCAAATACCTTGGTGAGGATACTCTCTGCGAGCTTGCCATCCGTGATCGAGCCGACAGCGCCGACAAGAAGCTTGTCCCCATTTTCCTTCTTGACAGCCTCAGAAAACGGTGCCTGGTAACCAAGTCCGCCCTTGACCTTCTGCATAGGATGGGTTCCTCCGCTGGAGACGTCGAGGAGGTCGACACCGTGCTCGGCAAGAATTGAGGAAAGCCGAACAGTATCCTCAATGCGCCATGAGGGCTCATTGGGTAACGACTCCTCGAGCCAGTCGGTCGCGGAGATCCTCAAAACATCGTCAGATATTGGCATAGGCTTCGATGCACCACGTTAGTCGCTCACCGGAGGAAGAGAGGCATCGAAGGCGGGATGACCGCACGCACGGCATCCACGACTTCAAGCGCGAAACGCGTCCGGTTCTCGAAGCTCCCACCATACTCATCCGTACGCTTGTTAGCTACAGGGCTTAGGAATTCTCCGAAGAGGTATCCATGGGCAGAATGGATCTCAATGACATCGAAACCGGCCTGGAGCGCACGGCACGTCGCAGCAACAAAGGCAGTAACGATCCTCTGGATTCCTTCCTTGGTTAACTCCTTCGGTTTCGCGAGCAGGTCATTGTATGGAATCGCGCTCGGAGCAACAACCTCGTCCGCCCAGCCGTTCGCATACAAGGGGGCGACGGCGCCAGGGTGTACCCATGGCGCGCATGTGGACGCCTTGCGCCCTGCATGTGCGAGCTGCATCGCAATCTTCTGGTTCTGCGAGTGCGCAAACTCAACAATCTTGCGCCAGGGCTCAATGTGCTCGTCGCTCCAAATTCCTGCGTCTTCTGGGGTGAGACGTCCTTCAGGCAGCACTGCACTCGCCTCTACGAAGGTCAGGCCGGGCCCCCGTGTGAAGATACCGCCCACTGCATGCACGTCAGTATGTGCTATCCACTATAGTGTGACGATTGCACGTACAGTGAGCCAGGTGCCATGCGTTGACCTTGCCATCCTCCGCCGAGTACTGGCATAAGGGTGATAACTGGTGAATGAAGGTGTCAACTTTCTGCCGTCTGTCGCAGCGCAGACGCTACGCACGAAAATGCGGTTTTGAAACTCCACGCCGCGGATTTTCAGCGGCTGGAAGAGCTTAGGGATGGGTTTCCCATCAGGCTGAGGGTCGGGCGCAGTGCCCGCTGCTGGGTACTGTGCGGGTGTATAGTAGGAAACACCAGGAGCAGGGGAGTTGTATAAGGCAGGCGAAGCCATGATGATGTTGGGGATACTGGAGATACTGGAAACGCTGAAGATAAAGGGAATGCTATGTGAAAAGGAAGCTAGAACTGTAGGCCGCTTTTATAGCCGTGCGGTTTCGGTCATATGTTGATGTCTGGAAACTGCCAGAGATGTTGATGACCGTTACTCGGTCAAGTCAAATATTGTCCCTGGATCAGTCAGCAACATCGAGAAGAGGCAGATACTGGAGATACTGGAAACGCTGAAGATAAAGGGAATGCTATGTGAAAAGGAAGCTAGAACTGTAGGCCGCTTTTATAGCCGTGCGGTTTCGGTCATATGTTGATGCCTGGAAGTGCCAGAGATGTTGCTCAGCCAAGTCAAATATTGTCGCTGGATCAGTCAGCAACATCGAGAAGAGGCGACAGGCTATAGCCGCTTCAGCGACAGTCAAGAGAAAGGAAAGAAAGAAAATTCAACGCGCCAATCTTAATCATCCCGGGGCTAAGCGATGTGAGAGCAGGAGTTTGGCCGGAGTGTCGCGCGCACTGGCAGGGGATTTGGTGAGCTCGGGGGAGCTAACCTCTAGAACTTGCTGGTGAATACTGCAAGCGCTCTCTCGTCTCTAGCTGTGAGCGCTTGAGCGAGGGTACGGTCGCGATAACAGCTCAAACGATCATGTACTCGCCTGGTATGAGTACTGTGAGTACTGATGACGCAATACCGTGTGATGATCTGACAGAATCGGCAGATAAATCTCGTCAAGATAGATCTATAACGGCGGCGGGATCCGACTACGTTTGCAAGCGTTTCCGTCTGCGAACCGTCGGGGAACGCCATTCACCAGAACTTGCAAGTTTGTTCATGGAATGACACAATTCTGCTGCGACGATATTTCCGCCGTGGCCTCGGGAAATATCAGCCCCAGACGTGTTTTGCGAGAGGGTTGTACGTGTTATACTCGGACGGTGACGGTTATTCTGCGATATCAACTTCCATGCAATTCATGAGGTGCCGTCCGCGCGGTCAGTCTCAGCAGCCTTATCGACATTCAAGGATAGATTAAGGGGACATCGGTGTTGTAGGGGTAGGGTGGGAGTCACAGAGACCACAAGCATACTGCAGCCAAGACAGTACTTATCCCGTAGAGCGCTAATGTGCACCAGGCTTCAAACAATGCCTTTACCGAAAGGACGTAAGGTCCTATTGTAACTCAAAAATCATACTGTGCTGTCCGCCCCTGGCTCGGAGGGGTGGACTTTCCAAATTCCACACATTCTGAATGGTTTGCATGGGGTTTTGACAAATTTCGGGGATTTGGCATTGACCCATTTTCGGGGATCGTGACATCGCAGTTCTTACTAGTATTGGAGTTATGGGGGTTCCTCTCACCGCCGGCGTCCTTCCGTACGCTGTTGAAAGTGGGCAAGCTGGCACCCATCTCGGAGATTGCCGTCGGAGTTTCCCGTAGCAGCATGGTCGAGAGAGAATTTAAATCTATCGTCGCTGCTGTGCTTTGCTGCTTGCAATTGTACAAAATGCGCATCACTTCTTTGTGCTCATGTGGTTAGCATCTGACATCCGCCGTGTATACAATTCAATCATCCCGGCTGCGGATGTTTCGATGTAGTGATACATTTTGGACTTCCCGCTCTGTGCCATCCTTCAAAGTGCGGCCTAGTAGTATTGTCTCTTGTGCTCGTGTAACTTCCTTTTCTTAATTCTCGTTGGATCAGACTGTTCACTGCAGATTTTTCTGACCTCGTTTGATGTCGATTCCTCAACGTGACAGCGACCCTGTTTGATATAAAGAAGGTCACGATCTAATCACCATTCCTGGCCTCGTTATAGCTGAACAGCATGCGCACTACGGACACGCTCGTGAGGCGCACTCAGTGCTTGATGCAGAGTGCCGTGTCCCTAGACCGTGATCCTCTTGCCAGTTTCCCGTCCGATGTGGCCGATAAAGAAGTGGAGTTGTCCCCGGCTTACTAAACCCTCAGTCTACTCTATATTTCCTCCTACGCCTACGTCTCAGTCTACATCCATATACTGATTCTAATGTCACCAGTTCCGTAGTATGCTCTTCCGTCCAATAGATCCGCGACTGAAGAATCCCCACTCAATCTGGTGAGCAAGGGTGATGGTCGCGCCCAAGTCTTCTGCAAATGACCACACAAGCCCAGGGTTCTTCAGGAACCCACGCCCTACAAAGATCACGTCGGCCTGGCCCTGTACAGCGAATGCAATCAGGACAGTTGACCTATCATCGTTGGAATCCTGTGATATACCTTGGTGAGGATACTCTCCGCGAGCTTGCCATCCGTGATCGAGCCGACAGCGCCGACAAGAAGCTTGTCCCCATTTTCCTTCTTGACGGCCTCAGAAAACGGCACTTGGTAACCAGGTCCGCCCTTGATCTTCTGCATAGGATGGGTTCCTCCACTGGAGACGTCGAGGAGGTCGACACCGTGCTCGGCGAGAATTGATGAAAGCCGAACAGTATCCTCAATGCGCCATGAGGGCTCATTGGGTAATGACTCCTCGAGCCAGTCGGTTGCGGAGATCCTGGATGCACTATCAGATATAGTTATATGCTTTGGTGCTCACATTAGTCACTCACCGGAGGAAGAGAGGCATCGAAGGCGGGATGACCGCACGCACGGCATCCACGACTGCAAGCACGAAACGCGTCCTGTTCTCGAAGCTCCCACCATACTCGTCCGTCCGCTTGTTTGTTACAGGGCTTAGGAACTCTCCAAGGAGGTACCCATGCGCCGCGTGAATCTCGATCACATCAAAACCGGCCTGGAGCGCACGACGCGTCGCAGCGACAAACGCTGCAACGATCCTCTGGATTCCCTCTTTGGTCAACTCCTTCGGTGTCGCGAACAGGTCCTTGTACGGAATCGCACTTGGGGCAACAACCTTTTCTGGCGAGCCACCTGCGTACGCTGGAGCGAGGGCGCCCTGATGGATCCACAGGGCTAAGGTTGACGACTTGCGCCCTCCATGCGCGAGCTGGATCGCGATCTTCTGGTTCTGTGAATGCGCGAACTCAACGATCTTGCGCAACGGCTCGGTCTGCTCGTCACTCCACAGCCCCGCATCTTCAGGACTGACGAGCCCCTCAGGCAGCACCGCGGTCGCTTCCACGAAGGTTAGACCCGGTCCGCGAGTGAAGATGCTGCCCACTGCTCAGTGCAACCTTGACGTCAGGATGTACAATGCGAAAAGGGGTGATGATCGGGCGTACGGTGCGCTTGATGCCATGCAGTGACCCTGCCGTCTTCTGCAGAGGACTGGCCCATCGGAGAGACCTGGAACATAGGTTATGAAAGACTCTATACGTTGTGGCATATCATCTGCTCTACGCACGAAGATGCGGTTCTGGAACTCAACACCACGGATTCTCAGCGACTGGAAGAGCTTAGGGATATGTTTGCCGTCCGGCTGAGGGTTGTGCGCAGTGCCGGCGGCAGGGTACTGTGCGGGGGTAAAGTAGGGAATTCCAGGGGCTGGGGAGTTGTATAAGACAGGCGAAGCCATTACGGCACGGAAGATGCTAAAGACAAAGACGATTGTGTGCAATCGTCGGCAGCTGCACGCAGCTTTTATAACTGCGAGACTGATGCTGCTGAATGATCGCCTGAGAAGTTGGTGAACATTACTCAGCCAAATCGAACTGTGTCAGCAGCATTGAGGAGAGAAGCGTGTCGATAGCCGACAATCGGCTCCACGCATGCGTTTTGCACGTAGAGCTAAGGAGTGCTCGTGGTTCCAGTGCATGATTATTTGATACTGGGCACTTGCTGTACCGACGATCGAACGGAATCGGCACTCGTCATGATCAACTTGATCAATATCGTAGGTGTCGGTGTCAGTATCGAATCGCTAACCAAATTCCACCCGAGTACCGTAGGACCAATGGAAGCCGGTGATCACTTTGGCTTTTCCGGCTTATATTACCAGGCGGTCTTTGCCTCTCACATGCAACCGCAGGCTACAATTACAATAAGTACAGCTGTACTTAGTAGCTCGGGGAATATCCTACCTGCATCTGTACTCTGTTACATGACGACTTACTGACAGCTAGAGACTAGCACATCACCGCAAACCCTGGAACGCGGCGTCGATGACGGCTTTTTGCTGCGTAGCAAACAACTTCGCTATGCCCGGCGCAGGGACGGCGTCTTCCCTCCTTCCTCTGTATGACACCCGACCACGTCCCAGCTTCTCCAACACGGCATCAACCCTGCATCCAGCATGCGTCCATGCACCCTGATTTCGCGGTTCCTCCTGTAGCCAGATGACCTCCACCGCGCTCGGGTAACGTTCCAGGACGTGCTCGAGCTCAGTAAAGGGGAACGGGCAGAGCTCCTCAACGCGGACGAATGCGACGTTCTCCAGGCCGCGCTTCTGGCGCTCTTTAACCAGGTCGTAGTACAGCTTTCCCGAGACGCAGATCACGCGCTGGACATGTTCCTTAGGTGCAGCGAGGTCGTCCAGCACGGGACGAAATTGGGTTCCAGGCTCGAGATCGGCTAACGAGGACGAAGCGGACTTGCAAAGAAATGTCAACATACGATCGGAGAACTGCTGAAGAATGATACGAACAGGAAGTCGAAGCAATGCCTTAGGACCAGCTACGATTAGCGGTTTCCGGTAATTGCGCAGCATCTGCCGCCGTAAGAGGTGGAAATACTGCGCGGGGGTGGTCGGAAAGACAACGTGCATGTTGACATTGCTGGAAGAGCCTTCCTCATTGTACGTGTAGGGGTCGTTGGTCAACTATAGAGGCTGGTTAGAACCTATTTTGTCGATTATTCCTGATCAGTGACTAGCCTGAAGCATTCGTTCAATTCGAGACGACGAATGTTCCGGTCCAGCACCATCAAGTCTGTGGATATATATATATCAGCAATTGAACGACTTAACATTTTGACATATGACCTACCCATGCGGGAGCAAAAGCACGATACCGCTCTGCTTCAGCCACTTCGCTACACGATTGTGAAGAGATCAGCCAGGGACAAAAGATGATTTGAGACACGCACTCTCAGCGGACGAAATGAAGGTATCGATGATGACCTGATCCAGGGATCAGTGAGTTTACTCCGGGTCAGTAGCAAACATAAGCCGCAATATCTCACCTGGGCACCATTGAAGAAGTCGCCAAACTGTTTTATTTTGTAGGAGTTCAGTCACTGCCAAAAAAACAACACTGCATTTCACTTGCCTGAGCTTCCCATATAGGCAGAATATTCGCCGTCTCCCAGCTGACACCGTACTCGAACTGACGTGTATGATTAGCGAGACGCATGGTCCTATCTTGGCTGGGACTTACACCAAGAACCGCCATCTCGCTCAGTGAGCCTCAACAAGCATTCCTCGCGTTAGCCACCAATAAGCATAGATGTTCGTACTCACTATTCGCAAGCTCGAGCCTGCCCGGACAGTCCAATGCAGCATTGAGAGGTACAATGACGCCCTCCGTCTTCTGGTCGACGAGCATGGCGTGCCTGCAACGAACGAACAAATCAGTCTTCGCTCTCGCACCCAATGGCAATTAAGAGAGCTCACCGCTGGCTAAACGTCCCACGGCCCACATCTTGCCCAGATATCCGCACGTCACAGCCTTCGAGCATGAGGGAGCCGAACGCCATCGCCTGCATAATCAAGTATCAAAGGTGAACAGGAAGCACGAACACCCGTCCAACCTCCGCGGTAGCCCAATCCAAACCCTGTCCAGCCTCGAGAGACTGCAGTCGGTGCTTCACATGGCGCTGCAAGCGTGGGTGGATTTCCTTGAGAAACCGTATCATCAGATTCCGAGCCAAGTACCAATCGGAAAGAATTATTCACAAATCCCTCCGGCGTCGCAACACTAGCACGTCCAACGTGCAGAAGGGTGTCCCGCGAGACCCCCGTCTCTAGGTCACGTACAACGTCTGTGCTTGCCGGCCACACGAGTCCGCTCCAGTGGCCCTGAAGCATCGGGATGCTCAGCGCGAGCTTGTATGCGTCCGCGGCGGTGAGTTCCGACGTGAGGAACGACTTATACGAGTCGCGCACGGACGCGGCGTCTTCGGGCTTCAGTACCGTATCGCTCTAACGATCAGACACACAGAGTACATGGTGAGAGCTAATGCAAGAGAGAACAGAAGAACGTACGATGAGATGGTCCTCGTATAGAGCAGGCACCGACCTGCGTGAACGGATCTTCTCGTACATCAGCGGTTGAGTGAATGCGGGCTCGTCGAGCTCGTTGTGTCCCCTGGCCAAGAGGAGTCCTCAGTAATGCACTTTTCGCGTTCTCAAAATTACACTCACCAGCGGCGATACACGATGAGATCCACGACAATGTCCTGCAAGCAGGAATCAGACGAGTATTGTGAAAGGAGCATGGAAATCCTACCTTACGGACGTAGTTCCGATATTTGAAAGCAGTCTCCACAGCCCGCGCTACATCTGCCAAGAAATGGCACGTCAGCCTATCGTGAAACGCAAAATTACTACACGGACCTTCAGGATAGTCGCCGTTGACGTGAAGAATGGGCGCATTGATCATTTTCGCTATGTCCGAGCAGTAGAGGGACGACCGAGCCGACGATGCTGGGGTGGTGTACCCGATGCTGTACCGTGTCCAGTAGGCCCTGTAATACAAGGTGGACAAAATGAGATGCTTCTCACCTGTTACTGTGAGAGAAATAACGCGTCAGGTAATAGCAGACAAGATACTCATCGCGTACGACAAAAGAAGTTCACGTACTTCACAACGATGTGTACAGTGCCTCCGACCGTATAATGCGGTAGATTACCTGTCAAATATTCAATAGATGCATCTTAACTCAGGAATGACCCTGCAACTTACTAAGTCCGAGACCTTCCATGATAATACCCTGTCCCGTGAAACTCGCATCGCCGTGCAGTTGTACGCAGAGCACCTTGTCCCCAGGCTTGCACTCAGCGGCCGGTGTTCCATCCCGCAACATCTCTTTCAGGAGTGCAAACTGCTTTGCCCGTGTCTTTCCGAGGGTAACAGGGTTGATGGCCTCTAACGCAACAATATTTCGTTAGCTAAGGACAAGCTGACAGGAAGGCGCGTAGATATACCCAGATGTGACGGATTTGGGAGGAGAGAGACCTTGACCGGCTTTTCAGAACCATCATAACGCAAGCTTGGGGAAGCAACTGGTGGAAAAGAATAAGCCATTAGCATTCAGCCGACAGGAGTTCCAGCAGTGCTCACCAAGATGACTGATGACGTCCCCAGACGCACCAAGCTCTTCGGGTATCTCAGATCCACCTTTAATTTTGTGGAAGAGCGCAGCAGGGGAAAATTCAAGTAAACCAGTGAGCAAGTTAAGTCGGCCGCGGTGGGGCATTGACAGCACGATATTTTCGACCCCGGCTGAGGGATTAGATTCAGCAAAGCATCAACAAACAGGTAACGCGGACTCAAGTACATCTTGCAGCAGCGCCAAACAGTGCGTCCAGTGCGGGCAGCATCGATTCCCCGCCTTCCAACCCGTACCGCTTAAGGTTCGGGAACTTAAGCTGTAAGAACTGGTCGAAGATCTCGCTTTTCGCAAGCAGTGAATGTATCCGCATTTTCGCGTCCGCACTGATATTCGTTTGCCCAGGCAGTTGGGATTCTAGCATGTGTGAGAACCACAAGCGCTCCGTCTTCGACGGGGAGTGCATGTATTCGTACGCGATGCGTCCGACGTATATGGAGCGAAGATGCCGCGTGATGTCCTTCAGCTTCCATTCTTCCTGCATGTCTCCTTCCTCTCCAACGGGTTTTGACCACACAATGCCGTTCACGTCGTACTTCTTGTCGTTGTCAATGAGACCATAGCGAGTCGGATTAAGCGCGGCGACTTCTTCACGTTGCAGGATGTCCAGGGGGTCGATGCTAGCAGCGCGATGGCCGTGAGTGCGTAAGGAGTCGACATACCGCAAGAGTGGCGCGTTGACTCTGCGATTCTTCAGCTGAACCGCGCTGTCTGAATTTAACGTCAAATTTGTAGCTACACTGTAGATTTGGATGACCCAGCGATGATAGACGTACAGTCCGGAAGAGAGAATTTGCGAGATTCACGGTAACCGTACGACTCATCGTGGTACGCACGACGTATCTGAATACCTGGACGAGCCGTGCGAGATAACAGTGCAGCCTTCATAAACGCAGTATATCTCCCCATCGTAGATATTCCTAGTGGGCTTCAGAGTTATGTGAGCATGAGGTAACAGCTTGACTACTCTGAGAGAAGATGTGGGTCGAGGTAGAAGCTGAGCAAGGTGGTGGAGAGGATCAGACAACCTCAGGCCCATCGTAACTCAAGGTCGGGGAACGTGCGAATCACATGGTTGTATATGTACGGTCCTCCGTCGGACGCGCTTTTGAAAGCGCTTTTCATACGCTATTGAGCTCGTCAAAAACAAGCACTGTCGGCTGCAGCGATCGTATGAAACTATCCTCGGTGAGGTGCTTCCAGTCTGAAGTTTGAACGTGTCGCAATGACGCGTCGCTATCCGATCGAAGAGTCACATGTGCGCACACCTCTACTGTAAGTTCACTCTATTCTACGGAAAGGACAGTTGCTAATATTACTGACAGAGGGCCACGGTATTGAGGAACTTATCTGGAGACACTCGACAATCCTCTGAACGCATCTAGCAATTCTAGACCATCTACCCGCATGGCAGCATAACACCCATCACTGTGCCTACGAAAGGAGATTCTTCCACGTCGCTCTCAGCACCTTCCGGTAGCAGCGACCAGTCCACGCAGTATTCGCACATACACTTCATACACAGAGCGATGCGTCGAGCAAGGCCCATACCAATTCCGCACCAACAGTCCAGTTACCCCCCACCGCCCGTGCACTTTGCGTCTGTCCGTCAGCGAAGCGGCGAGATCAACAGTACTGGGTGCGAGGTAACCTCTGCGGCGGGGCGGCCCATGTGTACGCGCGGATGCTCCAGCATGCGAAACACTTCCCGCAAGCGGGAAGAGAGACGAGAAACTTCAAGGTATAGCACAGACAGGAGGATTGTCGTAGTCTTCTCCTACAGAGAGACGACGGCGGGAAACGTAGCGCAACGACCTTCTATAGTGAGAGACGAACCCGGGACGAAACGTGCTGAAGCACTACTAGGCCAGGTCTATACCCAGGGAGTGGGAGAGGGTCAGCACATGCGTGGCTCAGGTATCAATCAGCGGCCGTCGAAAGTGCGGGGAAGAACAGAGGCGCAGACTCGTTACAATCATGGGATATCTAGGCCAGTTTACATCTGTAGACACTGAAATCATAATGATGAGAACACCCACTAAAGTCGGAGAATGGACAAATCTTACTCCTACTTCACCACTTAATTGAAGTACCAAACACGACATTCCTGTTACAACGAAAATACAAAGCAAGAGAGCAAAATGACAGCGAGGCTCTCAGAAGTGGCATAGGAAATCATTTTACGTTAAGCACTCTACGCATTACGTGTCGCTCCTATCGTGCATCCTATTGCCCTCTTGATTGCTAGAAGGCGCGTAGCGACAGTGTGAGGCACGACCTGAGCCGGATAGTAACCTTGGAAGTAAGATGTCGCCTGTGGGCCAGTCAACCCATCAACAGCAGCCTCGCTGCCCAGAAGGGGCAAATCGTGCTGCGAAAACATCTTGATTAAGAGCACTTAACAGGATTGCACGTTATGACTGACCGGAGCCTCGGTAGGGAGCGAGTTGTCAGGAAAAAGGAACTTCTTCGTAGGGGCAGATTGTACCTTCTGCGCTGAGCATATTATGGGTCTGCAAGAGTGTAAGCGGCGGAGAACGTGAACGTAACATTTAAGACATACCTTTGCACTTGTTCTCTGTATGGTCACTAAGCTGTCTCTGGTTTCGTCCCTGAAATCGCGAAGCTCATCTCGCAGCCTGCGAAGTTCATGCCGGATAGGCTGGAGAGCGGCAGCAAGCCACGGAGGCGCGACTTTGAGAGGCAGTGGAGCCCTATCAGCAGACGCCAATGGGCAAATGCTCGTTGGAACGGCTAACCGTCGTTAGACATTCCCATCAAAACCTTGGTCTCATAGGCATGAGCATCTGTGAGATGGGTTGCCGTTACGTTAGGCGCAAGTGCAACTAGGTATTCACGGCGACGAGAACCAGTTAGTATGTTGCTAGGTTAAGAAAGACTAGTATCTACATATGCCACTTTCAACGCCGCGGCGATACTGCCATGCACGATGAAAATCATTGACAGTTGGGGGGTCAGAAGGTGCCTGAGGAACAGGTATGGGTGAATTCTGAGGCAAAGCGATTGGAGCCATGAGCAATAAGTGTACTGAAGCCGGTAGTCGAACTGCAAGCTTCAAGTTGAACAACGTTGAACTTGAAGAGCCGTCACGGTACGTGCCTGTCACGGTTCGGGTTCCATCACGCGAAGTGTGACTGAGCGTGTCGATTGTCTGGACACTAGTCGCCCCGAGCTCACTACATACTGTACATTATTTTAGAGTGAAGTCATGTTGGCGCACTTCTCTCATAGTCACTGTCTTCCTCGAGAACTTGGTTCCCCCGCCATTCAGTATATAAAGCGTTGATTTTTGCAGAGCGAGGAGGAGATTGCACAGTGGTGACGAAACCTCTGTGCTGCGCTATCGAGCCGCAAGGACAAGTACGCGTTCTTCGATGAAAAGCTATTCAAGGGCCGCCCCAGACAAGGGGGCCCTCACTGTCAGGAGCTCTGTAACCACGAGCTTGGTGCGAATGGGCGTGAGGCCTCGCTCACGGACGCAACTCCGATACGGCGTTTTCTCTGCCGTGCTGCATGATTTTTGCTGAATTGGTCCTTGTTGCTGCTGTTGGCTTCTATCAGTGCGTCTAGCTGGCCGAAGGTCAAATATCGCGTAAACCCATCCAACTGAGAACCTGTCCTGCGTAGAAGATATGCGTCGCACTCTTCAAAGCCGCGACTTCATTCGCACTGTTTTCGAATGCATCGACGAGCTCGGAGGTATGAGCTGCGGCGAGCAATCTATAAGAAGAGCTGTTCACTTCGACTGATGCAACTACGGCATCTGTGATCCTGAACGGGCAGGCAACATATTCCTTCGCGCTCTACCAGATAGGGACATGAAACTTCTCGCTCGAGTACGACCGAGAGGGGTTCGGCATCGGTGCACGCAATTGCGTTACGTGCCTAGGTGTCGACAAGCCACTGCGTCGATCTGCAGCCGCAATCGAAGCCGCAATCCCACTTAGCCCACTCTCGGAAAGAGTCATAATTCCACCGCTGCCAGAGCGGCGGCCTCAGCGCCCAACTGCGATATCGGTGTGTATGTCGTCATGAACAGTCTGGGCTCCAGCACCTCCTGATGACCTTGGTCTACCACCAAAGGCACCGCGACTGGCGCCGCCGAGAATCCGTTCCAGAGGGGTCACACGCGTCTGGACGTTCATCACGGCGGACTTGTACAATGGGCATTTCTCCGGGCCTGCCTAACAACGCGAAGAACGCCGCGCGAGGACAACATGGGCGCACCCGTGACGCCAGAACCGTCCGCATCTACCGGGATGCTGCCACGGAAGTGCCCCGTATCCGTCGAGGGCATCAGTAGCGCGATCGTCGAGAAGGATGTGTCTGACGCGTTGGTACATGGCGCCCGGGGGGTTGTCGGAAGCGGCGAGCTGTTGGGCACGTTTCAGCCACTATATCACGATTGTTGTCCGTACTCACCAAGTACCAATCAGACTCGGGAGCAGAGCACCGGGAATGGGCGTTGTCCAGCGATGCGGCCAAGGTGGACCGACGGCGGCGTCGGATGGTACAAATCAAGCTGTGTACGCCAATCGCCACCAGAAATAACGAATATCCAAGTGATTCAACGTAGTGTCAATGCAGTCCACTTGCTTTGCAGTCGCGGCGATGCGGCGGCACTTCGGAGGATCTGATTGCACCCCAGCTTCTTGTAAGTAATTGTCTTAAGTAGAGATAGGAAGCAGGATATCGATGTAGCTTCGGCGGATCTTCGTGTTCGATGAAATACCTCCAGAGACCTTGATGGGGTTTGGGTGAAGGAGCATCAGACTCGCTGCATACTCTACAGTATGGTGAGGCTGCCAGTGTATCATCGACATGAGTTGTACTATCAGCACATGGAGAGTTGACAATGCTGCACACCTAGATCTCGAAGCTCCTCTGGTTGCAGATGCTCATATAGCTCAGCACAAGTTCAGCGTTTTATCTGCGGGATGGTCTTGAGCGGGTTCAGTCCAGTGGCATGAGTTACTCTGAGTGTGGACGCGGCAAATGCCGGTCGATCTCATTCATGAAGCTTGCATGACAGCGGGTACCTAGTGGAAAGTCTAGCCAACGACTATATTCCAGCTCCACGAATGAATTCAGTCGCAGTTCTTCGACTCGCGCAGGTGCGTCGGGTTATTATCAGAGATGCCATAGATGTCGATGAGAAGAGAATCTACCGATCATTGGGATTACGTCACCAGCATTCAAAGTTTTTTGCGTTCCGCGAGTGCGACCTCGTCGCTCTCGATACGTTCCAGAGGATGTCTCTCTTGTTGACTAAAATCATCCCGAAGTCGAAGCCTTCTCTGTTCTTACTTCTACGCCTCATGTTTGTTGGTTTTGAGATTGCGAATTTGCACTGAGGCAATTGTCATCAATGACCTCTTCGGTGTCTCTGCCCGGCGTGCTGCTTACAGATCCAGAATGTTCGACTTGGCTGAGTAACGTCCAGGAAGATTTCTCTGGCAAATCGTTTATCGGCAGCAACGGATGAAGGAAGACAGCCTATAAAGGCCGCCTCTTGTTGTCTTATCGCATAACATCTCCTTCATCTCCAGCACCGTCATGGCACCTCCCATCTTGTACAATTCCCCCGCACGGGGCATCTCCTACTTCACACCCGCACAATACCCAGCTGCCGGCACTGCAGTCAACCCCCAGCCCGACGGGAAGCTCATCCCGAAGATTTTCCAGCCGTTGAAGATTCGTGGTGTGGAGTTCCACAATCGTATCTTCGTGCGTAGAGCATATGTGGCAACTCTTGGAACCTTACTGATGCGCAGACTCCATGTTCTAGCTGTCGCCGTTGTGCCAGTACTCTGCAGAGAATGGTAAGGTCAGCGCATGGCACCTGGCCCACTGTACGTCCGATCATCGCATTGTAGCAGATTGCACATATTGACGACATCATGCGCGCAGTGGGCGGTATCTTCACACGCGGGCCGGGCTTGACTGTCGTGGAGGCGACCGCAGTGCTGCCAGAGGGACGCATTACCCCCGAAGACGTTGGGCTCTGGAGCGACGAGCACATCGAGCCGTGGCGTAAGATCGTCGAGTTCGCGCACTCGCAGAACCAGAAGATCGCGGTTCAGCTTGCGCATGCAGGCCGCAAGGCGTCGACTTTTGCGCCGTGGATCCATCCGGGCGCCGTCGCCCCCAAATACGCGAACGGATGGCCAGATGAGGTTGTTGGCCCGAGCGCGGTCCCGTTCAATGACCTCTTCCCTAAGCCGAAGGAGCTGACCAAGGAGGGTATTCAGAGGGTTGTTGAAGCGTATGTCGCCGCGGCGCACCGCGCGCTCTTGATTGGCTTCGATGTGATTGAGATCCATTCCGCACATGGCTACCTCTTGGGAGAGTTTTTGAGTCCCGCGTCCAACAAGCGCACGGACGAGTACGGTGGGAGCTTCGAGAACCGGACGCGTTTCCTGCTCGAGGTGGTGGATGCCGTGCGTGCCGTCATTCCGGCTTCCATGCCTCTTTTCCTCCGGTGAGTGACCACTGATGTATGTCCATTACGACGGCTGATCTTCTTGTAGGATCTCCGCGACCGACTGGCTTGAAGAGTCGTTGGTCAATCAGCCTTCCTGGCGTAGCGAGGACACTGTTCGCCTTTCATCCATCCTCGCCGAACACGGGGTCGATCTGCTGGATGTCTCCAGTGGCGGAAACCACCCTCTGCAGAAGATTAAAGGCGGTCTCGGATACCAGGTGCCGTTCTCCGAGGCTGTCAAGAAGGCGAACGGTGACAAGCTCCTGGTCGGTGCTGTTGGCGCAATTACAGAGGGCAAGTTCGCGGAGAGTATCCTCGCTAAGGTACGTCGAATAATTCTATCGGATACATATCGCATTGAATTCGTTTACTTTGCAGGGCCAGGCCGACGTTATCTTTGTTGGGCGTGGATTCCAGAAGAACCCTGGGCTTGTATGGTCGTTTGCAGAGGACTTGGGCGCGACCATCAACGTTGCACACCAGATCGAGTGGGGATTCTTAGGTCGTGGATCAATTGCGCGAAGAGATGCGGCGCTCTGACGGTAGATAGTGTAGCGTCAACTTCAGACATATAGAGGTTTTAGAAGCAGGCATAGAATTGTACGTACGTGCATGTTATTCAAGCTTCCTCCGAAGAACGTGTCAAAATCAGTATGGAAGAGTCAGTGACTACATTACCCCGGAGGTGACCGTCAGACGCGACCTGTCACAAATGCATCACGAGGCGTTACATTTCACGTGATTACCATATTGTGGCGCGACCGGTGTTGTGGACAGGCTGCATGCGCAGGATATGATATCGCAACGAGATCAGCGGTCGCCAAATAAGAACAATAACCCTTGTTGACTCGGAACGCGTTGTTTGGGACTTAATGGCTAGCGTTCGAGAAGCGGTCGTGGACACCTTCAGAAAGTATAAAAGGCCGAGCGTCGACGCGAGATCCCAAAACGCCTCCTCCTGACCTCGAACTTGTACGTTCCACCCATCCACTCATGCTCGTTGAGTGGCACTCACCTAATTTGTCCACGGAACCAAGTCAGGTATGTTCATTGCATCAAATTGTTGCCAGGTCCGTTGCAACTGACTCATTGACGCAGACCCGACAGTGAGAGAGTGACATAGAATACAAGAAATGCACCTGAGTAGGACGCAAGCATGTAGTAAGATGAGAAACAGTCACGGCCAACAGCAACGTCAATGAGAACCAACCTTCAGAGGCCATGCATGGAATGACAATCTTGGATACACAATGTTCCCGGTAAACGCGTCTACCTGAGTAGGTACGTCGTCAGCCTTCTTGTACGTTGAGCACGACTTACCGTTTTGCATGTCTCTTCCTTCTCGCGCGTTCTCGACCCGTGGCCGCATCACCTCGGTCGTCGCTGTTGGTAGATAGATGTGCTACGCACGGAAGAGCATCAAGGTACGCTCTCTCTTCGTTCAGCATTGATACTCGTCTGACGCGAATAGGTGAAGACAGTGATTCCAAGCACAAAAATCGACATTGAAAAAAAGGGTCGAATGATCTAAGAGAAACAAGGCCGGCTGACTCCAAAGGAATACAAGAAGAAAATGATTGACTGATTCAAATAGGTGGAAGAAGAACGTGAAAAGACGCGGTCAGCAGTTGACAAGTGCATTCATCATGGCATCCGGTCTCGCAGACTGATCATCAATTGCTATACCTTGCCATAGAAATGTACGTCGCTGCCATATCTGCACAGGTTCACTTACAGCACATCGATGCAAACGCCACGCCCAATGAATACGGTTCGATAGGCGAAAAAGACAACAAGAAGTTGTGACAAGAAAAAAAAAGCCGAAGGACCACGCGAAACAGCAAGGAATACATCAAGAAACCGGACGAACGATTCAAGAGAAACGGCGAGAAGATGAAGACGCACGATGGGATGGAGCGGGAGTCAGGTTGGGGGCACAAGGTACGTCCCGAGGTACGGGCGGGCGAGCGACTGTGCTCGTCGGTCCTGGCGCAGGCCTTTTCGTGGCCTTCGGAATAAGTACCCGCCCGTGCTTTGCACGAGCTCCGGCGGGGAAACCAACGTGCGCCGAATTTTCTCTGCTCCAAGTTTCTCCGACAGTGTCTTCTCTTCGACCTCCTCTTTGTCTTGTATAGTACCATACTTCATGCCGAATGTCAACGATGTTGGTGTTTTAACGTCTCCGCGTGTTGAAATTCCGTTGTACGAGGTTTATTTACTAAATACCAGCCGAACGAACCATGTACGCAGAGCAATAGGCATGGTCAGATATAGATGACTCACCAGTTTAGGACGCCAACAGACGTAAGAATAGTGGAGAAACCGAGGTCCAGCCTGTGATACCGGCGTGATGGGAGTCCAAGCAATCGCTAGCTCCGATGAGAGAGGTGACGAAGGCAAACATTGGTGAACAGAGATCTGAGTATACCCACAACTCTTTCAATGTTCAACATTCGATGTTGCAACGCCTTCAATAACGTTGAAAAGTGTTCAAGAGTGTCACGGTCCGATATCTGTCGAACTCGAAGTGCGCACATCAATCCGGGCCGAGACATCCGATTCCACGCCGATACGAGTTCAACGTTCAACGTCAATGTCATTGCAGTGGGAAGCTCTGTACTCTCCGTAGACCTAGGCTATGTTGGTACAGTTCTACTCTACACTACAAGGATATTATAAACAAATGAGGGTGGGTAAGCATACATTCCGGGATCCAGAGTCTGCGCTATAAAAAATAACAATACATGTTCGATACATCATCTAGCAGGAATCAGAAGGGTCAGGCAAATGCCAGCTTAAGTCTGGCAGGATGCGGAACATGGATTAAGGAACTTGAAGTTAAATTTAAAGCAGCGATTCACTTTAATCGTGGAAGTGTCGTGAGCGCCTAGATCTTCTTGCCTTTCGCCTCTCGAGACGAACGGGACTGCAGGTTAGTACCCGACCACCCTGACGGCAGTCGTCTTCAATTTCTCCACGGCAGTCCACCGCGACGCGTACGCATAGGGGGAATCAGCATCGTCCTCGCCGATATACCCATCATCGACCTCATCGTCGGGTCCGCAGAAGCGCGGGCGCGCGAGCACCTCGGCGGCAACGGCGCGGTCGATGCGGCGCGAGATAGAGTAGCGAGGTTGGGCGGGCCGTGAATGGGACAACCGGCGAGAGGAGGGGCCACGCGAGGACGATGAGGACTCGGAGGATGAGCAGGACGACGGCCGCGAACCGGTAGCCCTCAACCTGCGATGGCGTTCCTCGCGCATCTTCTCTTCGCGCATCTTCGCCTCGCGCCGCTGTTCCTCACGCAGGCATTCGTCGCGTTCGTGAAGGAACCATCGGACCTCGGCCGTGCGGAGCATGTGTAGGGGGACGGCATGCGCCGCGGCGTCGAATGTGTGGGCACTGGGGTCGTGCAGCGCGGCGAGGGAGCCTTGTCGCGGGTATGTGCACGGGGTAGCTGCTGGGTGTGGTGTTGGTGGAGTGGGCGTCGGCGCAGGCACAAGTGCGGGGGCTTGGGGATCGGGGAGAGGAACGGTGGACAAGACAGGGCTCGGTGGTGGCCGCTTGGGAGTCTGAGGCGGCACTAGTACACCGAACTCGTCCTCGTCCGCTATTCCGCCGTACGCATCTCTTGTGTTCTCGAGCCACTCGCGCTCCCGCCAGAAATCCCGGCGGGAGCGCCAGAAGTGTACGAGCCACTGGATCGCAGTGTCGGAAGGCCCGTGGTAGGTGAGCATCGGGTCCTCGGCCACGGACGTGGTGTCATCAGCAGCGTCGGCAGCGATGGCTCCGGCATCCTTGTTCTCCTCGGGTTCATGTGGGGTTCGGGCGATACGCACGCGGGAGCTGAGAGAGAGCTCGGCAAAGTTGACTGTGGCCTCGTCGTCCTCTGTCCATGGCTCGTTGAATGGGCCACAGGGAACATGTGGGGGGATAGAGGTGACCAGGAGTCGTGGTTGGTGTGGCAGAGGGGTGTTGGGCATGAGTAGGGAGGATGTGGCCGGTGGGGACGTTGTGAACGTTGACTCGGACGACAAAGACACGTTTCCCAAGTCCACAGTGTCGAAGTGGTGGCCCGAGTCCTCACTGTCACTTTCGTTGAAGGGTATCATGAACGGGAGAGAGCCACTCTTGAGCTCGTCGGAGATGTCTTCTTCGAGCATCGACTCGTCGCAGGGGTCACCGAAGAAGATTGTGCTAAGGGGACGAGCTGGCAAGTTGTGCGTTGAAGGTTCGGCTGTGAACCCCATGCGGCTTACACAGCGGGGAATGATGTCTTGGGGGATGTTCATGGTGGTGTCGAGGCGGGATGGTGATGGTTTAAGAGAGAGAGGCGAGGGCAAAACTCTGCCCCCAGGTTCGGGGCGCTAACCGCGTCTGTGGCCAAGTCTCAGAGACGGAACGCGTAGGTCACGTGCGCCACCACGCGAGAACCACAACGTTAACGCTGCTTTTCATATATATCAGAGTCAGCGATATTGACGTTAGTGATCATCCTCTGTTTTGACCGCTGCTTCCTTGGCCAGACCTCAAACAGTCTAGGGCATGAGCACTCTCTATGCACGCCCTTGCCTCGTTTTCTAGGCGGTACCTAGGGTCCAGCACTGACTCTGCACGACAAAATTTATCGTCTCTTCCACGAGGCGGATATGGAGTCCGCGATCTCCCCCAATGCCGCGAGAACTCTTGGCGAGATGGTGACTAAAGCTACTTAGGCAAGTGCACCAAATGGTGGATTGACCGGGAAGGAGGACATGCAGCTGAACCCTAATATTCGCTCAGAGCCCTCGGCGCTGATGTCCCGACAGATACCCTAGTAGTGCGCACCCTTCCCAACCTTTCTCCCACCAGCGGTGAGAGAAAGGGCAAGAAGGGGGCGCACGACAAGCGTACGCGTGTGGGTGGGGCTGGCGATGTGTTGAATCCAATGGGACGTGCACCATTGCGCGCTCCGTTTGAGGAGACTAGAACCTGACTGACTCTCTAACATTCCGAGTATGACAAGAAGTCGGCGAAGGGTCGTATCTCAAAACGCAGCGTTGATCTCGTGCGAGGTAATCCTCGCGGCGACCCGGTGGCTATCTCGAGCTCGCACCTGTGGTAGCTAGGGAGTACGGCGTTGACCGCCCTGTGTTGCTCTCCTGTTCTCCATGCCGCAGTTAGGGGATGTGTCCTGCGGAATGTGCGGGGCCGCGGAGAGCTATACACGAGGTGCGTTCCAGTCCACGGGAGTGACGTGTGCGGGAACCTTCCATGGACATTAATGTAGCGCGACGAATCACGCGGTTGTCACTGTTGTTTGGCGCTGGGTATTGCAAGACCACACCAGCGGTTATTGCCTGAGGTAAGGATTCTGTAACAAGCGGTTCGGCATGCTTGCAGATGTCTGAGGTTGTGGCGGCCGCAAGGGTATGTCGATGTTGTATGCGGACATTGCGGTGGTTGTGGTTGTGGTGAACCACTGGTGGTGGTGTTGAGTGTGATGGTGGGCGTAAACTGACGGGATGGACAGGTAAGTCGCTCCCTTATATGCTGAACGAGCTGTGGGCGCTTGGGATGTTGCAACCGCAACGTGGCCCGTGCTTGCAGGCTTTGCGTCGCAACCACAACTCCATTCTGAGCCTGCTGGTGGTGTATTATTCGAAAGCGTGTCGTGCGCAGTGTTCCACTTCGTCACGAATCTAAAACCGCTGAACAACCACTCAGTTAGAACATACTATTCTGTCGAAGACATATAGGTTTATCTTTTTTAAAAGCAGGGGCAGCTTTGGAAACCACCCGATATTTCTCTGTGAGTCAGTTTCTGAGATACATCACCGTTTGTCTGAATTGTTTGTGGCTCAAGCATAATTTTCGGCTGAAATTTTCTCCATCAGGTTCAAGCGACATCAGGTTCAAGCGATTATGGCAACTTTTGCTTTGTAGTGGCTTAGCACGATTGTAAGCCGCGTTGTTCATGTGCTGACACATTTGATATCGTTCGTCGTCTACAGCATGTCGAAGCGGGATTTCCACGCTACCGTGCGCAGTGTTTCTCGGCAACTGCAGAGTGTAGTCTCCCAGATGTGTCGCCAGACTGCGAATTAGACTCCGATACATGTACGCCCCCGCTAGGCGTTTCGTAGCCTCGTTGCATCCCCCGGGCTTTATCGGATCATTCATTATGATAAAGTTGGTCCGCCGATCTTGTGCGATCTCCGGTAGGGCAGACGAATTTTTTTTCTTGATGCGAGGCGAAGTCATGCATGCTCCGCATGCAGCACTCCCGGAAGGCCTCGCCAAGCGCCGGCGAGGCGAAACTCATGCCGCCAGGCATGGCGAGGGCTGGCAACGCTGGCGAGAGTGCCACCTTCACGGTGGTGACCGCCTCGAGGCCGCCTCCGGACTTTTTGCTTGTAGCCATCGACCAATCAGTGTCGGGGAGCTAACTATCATTCAGCAGACGGCGGAACTGCGGGGGAAGGGCATGGTGGTGCCGTGGACAGTCAAGGCCCCGCTAGCGTGGTCTGCGAGCCCGGGGAAAGCATATCGAAAGTTCACAAAAGAACTGGAGTTAGGGTCGGGATATCTCGTCGATGGAAGAGCGGGGTACGTTCGTAGAACAGGAGACATGAACACTCACAATGCCCGCCCGTACTGCACATGCAGCCTAGTTGGTACTTCCGACGACCGCGAAAGAGTTCCTTCTGCTTCGACCCTAAATTACAACCCGTTAGTCCCACTAGTTAGCAGTAGCATAGCGCGATAGGTTCGCGACGAGGCGCACTTCGTACCTTACCATCAACGGGAATAAGACGGAACTCACTTCGTGCCTCATTGTGCTATTGTGACTGAGACAGCCACGTTCAGTTGTTGCTGTGGAAAGTCTTCTGACTTTGAGGGAGCCGGAGCACGTCCGTCCTCATCGTGGCATCAAGAACAGCGCACAGTAGCTGGGGACCAACTAGTGAATGGGTGTAAATTGTTATAGTAGAGCAAGCAAAGGGTGTACAGGAGGTAGAGCAAGCAAAGGGTGTACAGGAGGTAGAGCAAGCAAAGGGTGTACAGGAGGTAGAGCAAGCAAAGGGTGTACAGGAGGTAGAGCAAGCAAAGGGTGTACAGGAGGTAGAGCAAGCAAAGGGTGTACAGGAGGTAGAGCAAGCAAAGGGTGTACAGGAGGTAGAGCAAGCAAAGGGTGTACAGGAGGTAGAGCAAGCAAAGGGTGTACAGGAGGTAGAGCAAGCAAAGGGTGTACAGGAGGTAGAGCAAGCAAAGGGTGTACAGGAGGTAGAGCAAGCAAAGGGTGTACAGGAGGTAGAGCAAGCAAAGGGTGTACAGGAGGTAGAGCAAGCAAAGGGTGTACAGGAGGTAGAACGGTGTACAGGAGGTAGGGAGATTAGCAATATCAGCGCGATTAGGAAGACAAAGACATAGAATACAGGCCCGCTGCAAAACCTCACAACACATCCCATGCCATCCTGCCTAACCAGAGACCACCCTAATTTTGGCTAATAGTTTTTGGAGGTGGACCTCAACAACAGGTCGCGCGTTTTCACTCTGTGTCGCGCGTTTTCACTGTGTCGCGCGTTTTGAGTCTGTGTCGCGCATTTTCACTCTGTGCCTACTTGGTCCAAAGACGGGACTACTGCGGGTGCATGAGGGGTTGTAGCAATAGGCGAAGGAGATGCACTAGCGTACCTCCGCTTTCAGGAGATGGCAGACGGGTTTGCGCATAGCCGTATCCGCCTTCGTCGCTGGATGCGTCTTGCTGCCCGTCTTGCAGCTGTGCCACGGCTGGAAGAGCAACAGGCCGCAGCCGAGGAGCTGGGGGTGCGATGTATCTCTACCTCGCACGCGGTCAACGTGTCGTGCGGGCGGAAGAACCCCCGGCTTGTTCGTGGTCGAGGGGGGATTTCGGCCAAGTCCTTCATGGCAACGGTATGGACGAACTATGATGATGGTTGTTCTGTATAGCCTGGGAGGGTGTAATTCCGAAGTCGGGAGTGTTCCAGGTGGCTGTGAGCACAGCGAGGAAATATGTGTGTCACACAGCTGATGCCCGAGCGCACATCCGCCCTTTAGAAGATGGCGGAGGAGTTTACCGTGGCCGGGAGAGCGACAGGTTGAAGCCGAGGAGCTGAGGAGCCGGTGGCCCATTTTCCAGTGGCGCGCCGAGTGTACCTCAAAGTAAGTGTTCTGTAACAAGTTCGTATGCAGAGGGTTGAGGAGCGGCATAGTATGCGTTCGTCGTGTGAGCGGACAGTGGTGGTACTGGTGAATGGGGGTCAGGGAGGTAAGCTGCTCCTTTTATGCTAAAGGGATTTGAGCGCTTCACTCGACGCGTTTGTCACATGATCGCACGCCACACGGGCGCCATGGCAACGTAGGTGGCCGTCGCACAATACAGACTCGGAGGGCGGTCTTCTTTGTTTCTCATATTATCGACTGTAGAATCCACCGCTTCAGATCTGTGCTAGTTTTCGTCATAATCCTTGAGGCAACTAAGAAGATGGAAGCCATCACAGGAAGCATTACTACTTTTATCCATTGGAAATAACCTGGCAAAAAGCATGGAAATCAATAATATATTTTCAGAGGAAAAAACCTCGAGAAAAAAGTGAGAAAAGAACAAAACATTCTCACGGTTTTTCCCTTGGAAATAAGTTGCCTACCATATCAGGCAACTGGACATGCCAGGACATGCCAAAACCCGGACAAAACTACCATATTTGGCGACCAACTTATTTCCAGTGGAAAAACTGCGGAAATGCTTTGTTCTTTTACACGTTTTTTCCTCATGTTTTTCCCGCAGTATAACTTTGTTGATTTCCACGCATTTTTCCAAGTTATTTCCTCGGGAAAAAAGGAGTTATGCGTCCTGTGCATACGACTCGCGAAGTTTGTGACAGGATACAACATGATTATCGGGCTTGCGCTGTGGGATGTTCCTGCATCCAGCTGATATATGCACAGTTTCTATGTTCCAGCAAATGCTATTCTGAGAACCTACAAACCATTTGGTGAAGGAATGTGTGCGGTTTACATTTGTCCGAGATGAACGCCTACAGGTTGCGGCACCTTTCTTGGCATCTTGCAGTGTTTGTGAGCGGGGTTGTTTCGACCGGTCGTGTGCGCTCCATCATCTCCTATGTCCGTTCTTGCGGTGAATCGTCGCACTCATGGGTGGTTGGTATTTCGGTCCTGATCTCGAGGAATGTGCGCCGCTCGGTGACTGCTTCTGCGCATCTCTCCATCTAGTTTTCTTTCGCATCGACCTTGCTCGACATGCACCTCGAACACACGTGTAGTGATATGCTCGCTTTTCTAGAGCGACAACCCTAGACTGGGGTTCATGTCACGCTTTTGTCACAATTGGAGGGACGCCACCATAACCTACTCGACACCTTGGAAATCCTTGAAGCCTCATGTCCAGCGTGAGGCCCACATTCATGTACGGTTGTATTTATGGCTACAAACCGCGTTGGGATGGAACGCCTCAGAGTATCTCCAGAATATCCTAGATACTTCTGCTGATCCGAGGCGCGTAATCAACACTGAAGTCCGTCCATTGTCCGGGTGCCTCACCTATCCGAGTCGCGTGTTAGGGCTCATCCCATCGTCCCATCATTACCCACCCGCATTGTTGCCACATTTGGGTGTCCGTTCGCCACCTGTATGGACCGAACTGCTGTTGGTGCTCGAGTGTGTCTGGGAATTGGGTGAGTACCTGTCGATCGCATGATCGCGATCCCACATCGCCCGTTGTGCCGTACGCTGTTAACAGATGCAAATTACTAGTGTCTGTGATATAGAAGATAACGATGCACGAAGTAGAAGGTGTGTTGTGTAAAAAATGCCAATGCAGAAACCTGAATGTAGAAGCAAGAAACAGTGCAGATGCGGCAGCACGGATGCAGAGGTGCAATCGAGAAAGCAGATGCAAAAAAAACTGTTAAAACAAAGCGAGAATATGAAAGCCACCGGGATGGTCCTGCCAGGGATGAATGCGATACGGATAAGATAAGGGTGCGTCGCTAAAGAAAGGGGGGATGAAAGTTCTTCTCTCACTAATAAGGTTATCATAGCCCAATCTGCCTCCGCCGTTCGTTCTCTCCACGATCCATCTTGTCACTTCCGCGGCCCGAGCTCGCGACAGTGGCAGTATGGCCAGTGGCAAAGGAGCGATGTGATGCGTCTAGGACCATACCAGCATCCGGTGCCCATTCAGGCCTTATCTCGCCCCTCCGCAGCTCTCCTGCGAGAACGCGCAGGTGACGCGCATGTCTCGCAGGAGATGCCCAACCGCGTGGACTGGGACGGCCAGCTTGGGGGCCTGGCTCCAACGATGAGACTACTGCGGGAACATGACGGGTTGTAGCAATAGGGGAAGGAGATGCACTAGCGTACCTCCGCCTTCAGGAGATGGCAGACGGGTTTGCGCATGGCCGTATCCGCCTTTGTCGCTGGATACGTCTTGCTGCCCGTCTGGCAGTGGTGCCACGGTCGGAAGAGCAACAGGCCGCAGCCGAGGAGCTGGGGGTGCGACGTACGGCTCTACCTCGCACGCGGTCAACGTATCGTGTGGGCGGAAGAACCCCCGCCTTGTTCGTGGTCGAGGGGGGATTTCGGCCAAGTCCTTCATGGCGAGGGTATGAACGAACTATGATGATGGTTGTTCTTTATAGGCTGGGAGGGTGTAATTCCAAAGTCGGGAGTGTTCCAGGTGGCCATGAGCACAGCGAAGAAACACGTCCGTCACACGAGCGCAATCCCGCCACACATCTTGCCTGTATCGACTCCGCCTCCGTGCCTCATGTATTCTCTGTGGCCTGCCCAGTGAACCCAGCGATCGTTGACTGAAATTGCGCTACGGACTGCGCCTGAACCTCATGTATCGGCCTAACCGCGGTTTTCATTGTTCCCTCTTTTCAACTGTTGTATCAGAACCACCTGGATGGGTGAAAGCCTGGCTGCACAGAAAAAGTTCTTATCGGCGCGGCTTTGCCACTCTGCGACACAGCCGCACCATGCACCACGCACGCGTTCGAGCAGCACCAAGCTCGGCAACGAATTAGAGATTTGGCTATTTCCATGCCGAGAGTATGCCTCGGATACTCGGTCAGTCAAATGCTCTAACAGCCTAAACTCTATCTTTCATTTTCAGAGGCAACCCGAGTGCAAAGGTTTTGCCCTGTTTCTAGAACCAACTTCAAGCTAACTTAGGCTGCCTAACATACCGTGTAGGGTCGAGGCCGATGCTTAGTACCATTTCGCGACCCAGCCGTTCCACTCCAGCCATCGAACTTTCTCGGTGGGCGAAGCAGGAGTAGAGACCATGCCTCGGGGGCGCCCCAAACGCGTCCACAAAGATGCTGTGAAGCAGGCGGATGCACGTCCTCGGACGGTGCACCCCTACACCCGCCGTGCATCTTCCGAGTATGACGCTGTCTTCGCGCGTGATCCTAGCGCGCTCGTGGGTCTTCCGGAGCGGCGGAACAACTTTTCCTTTCGCGTTATCTCACCATGAGAACTGATGTCCAGATGATTAATATTAGTCTGTAACTCATTCTTCTTTCCCAGAACGTAGAAAATTCTCCCACTGGACCTCAACCGTAATCGCCCACGGGGCGATGTTGCACTACTCGTAAGCCTCTCTCCACCTTGTCACATCTGATCTAGTCCGAATTGACGGATTCGACCGTCCTTGTGTTGCTGATTTCCCAGAGAGGATGGGGCAGCGTGTTCCTGACCCTGCATAGCTAAATCGTCGGCAGTTCTGAACGCCGTCTTTGAGGCGCCTTCAGAGGAGCTGCGGTGATGGTCGCTCACCAGTGTCGATCGGACTCCAGCTTGATGAGGCGCTTGAATGTAGGCCTCATCAATATGCCGGTGGTTTTCTACGTGGCTGGGGGCGATTTGCCAGTTAGAAACGTTCTTGTCCGTCCCTGCTCACCGCCCTACGTACTGATCAGCTACTCATTCATATCAATCAGATGGCTGTGATAACCCAGTAGTGTTTGTTGCATCTTTGATTAGTCCCCTGATCGTTATTTCATGGAGGACAGAAGAGGGTCTCCAGCACTCAATGACCGCCGTCATTCCCTCAGTCAGGGAACCAATGATTACGCAAAATCTCATGCTGACAGCGCGCTCTACAAGTGATCTGAGAAGGCCGCATACTCTGGAGCTATGTTGACGGAACCTAGACGCAACCATCACGCCGCTCAAGACCTGTGCCGCTGGAATCGCTGCACTTTCAAATGCATACTGTTTCAGATTGTTGCTCCATCATGGGAGTAGACTTTGATAGTTCTGTCCCTGCAGAATTCGCGTTGATGATTGACGGGCCAGAAATGCCGCTGAGAAATTTGAATGGTAAGTTGCTGCGTATTCGTTCATTAATGCTGCTTATCTTACAGACGTTCATCTCAGCGCACTTTCCGATCATCTTTGCCGGTGACGGTCTTTGTCTCTAATAAGTTGGATCACAGTGACGGCGTTATCGGACGTTCTTCAATTTAACTCTGCGCAGATCCCGTACATCTCCCGTACACACGCTCATCAATGCTCTGCGTTTGTATTTCTATACGGTCATTGGTCGATCATCATTCCGCTCGGTACTCAGTCTTTATCTATTGACATGACGAGGCTGTGGCCATCATCCGGTTTGTCACTACACCCTCCATGCATGGGCGCCTGCAAAGACTACTTTGAAAGGTGGGGTTGATGGCACTATGAGTGAATTGTGCCTCCACCCGTCGTCTTCGCCGGATTATTCCAGCCAGGTACGCACTTACTAAAAAAGAAAATCATAAAAGGCGACAAAAGTGGCTCGATCCTTGGACCACTCTCCTTGCCTGATCTGTCGCAATGTCTTCCGACAGCAGTGCCGATGCAGCCTACGTTGAAAGCCTTCACTTTGCGTGAGCCTTCTCCTACTGTCGCATATTCGCATATGATTTGACTTTCACCTACACTATGCATTCAGCACCGTGGACAATTATTGCATGCTAGCAGCTGCAGGCGAGTCTCCATAATATTTGAGTTATGGACCGGAAATTCACGTACGACGCAGCGCTGCTCATCTATGAATACACGATCACCTTTTCGCAAGAGGCACAGTTCATATGGAAGCCGCGCAAAACTGGAGCTGTAATCCTGTTTCTCTTGAACCGCTTCTGCAGTGTTGGCATGGCTGCCAGCATGCTACTGCAAATACCTGACTGGCATACAAATACTGTTAGTTCGCGCCTCATGATTCATTATGCGAATTGACTCTTTGCTGTCGCCGACTTCGAAGAGGTCTGCGTCCCTCACTCGGCAATGGAAACGTTCTGATTGTGCGGTTTGTGAAAAAGCTGTCAGGCCACAGGCACGCTGATACCAGTGTTCCAAGAATTATTGGTGCTTGTATGGGCAGGTCAGTACACTCACTTCCGTTTTGCGTACTAAAATGCCGCTCAGACGTCGTCTTCGCCGTAAGGATTTTTGGCACTCAGAACGTATGCAGTGGGCAGTGGCGCCTGGAAATCTGCTGCCATTGTTTTCGCCTTAAGCATGGTACCCGCTGGAACAGACCTGGTTTGATTTGTTCTGTTATCACCACTCGCGATTATTCTCACTCTAAGCTTTGGTTCTAGTACGTTGATATCAAGACGAATTCTTACACTCACGTCGTGCTGCCCTCCTTTGGAAATGCATGTTGGAATACATCTTACCTCTCCGGAAACCTCGGGAAGATGTGCGTAGTTTCTTGTTCCACGCCGACCGCCAACTGATTTTGCGTTGATCTAGACGTAAGAGCCTCTCGTATCGCCGAATTGTCTGATCTTTTTGCTGATTTTCATCTTTCCAAAATCCTCAGTCGTCATTGTAACCCGCACCTCCCTGATCGCTGCTGATCTTGTTGTACTGTTCGTCACCTGGTCCAGCACTTACAGAATCAAGAGGGAAGCTGACCGAGTAAATATGGAGGCCTCGCTGTCCACGCTTTTGTTACGAGATGGTATGCCTAAGTGCTGCTATATGAAGTGCGCTGATCAGCATGCATCTGCCAATCCTGCTGCAGGTACCATATATTTCGTGTGCGTAGGCATCAGTTCGCTGAGAAGGCATCTGTAGTAATATTTTTGCGTTAGTTTACTAGTACTCCTCAACATCGCACACATGACGTGTTATTTGCTTAGTGTAAGACCTTTCGATCTAGCGCCAGCCGTCGGTCACTAAGCCTTCGGAGATTGCAGGTTTGGCTCGATGTGTCTTTTTTTGTGAATTCGTGCGTCCGTGTACTCAGTCTCCTGTCGAATCCGTTGATATTCCTTTGAGACAGGTTTTCGGCCGTCATAATCTCCCGCTTCCTCTTGAACCTGCGGCAAATCAATCAACCCGATGACAACGAAGTAGACAACCCTCGTCCATCGTTCGTAGCTTCACATGCCTCGAACTTGGGATTTGCTTCTTTTGTTGGAAATATGGGGGAACAGCTGGACTTCAACGCCTCCGTGGACATAGCGAGTGCGGACCGTCTAGACTTCGAGGAAGGGGAACTCAATTGCCCGAGTGACATCTCGGAGCATGGAACCCATGATGAGCTGAAAGACATGCATGTAGACGTCGAGCTAGTTTCTGCGGGGCCCTCTCGCTGTTGATCGATGGATAAAAAAACAGATGTGTGTAGTGAGTACCTTCTCCTACTTGGCAGTAGTACTATGCCCTGATGCTATTTCACGTAGTTGTATTGCAGATGTTTCTCTAATCCATGATTCCTCGCTAACTGCTGTAATTTGTTTTTAACTCTCTTACTTTTGTTAAATTCTTGCTTTGACTACGTCTAACCACTCCAAGAGCTTGCCCGGTCCATGAGAATGAAGTCACGCAAGATCCTTCTGCAGATAATCTGCGGGTCGACGTCCATTTACAGGAGTACGCGACGGGACTCCATTGTTCAAACTTTGCCGAGATGAAAGTTAGCATGGTTAATGTGTAGCGTCGCCGCATCTTACGAAGGTGCACAGAGAGTAGGCGACCGAACATCCTCATTAAATAACCGTCCTTATTCGAACTCGCGTGGACATAAATGCTGAGCTAGACACATAACTCATTGCGACCGTCCACGCCTCATGGTAAAACCACACCAAACGCCCGCTCTCCCATGCCCAGGAGCACACCGCCCACGAACTGGCTCACTCGCCTGAGCTCCCTGCTGACCGTATGATGGGGATGGTGCCCCCCACCCGACTGCCCTGATTGCATCCCATACACGACAACTGCGACGCCGAGAACGAGCACCGCGCCCGCTACGACCGTCTTGCGCTCGAGGATCGCGCGTTCAAGCTGGCGCGGCTTGTGCGGCTTCCGCCGGCGCCGACGCTCGGCGTCCTTTTTCTCGGTTTGCTCCTCGTCTGACACGACCTCGTCCTCGGGCTCGATGTAGGGGCGCACGACGAGTTCTGGCTTCGTGACCATCAGCTCAGCCTCGTCGTCCGTTGGCAGCTCCGCCGAGTTCTCGGACCAGGTGAGCATGACGCTCTGCGGGCCCATGATGGACGAGAGCGCGATGGAGGGGTGTGATGGCGAATAGTGAGTGTAGAGCTCGTCTGCACGGAGGAACAAAGAGGTGAGTGATACCCGCGGGCGCTGCGGGATGTGGATGGGTATAGACGGTGTAGGGGAAGGTGTGCGGAACTTTTCCGATGGCGAGGAGGTACTTGATGCTGCAGTTGTGGGTGTACCCGGCGATATCTCGTCGACATCCATAGATTCGACGAGCGTGTCAGGCTCTTGCGCAAGTGGTGAGATTTTATCTGCGCTACCATTTGATTTTCGACGAGCGTGTTCGGGATCAGGAGGAAACTCTGCCATATCCTCAACCTGAAGGGGTTCGACCTTCACCGGATTCACTCGGGCTGTGGCTTCATCTTCAACCGACTCTTCTGCCTGCACTATGACGATGCTTTTGCTAATGTCTTCTCCTATAGGCAATGCCCGTTCGTCTTCCTCGTACAGCTCCGGAAGGCTGCTGAGCAGCGAATGAATCATCCCGTCTTCGCCATCTTTCTCCAAAATCTCAACTTCTTCGCGACGTGACAGAGCTACCTGCGAAAATGCCAAAGCGTCAGAGATACGAGAGAGCCGCCGCGCTTGGAGACGTACTGCTGCGACCAGGTAGACGATAGCTATTGGCGGTCTACAGAGCAGATAGTCGAAAACATGTTGAATGAGAGGTAGCGAAGGGACGTCGTGTGATAACAGAGTCAAAATATGAGAAAGGGCAAAGTATGGGAGGGACATGTTGCTATAGAAAAATGAATTTAATCACTCTAAGTGCCCTTCATAGATAGATCATACCGTTCGAGCAGAGCTGCGAATGAGGGGTCACCACAGTGCAATATTCGCTTCAGGATACTATTTCCTACGTGAGTGATGCTGAGACCTAAGCTATGCCAAAACTACGCACCGCAAAAGACCGACCACGGGTTCGAGACTAACCCCCATCGAGTCACGTAATCTGAGAAGGCTTAGTTTCTCGGCACAAGGGGCTTGCAACTCCTTCGGAAGGGTGAGGAACAGAACGGAGATGACGTCGTGATAACCCTGCAACACGGTAATTGGGATCAGGAAATTGCAAGTTCACTACGTTATCTGATACTCACTTGGAAGTAGTTTAGACGTTGTCGCTTCCGGAAAACAGACACAATCAACTCGTGCAGCTCAACCTGCCGGTGCTCGCGGTCTTCTGTGCTGTCTGGCAAATACATTTCGGTTAGTATTGCATCTGATAGGCAGACCGGGGGCAGTTCACCTACTGGATATAAGACGAAACTTCTCTCGGTATCTAAGCCAATTTGTCGCTCATCTCTATGGACCGATTCCGTGGTGCTCTCTAAGTCGGTATAATTGTCCGAGGCTGCATCAATTAGCGTGCTTCCGTCCAGTGACTCTGGGGGGTCCGGTGCTTCTTCTACGTGCGTCACATAAAGAAGCTTGGGCCTCGGTTAGAGTCAGCTGAAAGCGCCGAAGTGGACTGTACTGCGCGCTCACCAAAGTTGGGTCCGTTTGTCTCTGAAACCTCCAGGTTCAAGACTCAACTTTCTCAATGAGTCCCATTCCACAGGCTCAAGTATTTCAGATGAGGCATTCTGGTCCCTGTCGATGTCTTCCATCCACGTCCGCACAGAACGGGCGTTATTAACTAGACGTTCTTGCGTGTGTCAGGCGTCGACGTGCCACGGGACCGTCGGGACGAGTGTACCTGTAAAACCAGTTGTCAACCCCCTGCTGCTTATGTCCTATAAGCTGGATGTATTTTATATATCTCTATCTGGCCAACCTAAGCATCTCACGACCAAGAGAAGCTTTACAGCGGTAGTGTCGATTATGGACTCGGAGAAAGCTCACCCAGCTACCGAACTGCATGTGATAAATGGTACTCACCTGGACTCTCTCAACACAAAAGTATGCCTGATGTACAGCACAGCTGTATCCGATACTGTACGGTCTGTTCGAGGAAGTTAAGCGGGTGTGCAAGGACTCGGACGCGAATGAGGTGCGCGGCTAGACTCGTAATACCAGTTACGTTAGGGTGTATTTGTAGTACCTGCCTTTTCAGGTGAAAAGAGCGGAGAGTGAAAAGGCAGGTACACACCCTAACTATCGACCTTGGCGGAGCGTCGGAGATTTAATCAGACCGGATGGACCCGAGCCTAGTGCGCGGTATGCGCGGTGCCAAACACCTTCCCGATTGGGAAGGTGTTCAGCCTTCACCAACTTGAAACGTTCGACTATCATCACGAGTTCTCCGACTCCCGTCGACAGCGTTTCTTTCAAGCATTGCTGCAAGATCAACCCCTTCGATGGCGACCAACGAAGGAAGCGACATCATCGATCGCATGGTTCCGTCCCTCCAGAAGGAGTTTGGGACCCTGGAGGATGCTTCGGGAATGCCTGCCCCCTACGCTATTGCGGCACTCGTTACAGGTGACCCCCAGCTCCCCCAGAAGTACGGATATATAGTCAATGCCAAAGAGCTATGCTTGTGCCATCCAGAACTAGTGGAGATGCTGAAGGAAGCATTCCTTTCTGGCGATTTTCGTAAATTCGGAAGCAGTAAGTGGCGCCACATCAGATTTGTACATTTCTGACACTTCAGTCAGCTTTTCTGCGGATTGTTCAGCCGAAACCAGTCACTCCAGGTATGTTGTCCATCCTTCCCCAAGTCACCATGCTTCCATGACTTCCTCCCTAGTCACGCCTACGTACTCCCTTCGTAACTCCTTCAGGACTCCATATGCCGGTGCTGCCGTCGACGGACTGTATGAGTATCTCAGAGAAAATAATAGAAAATTCCACAGCCAGAAAAATTACTATGCGAAATTTTGTTCCATTGTTCAAAGTTCCGGCACCGGAAAATCCAGGACGGTGGTTGAGGTAAGTTGATTATCTATTTGCGCTCGGCCATCGCTTATCTACAAATTGTTTTTAGTTGGGTTCTAAAGGTGTCATGGTCCTATATATAAACGTCCGTAACAAGACAGACAAACACAATTGGCCGACGCGGGATGATATTCCGGCGAGCATCTTAGCTGAGGATCTAGGCAGCTTGACGGAGGAAAGTTATACGCATCGTTGTTGCGCTTTCTTCACTGCCATCTTCCGACATCTCGACGAGCACCTACAGGAATTGTTTCTATCTGCTGGAAAAGACATTTCTAAGACGATTGAGCTCTGGCGGATTGAGATGGATGGCACGCGGGGTGAAAAGCGAAGAGTGCGATTCTTCCGCGAGGTTGAAAAGGTTTATAATGAGGTTCGTTTCCTTGCATGAAGCGGTCAGCCGTCAGTGATTGATTTCAATTATAGATAATGGATGCGGATTCCGCTTCCGTCGAGGAGTTAACAGAGAATCTCAGCGCAGTTTCCATTTCCGAACCGACTCAGAAAGAATTGACTGCAGAGAAAAATCCAGACGGACTTCCCGACTATGAAACGAGACTGCGAACCGCGTACGCAAGTCTCATCGGCACCCTCGAAAACCTTATGGGAACTACCGATGATCCAAAGCTGGTAGTCGCGATCGATGAAGCCCATTGTCTGAGCACGATGGTTAACGACAATTTCCGTCCATCTCACTTACTGTGTCGAGCGATCAGTGCATATTCGTGCGTTGGAGGTTATCTGGCTTCCGTTTGGGTTGTCTTCGCCTCAACCAACTCGAGGATTGCCGATTTCTCTGCTCCATCTCACATCCGTGCGTATCTCAGCAACGAAATGCGATTACGAAATACTGACATCTCGGTTTAAAGACGATTCCCAGCGCGTAGTCACAGGTGGAGCACGGCTGTTTCCTCCGTACACATTGACCGGCTGGGATCAAAATGCCGCTCCTCTCGCTGGTATCACTAATGCGGACGACGTGTCAAGAGCTGAGCACATCATTCGCTACGGCCGACCATTGTTAGTTTTTTGAGGATTCGCAGTGTGACTAGACTGACCTAATTTGTCCAGATGGTATTCCTCCAGGACAACCGATTACACCTACATCCTGGATCTGGCCTCGGAGAAGTTGTGCAAGAGCCTTGCACTAAACATCAACGACTCCAATCAAATACTTGCTGTCCTGGGTCAGCGGTTCTGTTTGGATGTCTGCTTCGGACATCCAGAAGCTGTGGAATTTCTGGAGACGGGTGTGGCCAGCCATCTACGCATATGTGAAGCGACAACCGAGGATCGGATGTGGAGATTCACAAGTTATCCATCAGAGCCGATTCTGTCACATGTTGCAGGATGCCTCTTGCATAGCGCACCAGGATACGTAGTCGATGCACTCAAATGCATGGAGATGAATATCAGCAATGGAATGATCGAGGTCGGTAAGAGCGGAGAGTTGGTTAGTCGCATCATCTGGATCCTTGGCAAGGACTTCTTGCTCCACCAGTTGTACAACTCCGCCGTCCTTGATCGTATTAGGAACCCGTACCTGCTGTACTGCCGAAAAGTTCCTCTCACCAAATACCTCGAGACGTGTTTCGGCCTCGCAGTTTGGCCTGACGACGAGGAGCAGGCGAATGCGGCGAAGAACGCGCTCCAAAATGCCTACGTCAATTTCTCTCACTGGGTCTCAATGGTGGAGGATATCTGTGATGAATCTCGTCGCAACTGGTGGTATGTCCTCTTATCCTATTCAGTGACTTGACTAAGTCCTCTTGACAGCGCCAAACAGTGGCTGCTGCGCCACTGGGCACGTACTGCCGCCGTCCAATGCTGTCACAATCAACCGCTCGTTGACAAGGTGATACCAATTTATTTCCAAAAGACGGGCCGTAGTTTGCAAGACAGCATGTCGCTCATAATGATATCGGACAAAGCTGGGGCGAACGCGAGCCCAACCGACGTCAACGCCATTCAGGCCAAGCACGCCTCCATCAACTGTGTCACCGCCCTTCCGAGCATCGCTGTTACTCTTGATATGGGAATTGCAGAGACGAAGGTCCGATCCACATTCCCCACTAGAAGATCACCTCGTGCTGACGGCCAACATACGGTGCCCGAGATTGAGGATCCCGCGAATGATCTCTGTCTACGCATATATGCAACGGGCATGAACGCCAAGACCTTCCCGTTTCTCGAAGAGAAAGTTGGCTTAGAGACACTTCTGCGGAGCATTGTTCAGCATGCGACAGCGCCGAAATATCCTCACCCTGTGGGAGAGCATCTGCGGGACCAGATGAAGTACGGTAGCAGTTCGAGGCCGAGACACATGGAATGGGAGAACGGTGCAAAGGCGCCGGATGAGCTATTGAAGTCGTGAAGGCACGATGTGAGAGCATACCCGTGTAGGACTGAGTAATAAGTGAGCGTGCTTTGATCAATGCTATGCTATCTGAGAATGCAACAACGAGCCACCTCGAGAGCGATACAATAAGTTGTGGGTGCTCTATAAGCAACTCTTTCGGGATGATCGCCAGTTCACTTCACTTCACCAAAGTAATTCCGAGTCGAGTGATCTCGCAAGCCTTCAATTTTTCAAAGCTCCACCACTCCCTCTTCCTCGCCTATCCCTCCTCGTTTCGTTAGGTGACTGGTTAGACATATAGATCGCATCTCGAAGTTGTTAAGTGATCCAGTCTTTGTTTCTGTGTCAACTGACCTTGGTGAGAAATTGACCCACTTCATTAACTTCTCACCTTCGTTCCACAATCCACCCCACATTCCGCCTATATGAACCATTAAAATGTGGTCGCCTTATGAACGCATACTGATTGTTGCATACAAGTTAGAAATCTCAAGTAACCATTCTGCAAGCTGATACGCTTAGAATTGAGACAGACGGAGCTCAAGCACTCCGACTCGTACGTTATTACTTGATCTCACGTTAATGAGGGCATGTGCACATATGCATGTGTTCTATTCTCATTCCTCGTAGAAAGAACCGGGCGAAGGGCAATCGTCGCTATTTCAGTTCGTACGCACAGTCATATCCAGTGATCTGAATGCCCATGTAATCAATTGAGTCACAATTTACGTGCAGCTTCATCCAACACCACCACCATGAGTACGACTGTAACTACTACGCTGAGTGACCAGCAAAAAACCTTGGGCAGTCCAGTGCCCCCATTCACCGCACATGCCATCTCAGTGTCGCTCCCGACATGGAAGGACAACGTTGGGTATGAGGCGGGGGAGAAGCGCGTGGTGGACGCAATGGTATCGGGTTACCCACGATTTTTCATCCACCTGAGCATCCAAAAGGTGAGCATTCGTTCTGTCGGGCAGCGTCAGTAGTTCTAACGCACCGCAGCTCGCACTCATATGCGAGCAGAAATTCGGTATGCACGGCGAACGCTGCCTACTGTGTCCAACACGCAGGATCGCAGAACAGTGCCGCGCGTTCATGATCGACAGGGCCGCGAAGGAGGGATCTTCCGTCCAGGTGCGCCTCATACAGTTTGTGATTTGCCCTGAAGACAAAGAGGACGAACAACCTGCCGGGAACTCCTGCATCGAGCTGCACATCGTGCTCTTTCCGGCCGAATTCTTCCCCATTGCGAAGCAATTTTGGCAACACACAGGACTCTGCATATCTAGCCGCCGCGCAGAGCGCTGCCTCTCCATGCTGCCCAACGAATCTCCGGGAATCCGCTCTCCCGTGTCTCCGTCCTCTCGCCCACCGACTAAAGCACTGAATAAACACTACTCCACGAAGAACTTTGGAAAATCGCCTCCCGCGTCTCCTACTGTGCAGTCTTATGACACCCCACCGTCTCAGAGTATAGCAGAAGCCCTGAGCGTGGATCAGGCAGTGTACTTGGAAGAGCGCTACGGCCGCAATCTCCCCCTCGAATCTGCGGCTGCGGCAAAACGCGCCATGCGGCGCCGCATCGCAGGCGTACTCGTGCGTGACAGCCCGGGAGATTGGTCCGCTGCTGGTGGGCACTCAGTTGAGCTTGGGCCCAGCACCAGAGGCGTGGAAGGTGTTACGGAAGACGATGTGTACTTGTATGCTACGGGTATGGCTGCGATATTCAGCGCTCACCAGCTTGCGTTGGCTACACGCCCCGCTGCGAAAAGCATATGCTTTGGGTAGGTCTCGCATGTATGCGCGGATGAGCGTTCGCTCACTTTATTGGCAGATTCCCTTATACCGATACCCTCAAAATTCTGGAAAAGTGGGGTCCTGGGTGCCATTTTCTGGGTCACGGCTTGGACGAGGACATCGACACGCTCGAATCGATACTCGAGCAGGAGTCTACCAGAGCCTCCGGTCCTCCTGTACTCGCTCTATTTACCGAGTTCCCTTCGAACCCGCTCCTGCGCTGTGCTGACCTACCGCGACTCCGCGCCCTCGCAGACAAGTACGATTTCCTAATCGTAGTCGACGAGACGCTCGGTAACTTTGTGAACGTCGAGGTCCTTCCGTACGCAGACATCGTCGTCAGCAGTCTCAGCAAGGTCTTCAGCGGGGATTCCAACGTCATGGGCGGAAGGTATGCACATTCGCCAACTTCTATAACGCTTCACTCACACCTTGCTCAGCCTTATCCTCAACCCGAGAGGCAAGCACTACGCCACGCTCAAGGCGCATCTCGCAGAGAACTATGAAGACTCATACTTCGACGAAGACGCCATCTTCATGGAGCGCAATTCGCGCGACTTTAAGCGGCGCATCGAGGTCATCGACGCGAACACGCTCGCTGTCTGCACCTTCCTGCGTTCTCGCTCTCTCGCTGCGCCGGCGCCGGCGACCGCCTCAGTGGTCAAGGAGGTATTCTATCCCAAGTGGTGCACACGCGCGAACTTCGAGAAGTGCCGCGTGCGTAGGGGTGACGAAGACGCGGGCTTCGGCGGGTTGTTCTCGCTGACCTTCACCTCGCATGTCGCCGCGCAGGCGTTCTTCGATGCACTGCCCTGCCACAAGGGCCCGAGCCTCGGCACGAACTTCACACTCGCGTGTCCGTATGCTATTCTGGCGCACTTTGCGGAGCTCGAGTGGGCGGCGGGATATGGAATCGAGGAGAGTCTTGTGAGGGTCAGTGTCGGGATGGAGGACAAGGAGGTGCTGCTCGCGAATTTCGAGAAGGCGTTGCTGGCCGCGGAGGCTTTGGGCACGTCGTGATAACGTATGCGGGCATATCGATATCGTGAAGAACAAGAGTGAGACACCTCTGTTCAACATTGCATGGTGTTCTTGTCGAGGTCCATTCTATTGTTGCGATGAATTATAGAGTATCAATGTCTTGTGCAATTGCAAGTTCCACTGGGTTGCGTCGACGGCGATCATACCCATATGTAAGCTCAAAAAAAGCCGCATATACTGACGTGTTCGAGTCGACAGGCTGAGCAATTATCGCGAAAACAAGCGTGAAGCTTTAGAATAATATCATCCTGATGACCCAACGAACGCTAGTAGCAATAGCGCAGCATTATGTCCCAATCTCTACTTCGGAGCCAGGATCTGGAACGACCACCGACTCCTTCAACGGTGCGACTTCGATATCTACAACACCCTCATTGCCCTGCTCCGCCTCATCGAATTCGTGCCCCCTCAGCTCCACCTTTTCGTCAAACGACGCCGGGACGCCCTTCTCGTCCACGCCCAAATCTCCACCGTCGCCCTCCTCGTCGTCTGAGACGGCTTCCTCGATGACGGCACCCTGCTCGCGCAGGACGCGCCATGTCCGGTCGGCCGTGACGAGGTTCTCACCGGCACTGATTGCCTTCACGATCTGCGCTTCGTGCCGTGCATGCAGAGTGCGGCGGAAGGAACGTGTGAGGAAGGTGGAAAGGACGCGGAGCGGCCATTCTGGAGGGATGAGCGAGAGTACCTGGATTGCGGGCGGCATGAATAAGCGGCCAAAATCATGGAGTAGGTATATCGGTGTGTCACATACATCAAGAACGTCAAGGTTCATCGCCTGCGCATTCAGGAATCGCGCTGTCTGGTCGGCCGTCGCCTCACTACAAGAAATGAACACAAGTCATGCTCACAAAATACAACAGAATGAATGACGTTGTAGCGTACCCGCCGCTCATATAGACTTCGAGCAATATCCCAATGAGGCTCTTCTTCAAGTCCGCATCTACGGTATTCGGCCTACTCATCGGCACCGCGCTGGGTTTTGTCTTCGCGGTTGCTGGAGGGACCAGTAGTGCAGCCCACGGCTGCAGGTCATATCGCTCACCAAGCGACTGCGCCGTCTTTACGGGAATGATCTCTCCACCGAGCGTGCAGTACACCTCAGCCGACGTTGCGTCGTGAAGGTCATGCACCAGCATGGAGAGTGCCGTGCGATGTTGGCCAAGCTACAATGCAAGTCATTTTCTGGGTCAAAATAGTGCATGTTGAGCATACCTTGCCATGCACAATCGCGAGCTCCAGCCGCAAGAGTTTCTCGTGCGGAACGAGGCGCTCAAGGACGACCTTGGGGTCATACAACGCGGAACCCTGAAGAAAAAGCACCGTCTTTAGCCGTACTCGTTTGGAGTCGGAGTCTGGCGTTGTCAAGGAGAAGTAGGCGAGGAAGGAGGAATCTGACGGATTGGAACCATATGACGACGCTGTGAAACAGTAAATATCTTAGTATTCAGCGTGCTGGTCCGATCCGCACAGGACAAACCTTTCGCTCGCCATAGCTTTGATATTGCCTCGTCGGCGATATGCGAAAGCAGTTGGTTCACATAAGTCACTGCGAGTTGCATGTGCAAATCTGGATCCTACACATGTCAAGATCAGAAGAACATGTCTATGATACAAGTGGTAAAAATGAAACCTACGGTGCTACGTTTCTGTAGGACCAGATGTTCGAGTAACTGTATACCGGCTGAAGGGCTAACTTCTTGGACTTGCTGCAGCAGCGACCGATCGTCTTCCGCTTTGCGTTTTCCCGATACGAGGAACGTGAGCAGCTATGTCGAAACGTGTCAACTTAAATGATTGCACTCAAAAGGATTTACTGACCTTCAGCGCTCGTTCCGCATCCCGCTTAGTGAGCCAGATACCCCATCGTTGAATCAACGTCCGATCCCGCTTCTCATTGAGAAGCGTGAACATGCTCGATAAAGGATCTTGCACGCTCTCGTCCACCCACTCGCCCTGCACTAGCCTAGGATCCAACGGATCTGAGTACAAGTGGAGAGAAAACAGCGGCCATGCCTTGCACCCACTTCGACCATACATCAAGGAGCTTGTTATCCTCTCCGCACCTCCGGTACAGTCTGCATAAAGAGCTGTACCGTTGGAACTTGGCGAGTACCGGTTCGATCTCGGGCAGAATAATATAGTTGGGCTCGTCGATGAGGATGTCCAGCTCTGCCGTCTTTCCCGCCGCAGCGTATAATTTCGCTAAAACAGTATCGACAACCTAAAACCCGGTGGTGAGTGCAGCCCGGAGTGGAACCAGGAGGGAAACTTCACCGTTCTAACTGCGCTGGATTTGGGCAGCACCGCCGCATCCTTGGAGCCGTACTTCGTCCGCCATTTGCGCAGGTAGACCTCGAGCATGTCTTTCGCGGCGAGGCCAAGGATACCGCGCAGCTCGACCGTGGCGGGCGCCTCACGCGTGCTTGGCGGAAGATGCGGCGAATAGTTGATGACTAGGTTGCCCACAACTGAAATCAGTCCCGACGAGACGTGCAGCGCGGGAAATTACGTCAATGGGGAGCGAATGTAGGGGAGACACGAAGCAATGACGGCGCGGCGTGTAGCAGCGGACAGAGCGGACGACGTGTACGGTCAAGAACAAGGGCGCGGGGGCGCAACGGGGAGCGACGGATGTGACTTACTGATGTCGTCCATGGAGCCCTCCATCGGCATGTGCTCGGAGACGCCAGCGAACACGTCGATCGAGTCGTTCACCCCGAAGAGCGAGCCGCGCAGTTCGGGATAGAAACTGATGAGTAGGCGAGGATCCAGGTCTCCCGCAAAGAGATGCTTGCCCGCGTCGTCGAAGAGGGTCTCGGTGAGGCACTGGAAGCCTATTCGTTGGTACGCATACCGCAACTCGTCTGCCTATGCCTGTGTCAAAGGTCCGCTGTAATAATTCACGGAGTATATTTCACCTCACGCCCGTCCACCATCGACATCGACTGGAACCTTGTGCGCTGCTGTTCTGCCAAGTTCACGGCATCCTCTATCCGGTGGCTCTCCAGCAAGGCATCTACCTGGGACACGAGTGTGGATGGAAGAAGAGATTGCACCGAGTCCGAGCCAAGAACTAGGACACTCCCGCGGAGAAATGAAGCATGTCTGCTTCGGCTTGACATCTCACAGTCAATGGATAGTGTTTGTCACAGAAGCACCGTCAATACCACTACAGTGCTACCAGTGTGTGAATCTGAGGATCCGAGAGTCTGTTCACCGTGTTCTGTGGGCCAAAAAACAGCAGTCCCCCCGAGCCAAAGACTATTCAGCACCGTCGATGGTCAGACCGAGCAGGGTGGGAGTGAGTAACGCTGAGGACGCTTTCTCACTCCGGTAATATGTGTGCACGTGATCGTAGGGCAAGACGCGCTCCCGCTACACACAACTTGAATTCGTGTCTTCACTGCTGCCGGGACGCTACTCCCAGGGAGAACGTCTCGTCCTCGCCTGCATCTGCTTGTTGCGTATCATCTTGGACAATAATCTCTGGTTGCGAAACGATGACATACGCTCCGACGAACCCATTCGATGTCCCTCCGTATGAACTGCGCTCTCTAATCTCCAGCGTTCTGGGAAGTTCTACGCGTAAACCTGTCGCACCATTAATTGCTGCACATGAACTAAGCAAAAAAGATGTGTAGGATCTTCCGGACCTCCTATACAAGTGCGCTGTGCACAGGCACTCGGTACGATTGTCTTTGATGCAATATTTTTGCGATTTACGGGTTCTTAGGTTCTGAGGTTTATATTGGATGTTCGAATGGCGAATTACTGCGATTCACTCTTCAAGCAAGTGACCTGAAATCTGTGAGTCGCTCACACATAGTCGAAGGCTGCGACCTAGACGTGGAGATCGTGAAGCCCTGGTGCATACCCGTAGAGTGCGGTGACTCACGTTCAGTGAACGTTAACCAGACACCTTCCTATCATATGTTTGGAGCTGTGAGACGAATGTTCATGAATGAGTCATAACGTGCTCGCAGGTTGCTACCGCTGCCGATAGGTCGCAACCCCTCGAGTTTTGCCTCCATTCATAGCACGCTCTCTCATGACTGCAGTGACATAGCCAGAATCGTATACCCTTCTCTCCCGCCAAAGCCTTCCGACTGAGAAGCCTATTGAAGATATCGTTCTGACACCGAGTATTTCCCGCGCGCTCATTCTTTGTGGTGCGTTGCCGCTCTTACACTTTTTTCGAAGCGCCTTCGACCGTGACTTTCAGATGCACAAGTCCATTTCTACACTTTACCGGCATTGGACCCAGTTGGTATCAAGCCTATACGAAACGTTGTTACGCTGGCAGTTGACGAGCAGCACCTCCGCAAACCTCCGCCTTCTCCCAATGATTTACCACAAACCATCGAGCCGATTGAGTTCTGCGTCATCAAGCGGAACGCGATTGCTTTATACAGTCTAAGAGAGAAGCTCTTCTTCCAGAAGGTAATTTCTTCTGTACACATGACTATCGATGCCGCTGGCTCTGATCTTTGCACTCCCACAGGAGATTCCCCTCCCGTTAGGAGGCGCGCTCGCCCGACGCACAGGACATTACCTGTGCCTGGCAGACAGCGAGCACTACAACATCATCGACCTTGAAGCCGCATCCCTCTTCCCGGTGCTCCCCGTCTCGCAAGCACCTGATTCTGGTCCCGTGAAACCGTCGATCACGGTCATCAGCGAGAACGAATTTCTTATCCTCTCGTGGACGGGCGCGAGCACGCTCGGGCTATTCATCACGGGCGAAGGCGAAGCTGTGCGTGGCACACTGGAGTGGCCGAGTCATCCAGAAGCCGTCTGTGAGTACATCTACCCTCATTGGTGTTCAGCGTGGTACGAGGTGCATCTGTGATCTTGAGGTTACTGCAGCGCTGCCTTGATGTCATCGATGCGTTTGGTTGCACGTAACACCTGGAGGCGCCTTCGTTGCGTGGTAAGCTCGTAGTCTGCATGTTCTCACGTTGGACGCTTGGACAGGTCTCGACTACCCATATATTACGACGCTGCTTCCGAACAACACCATTGAAATACACAGCATCGAGACACAGACGATCATGCAGGTTATCTCCGCTCCACCAACGTCACCGTCACCAGGTCTTGCGACCGACAGGAAGACGTTGGTCGCGAGTGCGGGTGGTTTCCTGATACCCTCCACGCAGCTGTCAGACAAACTCCGTTCAACACCGGTGCGTCTATTACGAGGACAACCAGGCGCGAGGCAGGACGTGGCGGGAGAGGGGTTATGATCTTATCTTATCTGCGCGAGAGCGCCCAGCGTTACGTACATCGCAATGCCGCTTTGGCCAATCTATTACACTTGGCATGACCGTTCCAGAGTGCCGCATCCTCTCCTTCGTTTTCCACCGTGCACTACGTGCCCCGGTCGATACACGTTGAGCGCATACTATGTCGCTGAGGAAACGGGTGTCAGTGTCGAGCACCCGAAGTTCGTCGCCCCTTGTCTCCGTTATAGCACCCACCGCAGACTCGGAAGAGTGGGTAAAGACATGGCAGCAGGTCCTCGCACGAGGTATGAACTTCATTGAGCAGATTAGAAGCACTAATATATTCTGGTAAAGACCTTATTGATTGCCCGGTGGTCGGTGTCGATTCGGACACCAGCGTCGAGGACGCTTGTGATGTGAGTGCTCCACGACAGATCGCGACTCGCGCAGCCGAAACTTATCAAGGGCTCAGTTATTGCTCTCGAACGACCTTGTATGCTTAGCCGTGAACAGGCTTCCTGATAGTCCTCCCCATTCTACGACGTATCACGGGCTATTTGACGTATGTTTATCTACCCGCGCGGATGTTCAACGGAAGTGACCACGGAACCCCAGTTCTCAGATGTGAATGCATTTCTCACCTTGGCCGCTACAAGGCACAAACTTGGCTCCGAAGAACTGCGAGGAAAGCCTAACGCTGAAGAGATAGTCGCAGCCGCCAAAGCAGGCCGAGTGCCAGTCCGTCTCGTCAGCAGTGCGTGTCTTCTCATTTAACCCCAGCCTTCTACTCATCGCGTTTCACTCGAACAGATCTTTCAGAGAAGAATCCACTTGAAATACTCCCTCACGACGCGACTCTCCTCTCCCTGCTAGGAGTGTTCTCGCGCGGCGCACACCGTGTCCTGATCCAATCCCCACCACCGTCTAACGAGTACCTCGGGATGGTGTCCGATCGGCGGCTTCTCACGTGGTTCACATCCTACGCGCAGAACATCCCGTCATTGTTACGCTTTCTAGCGAACCCACTGAGCGCGCTATCCCTCCCGTCGCTGTACCTATATACGTCTGTCGTCGCAGTCCGCGCGGCGGACAACGTGCTGCATGCGATGACGCTCATGAGTGACTTGGGCGTGAGCAGCGTCGCGGTCATCGAGGAGAAGACGGGACAACTGCTGAGCGCGGTGAGTGTCACAGATATTGGCAAAATTGTTGTTCCGGCCCAGAGCAACCAAATTCTGTCGATGGCCTTGCATCAATTCGTGGCTCTTATCAAGGTGCGTGTCGTATCTATGCTCCAGTGGAATCTTCCTGAGCTTGTGTGACAGGAACCGGACGGTTCGATGGATGGCGCCGACAAGTTCCCAGGTGCGTGTTGACGCAGTAACTCTTGCAAGTGCCGTACCAATGCTGCCAGCAGTCTACAGCGTCACCCCTAGTAGCACACTCTTCTACACCATGCAGAAGTTGCTAGCCAGTAAGTATTTTCACTACGTTGAGCCGCTGGACATAACTCACCTCCGAGTTAGCGGATTCGCATCGCCTATTCGTCACTGATGACACGCAATCCAACTCCGCCGCTTCTCCCTCATCAAGCACAGGTAACCTCTGCGGCTTGGTCTCCACCGTCGATGGTTCGTTTACGTCATACACGTACGACTCGTAGCTGATCTCTTCTTTTTTGTTTAGTGCTCTCACAGTTCGCCCGCATCGCAAATTTGCCGGACGTGGACCCGACACGCATGCAGCGGCATAGGCGCGCGTCGTCCGTGTCCTCGCAGTCGTCCAGTTCGTCTCCACGCTCAGGCTCGCTCACAGGATCGCGCTTCTCGCCGAGCGAGAGCCTGCGCAACTCGGTGTCCAGCTTGGAGAGCTTCCAGTGGGCCGAGCGCGTGCCGTCTTCCAAGTAGAGTCAAAATTTTCCCCGCAGTCTAAGTTCCTTGCCGTATCTTTTGAACGGCTCTTACACCCACGATGGTGAGTCCGTGGTCCAGCCATAATGGCGGACGGGATATTATGGCCCTCCGTTCTCCTTTTCTGGTGATACTTTTTTCGTTTATTCCCCACCAATGATATAGTCAGCATGAGAGGGGAAGCAATGTATCGATATGGAGGGTGCGCGAGGGTATGAGAGGGTGTATTGTATTGATAGGTCATGTATCGTACCGTCTTTGCCGGCCAAACCTATACAAAAAGATGTGCAAATTGTATGAACCCCTTGCGATCCTACATGAGCCGTATCGTGATAGATACTGAATGATGTTGGCCGGGCCAAAAGTGTCATGTCGCCGAATCTAGTCCGCAAAGAACCGCACAAGCGCGGGGCCAACCTCCCCGGGGTGCGTCATCGTGAGCTCGTGGCCGCCGTGCTGAATGACCATAAGCTCGGCTTGCGGCACGAGCCCCTGTACGCGCTCCGCATTCACGAACGGTACCACCGGATCATGCGTGCCCCAGATCAAAAGGACGCGCTTGCCGGCGTCGCGCCCGAGCTGAGCGAACGCAGGCGCTAGACCGCGGAGGGGACCTTCCCGCAGCGACGATGCAATCGCGTGGTCGAAGCCTGGCAAATATGCGGATTGGAGGCAGACCAACGCCTCTGCATCTGCGACGACGGAGCCAGAGTGGACATTATTTTGCGAGAGGTATTGCCGGTAGGCCCTGGCTGGGGCGCTTGATGTCACGAGCTGCACCAGAGGGGAGGACAACAGCTTGAATTTGAGCGGGATGTCTCGTGGCTAGAGCATGTTCCATTAAAGTGAGCGGAGATAGACCCGACGGACTTGGACGTACCTCATACAGGCCAACATAGGCGATGAGTGCGACCTTCGAGGAAACAAGATGAGGGAATTGAGCGCTAAATGATGTGGCGATGGCTCCACCCATAGAAACTCCAGCGACGTGGACACGTTTCCAGCCGATGTACTGCAAGAGCATCGCGAGCTGCGTGGTGTACAGCTGCGTGGTATACTCCGTCTGCGGCGCATCGGAGTAGCCGCGGCCGTAGAGATCGTAGAGGAGCACACGGAAACCGTTCTCAGCGAGGTGGTGCGCAACATCTCTCCAGATGAATGCGGGAATAGAGAGTCCATGGATGAGGACGATGCGCGTCCCATCTTCAGGGCCGATGAGCCAGTACCTGACCTGCGCATATATGCGGTTTGTTTTTTGTCTGTTAAAAGGAGCTGGGTAAATATTTGCACTTACCTTTCCGTTGGGGAACTGGACATAGGCACCGCCCTCATAAAAATCTTCAGGGTAAATCCTGCGTGCGGTTGACGCCGGGGGGAGAGAAGATAGAGAGCGATGTATGGTGAGCGGAGTGGGTTCCGACAATGTCGTGAGTTGCTGAGCCAGGAGGAGGGCAGCGGGGATGGACAGAAGACCTATCCACTGAGAGGTGGACAATGTCGGCATTGAGTGCGATAGCGAGCTAGAGAACACTGTGTAAGTAATGCTCTCCCACTTCCACGCGGTAACGGAATTTCTTTACATAACACTTGTCCGGAATTTCTTTAACACTTGTCTGATCTGACAACTCAGATCCAGCGAGTCTTCTGACGGTCCGAGTCAGTTCTCGTCGGTGACATTCTGCGCAGATCTCAATCTTGTGTTTGGTTTGACCAAATAACCGACGATCGTCTATACCTGGCAATTTCCCGCCATCCGGCCTCGACGCGGCCTTACACCACAGTTGAAGTTCGTGCCCCATAACTCTCAGTCATCGCTGTGAGATACTGATACTATATATTAGTCATCGCTGTGAGACTACTGATACTATATCTTAGTCTGAGCTTGTCCGACTAACTCAGACGCTCTCGATCGCGCGATATGATTCACGGCACAACACCTCGCCGCTGAATGGCGATGCATTCATGATAAACAATCACCCATAATAATGTGCTTTTGCAGTGATCGATATGATTTAAATTACAAGGTGCTTCCTCGGTAATTCACAATCGAGTTGGGTACTTTCGCCACGCCTCACGCAACCAAGGACGGAATCATCAGCAGCATGTGCATGACCAAGTATCGCTTTCTTCTATCATGATTATACTACATCCCCGACTGGTACATGTACTGTCAACGCATCATATAAACGAACGCGGGGTACAACACATCACGAGTGCATATGAGAGACAACAACAAACGGACAACAGCTGCGGGCATATCTAATTACAACAAGTTGGGGAGACCCAGTAGGATACGGATTGGAATGACGAGAGGGGTGTCTAGTTCAATCAAATGCACACGGGAAAAAAAGGAACGTCTATTCCGAATTGCAAACCTTACGCATGGCCATTACCGTTCACTGCAGCTGATCCGTTCGACCCCGATCCGTTGGCCTTCTCTGCTGTCCCCGCCTTTATTGCACCGAGGATCTCCTGGACACGCGTCGTAGCCGCCTCGAGGAGAGGTTGCACGCCCTCCTGGACAGTATCTCGCACCTTGTGTACCTTCTCCTGAACGGGGTCCTGCGAGGTGAGGATTGCGGTAAGGTCGTTGATGATTGCTGCGAGATGGGTGGAGATGTCGTGGAAGGAAGTCTGAAAGGTGGATGGGAGCTGTGAAGTCGACGTCTACGGTGAAGCACCAGTGACTCTGAGATGACCTGGAGGAATAAAAAAGCGCATATAACGACAAACCTGAATCTTTTGGAGCTCCACGAGCATGGTGTCACTGAGTGTGTGCACCCGAGCGTGGGCCGCACCGAGGCTCGATGTCGCTACTACGCTGATATTATGCGCAGTCTCCGCCGCACGCTGCACTAGCGCATTCTGCTCCTTGAGCTGGTTGATGTGCTCGGTAGAATAGACGTAGAGGTGGCCGCCGAGGTCCTTAGATATCGCAAGTGCACGCTGGTACTGGAACTGCGTTTCCGACGACTGATGTTCCGTCGGAGTGCCGTTAGGTGATATCTTGTTAACAGCAACCTCGAAGTAGTCCACGATAGGGGCGATGCGCTGTGCATGTATGAAGTCATCAGCACACATGTCGGGCCAAGGCGAACACGGGTCTACCTGATCGATACCCTGAGCAACGTTGTACGCTGGCGTCTTGACGCGCTCGTCGATGGTCTTGTTGGCGACGTTGTATGCCTCGTCGCTCTTCCCACGGAGGTCTTTGACCAGGTCGCCGGCGTGCGTCTTGAATGGGTACGGGTACCGCGACTCGACCGCGTCAAGGGTCTTGTTTGCCAAGCCGTCTGCGCGCACAATCAAAGGGGAGAAGGTCTTCTGCAGGGGCTCAGCGTAGCTAAGTGCATACTTGGAGACACCCTGGGCGGTGGTGTACGTCTGGCGGGTGTACGTGTTGTTGGTGAGGGTGGTGTGTATGGCGCCGAGTGTGTCCTCGATGAGCGGGATGGAGGCGACGCGAGAGATGATAGTGATTTCTGGGGGCGCTTTGGATTCTGTCTGCGTAGCCATCATAAGCGACGGTGAGGTGATACGAGGGAGAATGTAGAGGTTGAGGGGAAAGGCAGGAAAGATAAGATTCGACGCCAACTTGTTATATTCGTCGGCGCGTCATAGTCGCATGTGATTCTCATCCATCTTCCTTCCATATCGGGTCTTCTTTGCCACGTGCCCTTAACTTAAGTTTATTTCATTTCACGGCAAGTCCCCGAGACGCCCGAAATAACCGCCCGCAAGCCCATGTCGACAGATTCGCTCTCGAGTCCTCTGGCTCCGCTCTGGTTCAGCACCCACATGCACAGTCGCTGGGTCCAAAATCAGGAGGTTATATATGCAGCGGTGGTTCTGTGCGTACAACGTGCGGTTGCACGAGCTCAAATATCCAGAACCGTCTCCAGAGATCCGCCTTATTGACATCCGTCAGCGTATACGTACCTTCCCAGTCAGTCTCGGTTGGTGGCTTCGAGCGCTTCTGATAACGGTATTTCTCCCATAAGTATCTGTCTTCTGGTCCTACCCAGCCACGCTATCTTTTCCAGGTAAGGCGTGCGTTTATTGCGTACCTCTCCTGATCGTTGGCCGAAGTTCTACTCCACTGCTGCTAATCGAATTTGTTTTGGGGCCACTGAACTCATCCATCTGCGTCGCTAGTGCTGTCTCTTCATTCCATCGTAGCCTATCCTGGTTGTGTAACATAGCCGCAAACGTGCAGGACGGGAAACGCGTCAACATAGCTGCATTTTGCTGATAGATCGTGGCGATTTCGTAAAGTCTCTATCAGATCCAATGATATGGGACTTCCGTTAGGCACTAACTCCTCCGCGTCCCTATATCGAGATTCGATTGCTTGGCAATAGTACTCCCCTCCCGGTGTCCCGCTTGGCCCGCTGTGGAGGTCAATTTCCACCCCAGATCATATGCAAAAGCCCCACACGGACCGCGAAATCGTCGCGAACGCCTTACCGACAAAAGTCGATATCCGCTTGGCCCCTGTCCACCACCTGCTGCTCCACCTGGCCGGTTCTGACACTTTCCCCGCCGCGGCGACTAGCAGCTATCTCGACTTTCCGCTTGACCAAAAGCACTTGCGCCTGATATGCCACTCGGTGCAAGCTCTGACGAGGGTCGAGACCAACGCTCGACTCATCTATCAGGTCCATGCTGTGGTTTCCCAGTACTTTGGCGAATTCATCCCAATCTCCACGCGGCCTCTTCCGGGGAGCCTTCCTCGAAGCCATCCGTAGCAGAATCTCTGCAGGCGTGGTCACCTTGTACTCCACCAATGCAGTATGCTACTCACCGGAAAATATATGGCTAAACCACAGGCCACGCCGGCGTCCATACACCTTCCGGACAGCCACCCCTGCGGCGCTTGCGACGTCCATGTACCGGAAACCATCCTGGGTATGTGACCAGTAAATGCAGGATTTTAGCGAGCCACGTAACACTTCTAAGCATACCAAATTGGTCAACAAACTTTGCATTTGTGCCGAGAACTGCATTCAGACTCAACTGAAAACTTGCATTTGCAGCATCTACAAATTCAGGCCCAGAAATTGTTACAGTGTGGTAGTGCGGATATCCCGCATTTGAGCGATCAGCAAATCCGAGTTGGTCTCTTAAAGGGGCAGCCCGTCCCCGACAAGCCACCTCGCGAGCGTAGACGCCTTCCGCCCATCGTGCGCAAGCTGGATCCCGATCTTCTGGATTTGCGAGTGCGCGAATTCCGCAGGGTGCCCTAGAGCCTCGAGCGTCGCACCAGAAGTCGCAATCTCCCGGAGTCGTGCGGCCTTGCAGGAGGACGCCAGTCGCTTCGACGAAGCTCAAGCGAGGGCCTCGGTGAGCATGCCTTCCACACTTGAAGCGCAGTTCGATGTGCAAGTGGAGGAGCCTACTGTGAGCATGATGGGCTAAGGGGTCATTGTTCCGCTGTCTACGGTGAACTACTGCATAGGCGAGAACTGTGCGGGGATCCGTGATGATTATGGCACACACGGCCTTCACAGGGCAAGACAGACGAAGACTCGGTTCTGAAATTCCAGGCTGCGGGTTTTGACTGGCTCGAAGGACATTGGGACAGGTCTTCTATCTGATTATGATTTTCGCGCGATACCCGCCACGGGTACGTACGCGGAGTGAAGTAAGGGACATTGGGTGCTGCTAGGAAGTTGATGTCCCACATACTGCTACGCTGGCGCAGTTACTACGGCCTGCTTTATGCTACTGCGCCGGCGTCGTCTGTTTCCGGTTATGGCGTTCACATGGTGTGTTCTCCATTCGCCGTTGGCGAGCTGAGAAGTCCATGACTCGAAGTCGCCGAGTCGTCTGAGAGCTGCGACTTGGAAAGATGTCACGCCTGCTCTGGCGAACAGGATTGGATGGGAATGTCCTGTGGGTATAGTTGGGGCAAAATTAGGATGCTCGAAATCCGGAGTTGGTGACAGCTCAACGACCATTAGGTTGTTCGGATCGCATAGCTGTAGCATATTACGGTACCCAGAATTTATTAGCCCGTGTGAACGCGTGAGTTCACTCTTTCCATTTCCACTTTAAAACTCTGGGCTCACCGATGAAAATGGTGCACACTCACCCGACCCTGCGCTGAGTGCTATAAATTACCTCGGATGAGCCCATTGCATACTTTACAGAATCCTGGCATGCAATATTTCAGTAGCAGCAAAATGAGATATCGACAACGCTAGTAGTGTACACAATATGACGCGTTGTTTGCGCGTTATGTACGCGTCAACCACGTGATGTTCATTTGGGTCGTCTTGCTTCCTCGTTTCCTCGTTTCAAGCCTTTAAGGGTTTTGTCCTGAGGCCTCTCGTACCCCACAGCTGGCGGACTCTCAAACGCCATATAAGCTATATCGCGAGACTGAATCTATCTCTTGAGGAGCCGCGGTCACTGAAAACATCTCGGAATATGCTACTACCTGATGTACGTCCGTCCCCTTGCAAAGATTACGTACGGTAATCTCTTCACGTCGCTGTATAATCTTTGTGCTTCACCGTAGTAGGATATCATAAATGCGTGATTTATCACTAGTGTGCTCCAAAGGAGTATTCTTGTGATGAATCGAAACTATGATGTTCTTCTAGGGTGCCTGCAATAAGGGAGCTTTTCGACTTTCCCCGGCGGTCCTTGTAAGGAGCGGCCAGTCGTTACCGCACCGATCAAATTTCGCCCTCGCCTCGTATCGTGCATTTTTTTCTCTTGTGAGCAGGGTTGATTCGAAACTGAATGATTGGAGCTACTGCAAGGACACACGTGACGTACCTCCGATAATACTCTCGCGGTAGGACCTCCGTCCCGTCTCATTATGATTGCTTATCTTCTTCCAAGTCCATATCCAATTCGTAGGCTATTTTGCAGCTAGCAGGTGCTGTCAACACATCCCCCGTCACCTCACCGCGATGTCTCGCGTCCATCTTCAAGACGAACTTGCACAATCCGTTGAACGGGTGATTGTGCAGACACAATACGGTCCAATCAAGGGTGGGCGTGCTGTGAACGGAGCAGCCGCGTTTCTAGGTGCGTACGCGGCTAGTTGTGGTTGCTGGATCTCTGGCGATCTCATGCAGTTCTACAGAGGTTCCATATGCATTGCCCCCGGCACGATTCGAGAATGCGAAGCCTCTCCCGAAAGGTTTCGTATATGAGGACAAGGAGTACATCTACGAGAGCAGCTGTGAGCATCAATGGGCCGCTGTCGTCTGTTGTAATGCATAATGACACCTGAACCAGATGGTGTTCAGCCAACGAACGATGGGCAAGCTGCCAGTTAGTATCAAGTTTTTGGGTAACTTTTTTCATAAACGCTCCTACTTTGTACCATAGGTGCGCCGTATGAGGACAAAGTTGGTTTAGGCAAACCCACCGAAAATCCGTAGGTCGCGCCAGTGAAAATCGTATTATTTCATATGCGCTGAAATATTGTGCAGCCTTTTTGTGAACATAATTTGTCCACCGTCTTTCCCAGCGAAGAGGGCTTTCCCAGTCAAGGTCTATATTCACGGCGGGTATGTTCTCACTGCATGAAATTGGGCCCTGGGGATGCTCAGTATATCGCTTAGATTTTTGCAATTCGGATCACCTCATGGGCTAGGCGGGCAGGCACAGTTCGTAGCTGCAGAACAGTCAGAAGTTTGGGTCAACGTTGGCTACCGGCTTTCGGCATTCGGTTTCCTTGCCAGCGATCAACCAAAGCTGAACGGAAACTTCGGTTTCCAGGATCAGTGGCTGGCGTTGCTGTGGGTGCGGGAGAATATCCAGACATTTGGAGGCAAGTACAAGTTCGTTTTAATTGTCCCCTTTCACTCAATGCTGGATGAACAATAGGCAACCCAGAAGACATACAGATCAGCGGATTGTCTGCAGGTACATCGAAGTTGCGACTTGGGCGAGACCCATTTCTGAATTTGCACTGTAGGGGCCCATTCCGTGCATCAGATACTGCATCATGCTTCTCGTCTTCCTGAAGGCGAAAAGGCACCGTTCCACTCCGCCATCCTCCAGTCTAACTCCATTGTGTGCGTTCTAAACGCGTTTCGCGATAAGTCCTGAATTTGACGACTTGGCATATTTGGCAACACAGGATTGCTCCCAAGACCCCTACGGAGCTGCGCCCCCAGTTCCAGGCACTGTGCTGTGCCCTTAAGCTCGATCCCGATGCTCCCGACCTGCTCGCTACTCTCCGCGACCCCGAGCAGGTGCCGTGGTCTGTGATCACGCACGCCATCGAGACAGATGCCGTGGGCATCGAGCACGGGACGTTCCGAGGGTGTATGGACGACGTGTGGATGTCGTCCGCGCCCGAGCCCATGGAGTGGCAGCGCTCGGGCGGGTTTGCACGCGCTCTCCAGGCCCGCGGCGTGCGATGCATCGTAGTCGGCGATCTCACGGAGGAGTGGTACCTCTACTCGATCGCGCACCCCGTCACGAGCATGCGTGACGTCGAGCTGAACATGGAGCGCTACTACCAAATCGACGTCGTCAAGAAGATGATGACGAAGTACCGCGAGGTTCCCGCCGGGTCATCCGAGGAGGAATTCAAGAGGCTATTTGGGGAGATGCTGAGTGAGGGACAGGTGCATCTTCCTGTACGGTTACTTGCGAGGGACCTCATGGCGGCCGGGTTCCCTGTCATACGATACGAGATCGGCTGGACTCCTGAGCAGGTCAGGCCTTTTGGTGAGTGCCATGATGTACAGGAAATGAGGATGAACAGTAGAACTTCGTTCCATAGGATATGTAACGCATGGAACCGATCGTCCCCTGTGGACAATTCGACGACCGACTCTAGAGCCTTCGCAAGTGGACGTTGCCCGTGCATGGGTCGACAGGATCGAGTCTGAAGTGAAAGCAGTGCTCGACGGGAAATCGTCGAGCAAAGATCTGCACGAGGTCTTGGCACTCAATGGGAACAAAACGATCTCGTGGAAGAAGGATGATAAGTGGGATGACCTAATGCGACTTGTCGATGCTCTTCCTGGGGAGACTGCTTGAGCATCTGGAAGAAATCACAAGCGCGACTGCATCCTGTTATGCCTATGTATTATAACTGACCATCTGTAAAACGAGGACCAATGCCTCCCGGACCTATGCCGGTCGAAAACGCAAAATACAGAGTCCATAAATAAACCCATAAATAACAAAGGGTCCAATCGTCCATGATCCCGCAAAGGTCGTTTCGGAGTATCAACACATTTCTCCGCTGCCCAGTCTGAAGACATGTCGGTATCATGACTGAACTCTGCACATAGGGAAGTCTACTCACTCGTTGTGAGAATCACTACCATCTGAATCGTCAGCCTCTGGACGCAAGTGCAGTAACATTGGTTCATGCCACTCATAGGCGGGAGGGGGTTCGTCAGCCGAAAACGAATCGGGCACCTCGTCGAACCATCCATTAAGTGGTGCACCCAAGTTTCCGGTGAGACTTGAGGTAAAATCAAGGCTTATTACTTCGGGTACAATTTGGGCCCTGGAAATCGATTGAGAGCCTGAGGTGCTCGAGAGATAGACGCTGCGCAAATCCAAGAAGAAGCGGGATACCATGATAGATGTAAGCCTGTGGGAGGTGAGCGTCAAGCAATTATTTATCGAAATCGATAGAATCCGTACACGTCTGTCAATGCAGGTACGGAACCAAGTATCTGTATAACTGTAAGCTGGATGGCTTTGAGATTCTTGGCATGAACTTCACCTCGAATTTGATTGCGACAAGATTGATGGCATTCAGAAGGAGTAAAACACTTAACAACGATCTATAGGTCAGACATTGCGTGGTCTGTCGCTTAGAGATACGCACAAGAAATAGATGGTGCCTAGGGTCGGTTAGTGCCCTGTTAGTTGACGCGCGTAGAAGATTAACGTACCGTCCCGCTGTATCAGTGAGGTGAGAGAATTCTTCATGTGGAATTTGGAGGAAGCGCAGTTGGTCTGATACGTCTTTGCCCATGTCAGAACGAGGACCAGAGCGTCGTATACCATGGGGTAGATACAATTGAAGTTGGCAACTGCATGAATTATTCAACGTCTCCGAGACCCCAGTCAGCTGCAGTGCACAGGTATACAACTTACGGCTGCAGAAATGTCTCTCGATCAGTTCTTAGCCAGCACACAACGAAACGCTCACATGTTACTGGCCCGCGCACTCATGCCTATGATTTCTCCGCAGCCCGAGAATGGTCGAGGAGACGACAGTATATACAAGGTTGTGTAATAATACTAGCACCATACGATCTCAGCAGTTTAGAAATGTGGCAGTTAAGGTACTCACTATATTGACGGCAGGTGGCACAACTCCGAGTACCGCGAGAGCCACGAGTACCTTCAGGTTTCCTGACCAGATCGCAAACATGCGGAGTGCAGTAAATGCTACCCTGACACTTAAGTCGGAAGAAAATGAGCAAATATTCCTGTAAGACGAACCTGCAATAACCAATCCCAAAATGATAGTCAGGACTTCGCTGGAACGTACAACACCTAAGCAACTGAGAGGTGTTCAGGTAGACACTCTAAGTAAGCTTTTGAACGGCGTACATCTATACATGTAACATGAGCTCGTTAGGGAATGCAGTTGAAAGACAAGGTATCGACTTACTTTGTCTGCCGTGGTTTCAGGCTCGTTTTGCCAGGGGAGCATATTGATGACCAGAAGAATTCGATTGAGCAAAGTCAGATACCGATTGAGCAGGAAGAGAACGCTGGCTCCAGAGATCTTGCGGCCCCATATACATTCCAACTCCCGCGCAAAGGTCAACGCGAAATCGTAGAAGAGGAGCACTAACAGGAAGTTTCAATCAAAAAGATGAATGCGATTTCAACTAAAATTTCCTCACTTGTCGCAGCGACCGAGCAGTAATTTGCCAGCAACCTGTTTTTCAAAGCTAGCTAAGGCACACACATGGCTTGTGTCGCAATTTCACCAATGTTACATACATTTCATTGAACTTGGAGGCAACCAGCGCGTCCAGAGCTTGCACGGATTCGCCTTCTGACATATTGCCAGCACAGCTGCAGCTTGAACGATGATTAAAGTGTCCACGGAACTAGATTAGGGCACGTAAAGACTGAGTCTTCCTCAAGATCCTCGCGCAATGGGAGAGCAGTCACTATGAAGGTGAGCTTCAAGGGGAGACGAGCGAGACCTGTATCATACCGGCATATCATGCATTCCTGGTCACGTCCAAGGAACGCCTTTGGAAAACCAATTCGCTATGAGAGCGACATCATGATATTAAAAGCCTGCTGCGACAATCACTGGACGTCGACATTTGAACAGTTGTGATGGGGATGCGCGTTTCGACGACTCCTCCATCACCGTTGATCTACGGCCACAAAACTAACGCCAAACCGGCGGCCGAAAAGTAGTGAGTCCTTGCAAGCGTGGACGTAGTTGACAAGCTATTGTTTGCATGGAGTGAACCACGGTTTCAAACCGCGGCGGGGTGTGACATTTTGTGGGGTGGCCGGCACCGAGATCAATGGCCGCATGCCCGTTCGTGGCAGTGAAGGTGTCAAACATGAGATGAGGCGCCAAATGTATGTCAGTGAAGATCTAGATGAAGCCACACCTGGCGCACTGAGCCACACCCGGCCAGCTCTACATCGAGCCACCCCTAGTCCAAACAGACACCTCTCCTCGCCTATACACAACACTACATAATTCATCCTCCAAAGTTAAGAATGATAATGGGGACTCCGAATCCCAGTACACGTCGACATGGATTAATATAGAATTTATGTAACTACCTTATCCACCAAAACCATATAAAAACACTAATCCAATCAAGGCCATGATCCGCGACGGTACATCTCCAGGAATAGAAATATCCGTGATCCACTACCCTAATCTTTCCCCCCCCCCCCACCATGAATCACGCCCCTCTCCCTTAAACACACCCACTCAAAATACACAACTAAATGGATGACAACAGCACTGAGACATGATCCCTTGCACCTGCCACAACAAACCAGAAACAACCCATTATAACCATGCTTATTAAAATAAAGCGCCTAACTTACCGATATCACCTCGCCTATCCCATGAACCAATTGCCAACCAAACCCCCCCATAAGATGCCTACAACAGCTTATAACACAACAGAACCTAATCCAATCTAAGTCAACATGCACAATGAACTCCCATCCCCATGGTTCCCCCCCTTTCACCTGACTCTCCTGCCCAGCCCCACAAAGACATCAAATATACCACCATACAATGCTCAGTCATCTCTCGACCGCCTCCATATGCCTATGCCTCACCCCTCAGATATAACCACTGAAGGCAGCATCGATGAACTCCCCATCTTCTGTCATCCTCTCCTCCAATAATTTGTAGACACGATCACAATATAGACATACCAACCTAGAGAGACACCAACTCCATCCAGACCCTGGTGTGCTGCACACCCCACTCATATTCCCCTAGCAGTAGGACACTTTGTCCGAGTAGGAAGTGATGAAAAAGGAGTCATCACCGAAATCAACCGAAAGGGCAACCATCACGTGACCTTCAAGATTCTTGAAGTCACACACCATGTGACAATATACCTCTCCACGCACAAAGAATGCACGGAATATCGAGGGAACGATGGCAAGCTCCACCGTTTCAAATATGGTGTGACCCCAGTGCACCGACTCTGACCTCAAAAAGATAGTAAGTAAACCAATAGACCACAACAAAATGTACCTAATGCGCAGTAGCAACCTTAGGATGGAACCCAGATGGAGCGAAGAGATAGAACATGAGAGTGTATGTAATCAAGCTTAGTAAGAATTGACATATCGGGCAACCATGCCTAGACCCAAAATAAAAATAACTCATCCTTAGAATGCCAGCTGACTCATCCAAGGTATTGAAAACCAACCATCTCCTACATCCACCCTGTACTTGTCTCGCACAACACACTCCAACTCACAGACAATGTCAACAAGACTTCAAGAATACTAGGACCACCCTCGAAGTGAGCACACAGATATCTCCCAGACTAACCCACCTCAGCTGCAAGAAACAGAATGACTGAAACAGATGAGCGCGATGATGGGCGCGATCACCACCACACCATTAACGTCAATCCCGCAACTGAATACCGCCCGCCCATCAGTACACATACGAAACCAAACCCCCACTCTGAATCCTGACTCCCTGCTGACAAGAGGAATTCACAGAATGCTGATAGCACTTACGACACACTTAAAGCTCACCAAGCTCACGAGCTGACCATCACTCACAACTCCATACATCACAATGCTCGAATGATCTCAGTTACCATAATGGCCAACAAATGCGGACACAGTTCCCAACGGAAGCCCACCAGGATGTCACATTGCACCAAGATGGCAAAAGGTATGCCTCTACAATCTAATAAAATCTATCCTCAACCTCTTCTGAATAGCCTCACGATCCCCATACCCAGCCACACCACCTGCCGAGTCTCTGGTGGGAGATACATTGTGTGCGCTCTCCCCGCTCTCCAACATAGACAAGAAATTGACCCCCCCAGCACTGTCCGTGTCCAATGTTACCACCTCCCCTAAGGAAGAGATCAATACTCTGGATGACACAATGTCCATCACCTCAAAAGGCACGATGACCAGGTCTGATGCCACCGAAAACACCGAGGCTAAGTACATGGTCAGTGACGATGTCGGTGCCAAGCCTGACATCAACCCCGAAGTCAAGCCTGATGTCCAAGGCTCCCCTCCGAAGCCCAACATCCAAGGCTCACACTGCAGAGCCCCGAACTCCAAGAATGTGAAGGAATCCTTAAACTTTGCTGTCAAACCCATGCATGCTAACTCAAAGTGCTCTGCAAAAGAGGAGTCTAATGATGAACTCTGGTCATCCTTCTCACCAAATGAGACTGCCCTGGTATGAGTACAACACACCTTATATCAACCATTATCTAACATCATGACAGCTCACTGCAGTCTCACTCGAGAAACCTACCATCTCTGAAGGACAACTCGATGATGGCCCCCCTATCACTGCCAACCAGCCATCAATGCCCACTCCTAACGGAAAGCGTCCTCGCACTCCATCATCTGAAGACAAGAAAGGCATCATCAGGCATGACATGTTACAGCGTACAGCACACTGGCCCCCTACCCCATACCCTGCCAGAAAGCTCCCACCTTGACGAGTCACATGCTGATCATCGAAGACAATGATAGTGATGCCGAAGTGACCAGGAAGGATGGAAAAGCCAATGTAAAACACACCACATCTAGTGCAGGCCCGTGCACCTTTGCAGCTGCACTCACTACCTGAGGCCCTGGATGGGTCATAGATGCTACCAATGCCGTGTCTCATCTTCAGCAGCTCAGTAACCTTCGCCCACAAAAAGCTAACACCAATCTGGCGATGAACAGTCCCACGCTGACACCTCTCAACAGCTTTCCCATAATCCACATGGAACTGCCGTTATGGTTCTTTGATGGTCTCAATAAGCAACAGAGCATGGAGTGGTGTTCCTCAATGCGAATGTGTGTTGCTATCATGGCTTATGGCATAAGCTTCAGTGACCTGACCATCACCCCACAGCTATGCATCGACGGCCTAGCAGCACTAGAGATGCACATAAATATCTCTAATGCCAGGATTGCCACCCTGCAGGCGGAAGTTGTCTCTGAGCACCCCAACCACTCTCCCTTCACCAGCATGCTGCACAACATCACTGATGCAAAGAAGAAACACCTCATTGAACAATCCTGCCTCTCTGTCCCTGGCATCATGCTCTTCTTCTTCGACCTGGACTGAGTCATCCCGAGCTATATCTGCTCCATCCGTGGACTCCTCCCAATGGATGAGGAGGAGCTTGTCCATGAACTCCGGAAGATCATCTTCGATGATGATGCTTTCCTCTTCCTCCAGATCCTCCTTGCAGAGGAAACTGATCTGGAAGGGAAGATACAATTTGTGGTTGACTCCCTTCGTATTGAGATTCTCCCCACAAAGGTGAAAGGTGGCTGCCTGGCTCCCACCATTAACGTGTACATGGAGCCGCCCACAGGTGAATTGGAGCACTACACGAAGTGAGTCTTGCACATTTGCATGAAGAAATTCCACACTCTCTGGCTTGACAATGGAAAAATCAAGTTGAACTGCATGTGCTCAGGCTGCCACACCATTGACCACCAGTGTGGCCTCTGTCCCTATGCCAGCCTGCCTGGATGGCACAGCGGGAACAATGATGGCAACAACAATGCTGATTCCGGCTCAGAGTCCAACTCCAACCATCGCAATGTGACATCATATGCTCATCGAGGCTGACAGGATGAATGTAGCCATGCCTATGGGAAGAGTCGCAGGCGCGGATGCCGCTAGAAGTATCTGCTAATCCTCTGTCACACTACTGTTTACTGATCTGCCCATACTCTCATACTTGAGCCCTCACTATTGCTAACATGCCCCCTCCACTCATTATGCTAACATGATCCTTATGTACACTCCCTTACTGCCCCTACAAGCTGTATCTCACAATGTTGTAGCTACCACCCATAGTTAGATGTCCCATACCTGAGTACGCAATATGACCTTGTGCTATGCGACCTGACTGAACCAACACATACAATGCTGTTTGTTAACATGCTACAAGAAACTCAATAATGTTTGCGTGGACGAGTCTGCACTTGACCTAGACATCTGTTCTAAAAAACACCTTCCCTTGCCTCCTTATTATGGAATCTCGAATGTTATGGCCTTGCGGAGTCTCACGATCGACAATGGCAGCTAGCTGCCTACCTACAAAGAAAACCCGACATAAGACCTAGCCCAAATTTACTGACTACATGTAGGACAGGAAAGCTAGGTTGTCGGCCCCTAGTGTCCAAGTCTTCAGGACTAGGTACAAAAATGGTGGCCTATTTAGGCTCTGACGTGCCGTACCAAGAGGTTGAAGTTGTAAGGAAAGCTGTACCATCTTCCCGAGTGTCGATACAGTCTAGTACAAACCAACATAGTCACTCACTGGCAATCCGGGTAGGACTGCCCCATCATAACCAATTGTTGTAGGTTACAAACAGTGTCTCAATGGGAAATAATCAATCTATATCTACCCCCACCTTGGTTTTAAATACAGGCTCTGGCTCATACCTCCCCTTGTCCCAAGAGGACCATAGGCAAGCCATCGCTAACACCCCTGAAAAAGGACTTGGGGAGATTGATGACGGACAGGAAACACAATCCTCCCCACAACCAACAATACATTCAAGGGAACACACTCCCCTGATGATCCAACAACAAGGACAGCCAGACATTGCCACACTAAGTGATCCAAAAAGAAAATCAGAAAGAAGACCCGAAGCACCCTCCGACTAGCATCCTTGAATATGCATGGCGGAGGACATCTAAATGGTACGCTCTCACACATCCCGAGTAAATGGTCAGCAATCAACCAAATGATTAGAGAACAAAAAATTGGCATCCTCGCTATCCAGAAAACCCACCTGGACCAATCCCTCACTGACCGCTGATATGCTTCCAGACCTCCTGGCCTCTGAAAACGCATTTTCCAGCGATCACTCAGACCTCACTACTCTATGTCTTAGCCTCTGAGATGCATCTGACCCTTTTGCAACCTTCTGCGAACTTTTCTGACATCGTGCGACCTCTTGTTCAACTTCGCTCGATTCCTCACGACTTCGCTCCGAGCTTTGACATTCTTTCATCACTTATACACCACTCTTGTGTCTTCGCACTGTTGGATACCACTTACCTGTTGTCCTTTGGTCTCATCCAATGCACCCTGGCTGATTTCCTTCGAAGTCCGTACTTTTCCGACATCGCGCCGCCCCTCTGAATGTCGTGCCAACTCGCTGATTCGTTGCGCTGACTTATCGGTGTTGCACGATGGTCGCGACCTCTTGTTTTGCAAATTTCATTCCCTTTATCGTTCGACCTTCCCCTTCAAGACCTCTACCTTCATGCTGGACCGGAGATGCTGTTAGAGTGTTCCATGTGGCTCAGGACAAGTAGCATATGTTTTCTTTCGATTTCCCTCTACTTTACCATTTGTCTCCATTACTAATGTATGACATTCACCTCTCCACTCCCTTTACCTATTTTTCCATTGGTCCTAGACCATTGCGACTCTTTCTGATGTCAGGATCCATCTTCTGACATTTCGTGACTTTCGCATTTCACCTCTCCCATTTTCCCCCTCTATAAATACCTGTCTACATCAATTATCATCAAAAACTAGTAGGAAGGAGTTCCCCTTAGCTTCAGATCACTGAGAAACTGCATTTACTGTGATAGCAACTTTGAACTGCAATATACCCCACTGCGACATATACCACCTGCATTAGTCTTAATCCGACTTTTGCGTTAGACTGACTGCGACTTCATCGAGATGGCGAATACTGCATTCTCCCATAGCATTCTACCCCCACAGATAGTTCCCTTGCCCTTTGCGATTTAGTTCATCTTTGCCTACGAGTTTGGCAATTGCATCGCGACTTTAGCTTCCTACCTCCGACTTTCACGACTTTGTTGTAGATTATCACCCGACTTCGTGTTTATATCATGAACCCTCGTTCTCTTACAGGTCACATCCCCCTTTGGCTTAGGTTGAGGTTCTGGGACCCACTTGCTTTATTTTACGGTTGTGATGCTCTTCCCTCTCACACAGATCACCCCTGCTGCTTGTTTGTTTTAGTTGGGTTTAGGTGTTTGTGTTGGGTGTGCACTCATCACCGCCTGCACTCCCAGTATGGAAAATGTTTACAAATCCGCTTCTTCGCATCTAATAATGCCACTACAACAGGAGGAATCGCGATAGTCCTCAACTGTGAACAAACAAATGTGAAAGACGTGCAGGAAGTTGAGATTATACCTGGTCGGGCACTCTATCTCTCTCTCCCTTGACATGCTGACCTTACAATCAACATCCTAGCTATCTATGCCCTAAACCTGCCAGTCGAAAATGAATAATTCTGGAGACAGCTTAACACAGCCTGGGATAACTCTGACCTTCTCTACACTGACATCCTCCTCGGTGATTTTAATCTTATAGAAGATGCAGTTGACCGCTTCCCCCTCTAACCAGACCCAATAGCAGCAACAAGTAAACTGCTTGATCTATGGACTCACTTTCAACTTCAAAATGGATGGAGAATAATGCACCCAAACAAACATAACTACACCTTCTTCTAACAAGTCACTGGGAGCCACTCCTGAATTGACCGAATATATCTGACAGACAACCTAATGAACACCACAACTGACTGGAATATAACAAATCCTCCATTCCAAACTGACCACTGACTTATTTCAGTCCAAATAGCTGACCTCAAAACCCCGTACATAGGAAGAGGTCATTGGACAATGCCTCTCTCCCTACTCCAGAACAATAAATTCACCGAAGAGATTGATTTTCTACAGCCCTTTTACAACAAAAAATCCAAGACCTAGAGCAAACCTGCAGTCAACATAACCATGCTCTAATGATAGCACACTTTAAGGTTAATACAGAATGCACTAAAAAATACTGGACTAACCTTGCAAAAGACAAAAAACCACGTGACATCTTCTTTTCACTTCAAATTCCCGGGAGTAACCCTCCCAAATATGAGACTCACTCTGACCGTATGGCAGAACTTGCACGGAACTATTATGAAAACCTCCAAACTGATCACCCACCAACCAACTCAGAAGACTGCAAACAGGCTATTAACACTGTACTCAACTCCATTCCAAATGTACTCCCAGATGAAAAAGCAAAAGACTTAGCAACCCAAGTCACAACCCCCAGCAAGTAAATGAGGCCCTACAAGCTTCTCAATCAGAACATGCCTCTGGTATCAATGGCATTCCATATGAATTCTGGAAAATCCTCAAAGTCCAACATGACAAACTCTCTAAGGACAATATCTCATCCTTTAATACCATTCGCACACTAACCTGGGTATACAATGACATACAACAACATGGAGTATCTCCAGGAACTGACTTTGCTGCAGGCTTGTTATGCCCCCTATATAAAAATAATGATCGGAGGAACATTTCAAACTATCATCCTATTACACTTCTCAACTCTGACTATAAAATCTTCAGCAAAGCAGTCACACTCTCCCTGTCCAAAGTCGCTTCATCTATCATCCACCCCAACCAAGCAGACTTTGTACCTTGACCAAGTATGTCTTACTGAACTTATAATTAACTATGCAAAAGCACTTGAAGAAAATGGGGTAATCATTGCCCTTGACCAAGAAAAAGCATATGACAGAATTGCACACAACTACCTCTGGGACACCCTCAAAGCCTTCAACCTACCCCCAGAATTTATTGCAACAGTCAAATTCCTATATGAACATGCAGAAACCATTGTCATCCTCAATGGTGAATGTAGCTCCATCTTCAAGGTAACCTGTGGTGTCCAACAAGGAGATCCACTCTCTTGTCTCCATACATCCCCACTTCAAGGCTTCAAAATCCCCGGAGTTGCAGAAAAACTTGTCACAACACTCTTCACAGATGACACAACCACATACCTCTCCGAACATGATGACACAACCACATACCTCTCCGAACATGATGATTACTCTACCCTACTTAAAATACTAAATACATGGTGCAAAGCATCATCAGCTCTGTTTAACATAAACAAAATGGAAATAATCCCCATTGGTACCCAAGAATACTGAAACTCCATTATAAACACATGAAGATTACATACAAGTAAAGATGCCTTCCCCCCACAAATCCACATCGCAAAAGACGGTGAACCAATATGAATCCTAGGTGCCTGGATAGGTAACAATATTAATCAAGCATCCCCTTGGTCCCTAATAATTGACAAAATATCTGCAGCCCTCTCAAGATGGAACCATGTCCACTCAACAATACGTGATCATTGCCTGATCATCCAGATGGTCATTGGAGGAATGACACAATATTTGACTGCAGTACAAGGCATGCCCAAACATGTTGAGAAGACCCTAAACAAAATAACATGTAACTTTATCTGGAACAGTACAAGCACGCCACCTGTGAACATGGCCACCCTTCTCCTTCCTGCACACTCAGGAGGACTTGAC